TAATAATGCTGCTCCGAAAGCAAATCACCTCAAACTGTCTCTTCTGACAGGGAGGAACATTCACAGTCTCCAACCTGGGAGGACCTTTTGGCATCAAACAGTTCTGTGCCGTCATCAATCCACCTCAAGCCGCCATTCTAGCAATCGGATCCGGTAAGCCCTTAGCATACTCATCCACTTTATCCATTGAAGTTTCTTCCACGTAACTTATTATAGTGTTGGTGTCTGAATCTCAAAACAGCTGAAAAGAGAGTTGTTCCCGGTGCTGGTCCTGACCAATACAACGTTGCTTCATACATGTCTGTAACACTAAGCTGTGACCACCGCGTAATAGATGGTACAGAATCCGCCTCTCATTCCTATACCATTATTAATCAGCATCTCATCGAAAACGTCTAATAAGTCATCTTCCTGTGCAGGTGCAATTGGAGCCGAGTGGCTGAAAGCATTCAAGGGATACATCGAGACCCCAGAATCTATGTTGCTGTAAAATGCAGACCACACACACATCAAAGCTAAACTCATAAGAGTCTTCTGACCTCAAATTTCTTTGCCACAACATTTTCACCGGATTTGATCCCTTTAGCACTAGGCAATGGCCTTTAAAGTTGCGTGTTTTGATATTCTTTATATCATTGAGTTGACATATTTTTGTCGCAAAATAAAATCAGGAATCCAACAATTTTTCTGTGAACTGGATTTTTGGCTTAATGCTTGTTCAACATGGGTTGGCAAAATAAAACACATTTACTTATTTTGTTAATCACCTCCAATAAAATACCTCTTTTTCAAAATAAAATGCCTATTAGTTCACTATCATGAACTTAGAACAGTTTGCTTGCTAAGATGCCAAAACATCATATCATTAAACCAAAGAAACAGATGTCTATAAAATACCAGCAAATATGTAAAGATAGAACAAAATCTTCTCCATCACTTCCGTGCCTTCCGCCTCCGGTTAACCTCCGGGAAATTGAGAGGAGTCGGTAAGGTCGCAACCATAGTTGAATTCTGCTTCACGAATTTGCAGCCAAGCTGTTGAAAATGTTTCCTCAGCTCAACTGTGCTTATCCTCAGATCTTTTGCTATGTCTTCTGGATCGGTCTTGAAATTATCCACATGAAGGGATAGCACAAGAACGTAGCTTATCAGAAGGTTGGCCTTGTCAACAGGTATCCTCTCTGATTCAGAATCCTTGAACATGCTCTGAAATTTCCTACGGAAAATGTCTGGCATCTTGTGGTTTTTAGCGGAATCGAAACCATTCATTGAGTTTCTGTCCTTGAACTTAACCAGATGGGTGAGAAGTGTTAACGCACCAGAGACCGTCTGCTTTTTCATATTGTCCTGCATATACAACAAAATGACATACATACATAAAGAATCTTCTGAGCAGTAGATAAAAATATGACAATCAAATTGACTATTAACCAGTTCAGAATCTCTTTGATTAGAGCAAACAAATAGCAAATGGCAAAACTGGTGCAAGCCAACATGATATTTCGCGTGTCAGAGTTAACATGTATATGTAAACTTCCAAGAAAATAATCAAAACTTTACCTTGATATCACGCAACTTGAATAATCTGTTGCGAACAAATACAGGGTAAGCATCAGTTGCTGCTTCAGTTCCCTGTTCCAGAAGCCAGTAAATATCTTCAAGGAAACTCCACTCGCCCTTTTCAATGATCTTTTCTAAGGGATAAGCTTCCTTTGCTGTCGTCGCAGCGGCATCATAAGGAGGAATGTTGCGTGCAACAGTAGAACTGGTGCTTTCAAGAGCAGCTGTGTTAACATCTAACTCACCAAGTTTCCCGTCAAGGAACTTCTGAGTCTCGGCATCATCTCCCATATTTAAGGCACGCTTCTTCTTGTCCTGCATAGAGACACACATTCTCATTTAGACATATAACAATATCTCAATCTAGTACAGATACTCGGTATTGCATCCCATATAGGTACTAATGAGATGCAAGCAAGGGTCTACACTAATGCTATGAATATTACTAGTTATATGTGCAATGATACCAATAAGACAGATACTGTAGGAAACAAGTTACGCATCGAAAAGATGTAGCATACCCGAGTAACAGCCTTCTTTGTATTATAACGGTCGCGTTCTCCTGTGGTAAGTTTGCCAAGTTCTTCAACAACCGCACTTCCTGAAGCTTTTTCCTCAATTGTTTCTTGAGCTTTAACTCTTGGCTCCAATCTGATTATCTGCAAGTCAAAACCCAAACCTTCAAATCTACATTGTTCTATAACACAAACCAAACTCAAACTCTCAAAAAATCATTTATTTCCTATTCACAACCATACACTCAAAACATTCCCACTATTCAAACCAATGAATCACCAAAATCAAAACAAGGTAACAACAGAAGAAATACCTTATTGTGAGCAACAGGAAGAATCCTCAAAGTCTTAGCCTCTCTATTGAAAACACCAACTCTATAGGTATTAGTCTGCATAGCAGCTTGCTCGCCGGTGTAATTAGTTCCGACGAACTCAACTCTTGCGCCTGGAGGACTAACCACAACCTGAATCCTCTTCTTCGAATCATCCTTATGCTTATAAACAGTAACTTTGGGAGTTTCATGAACTCTCTTGCTTGTTTCTGGATCTACCTTACAAGGATCGTATCCTGTAGAGAAGTAGGCGACGATCGGAGAGATTCTATCTGGTCTCTCGGAGACTTGAGTGACTTTGAGTGTAATTCTCTTGTCTTCTTCGTTTTGATCCTCTGTTTCCGATGCTATTTCTTTCCCTTTCCTTTGCTTCTTTTCTAGTTGTTGTGGTGTATTGAACTCTTCTTCTTCCTCGTGTCTATGCTCGTTCTTGTCTTCGCCGTCCATGGTTGTTGAGCTTTTGGATTCGTTTAGTCTAATCGATTCAAAAAAAAAGATGAAGCTACGACGATGCAGAGAAGATATGTACTACACTGGAAACTCACTAAATGCTAAAACCCTAATTTGGGTGACTATGTTTGGGAAATTTACATAACAGGCCCTTTTATTTGTCCGATTCGATAAAAAATCTTCACATGGTTTTGTTTATGACCCTGAACTTTTAATTTGTTTATAAAGATCCCCACCGTTATAACGATGAAATCACAAAGATCCTCTATTATACAGCTCCAACGATGAAATCACAAAGGCCACAAAACATAGCAAACATCCACAAAATACACAAATTTTCATATATTGATCGTCTCTTGAAAAAATTGAAAGGAAATTGGACTTTTCAAAGATCCTAATTTACTTTGATCTAACCTTTTTACAAGAGACAGTTCATTAAAAAAAATAAAAAATCTTTGGTCACATGACCATTTTTTTTACTAATTAATAAATTCTCTTTTTTTTTCAACCATTCCATCATTTCTAGACCAAGTTTCTATGCTGTTCTGTAAAATTTTGATCTAAATACACCAAATTCTTAGTTCGTTTTTAATATAATTTCAGATTAAATATGTATTGGACTGGTTTCACGACTAGTTTCACTCCGGACTGATTATTCTTTGAATAGGGACGTTCTTCAACACTTTAATTTCTCTCTTATTTCGATTACAAAAAAGTTCTTGTCGTTCAACTAGCTAGCGTTGAATTTGGTGTACTTGGGTACATATTTTTTTATTTGTCGTCAAACTTATCTAGATAAAACATATTTAATCTGGAGCAACAAAACAACTAATGCGTACTATTTTAGTATAGTATGACTGTATGAGTAACATATGTAGGTATGGATTTTTAATTTTTCATTTGAGAAGAGTAAATCGTGGTGTGATATCACTACAAGAACATAAAGAGCGTTGTGGATAGATGAAAATTGATCTATATATATCATACAATCGATTAATAACAAGGCCAGTATTCAACCACTAGATCATTACACTATTGTTAGTAGTAGTTTAATTTATTAATTATTATGTTTGCAGTCAAAGCTTACAAAGAACACTAGTACAGTATTAATTGCATTATTATTTCACTGTTCCAAAATTAACGAATGTTCAACTTTTGGTTTGTTTAATGGTATGCATGCGACGACTGACTTTTTATATCGCAAGTCGTATAATTCATTAGACACAATGACACATGTACGTAGTACTATGAAAGAATAGACCGTTGAAAGAAGAATGAAACAATCAAACAAATAAGAGAAGACTCCAAAGTCAAGTTTGAGGTATATATTGCGATTCGACTAAACCTAAAAACCTAGCATCAAATATAAAAGACATGATAATGTCTCAGCTACTTCTGCGGTGGTCTTCAAACAGATTGACAGAAGCATCAAAGACATTCTTCTAGCAAGGCGTTTCCGGTCAGGCTGCATATGTCTGCTCTCCCAATGGTTCTCCCATGCTTAGCAAACTCAAGTAATCACAAGTTTCTTTGTAATAGTTAATTAGCTTAGGTTTTTTTTAAAAAATTGGGTCTTAGAAGCTCCTTGCCCCAAGCTTTTGTAAATAACATTGTTCCTTTTGGAGATATAATTCACATTTTATCAAAAAAAAAAAACAACACGCATCTTCCCTAATGTTGTTATCGTTGACGATCAAAATCATATTGTGACACATGTAGTACAATCAAACAAATAAGAGAAGACCCCAAAGTCAAGTTTGAGGTATATATTGCGATTACGAAACCTAAAGACCTAGCTAGAACTCTGTTTAATTACAAATATAGAAGACGATGACGCTTCTTCCCTAATGTCGCTGTCGTTGATGATCAAAATCATATAGTACCCAAAGAGGTTGGGGCCGGGTCTTCTCTTGTTTGTTTCATTCTTCTTTCAATGGACTTTTCTTTCATAGTACTACATGCATGTGTCATAGGACTTTTCTTTTATTCCGGTGATATCAAACAAATAGTTTCAAAAATAGACTTTCGCTGATCTAACCAGAAATTTCTTATCTCCTTTCCAGAAAACAACTTGTTCTTTTTTTCCTTTATAATCTCGACAAAGAGAGAAGTTACATATACAAAATTTTAAGAATTAAAACTCTTTTGTAAAACATTCATCGCTTCATATCATGGAGATCAACAACGGTCGAGAAGGTCATCAACACGAAGGATCATCACAATGGTTAGTAAGGTATCTAAACCGTCAAGGCGATTGGTTAGAGAAAACTAGAGGGAATCTTATGGTTACAGCTACGGTTATAGCCGCTATGAGCTTTCAAGCTATGGTTAATCCTCCCGGTGGCGTATGGCAAAGTGACAAGTGTGCTTCCGATAATCGCACAGAGACTTGTAAGGGGGAAGCGGGAACTGCGGTATTGGAGTATAAGAATTCAAAGCGTATAGCGTATATTGGGATGGTTAGTACCTGTACAGTGTCGTTTTGTGCCTCAATGAGTCTTATTCTCCTCGTTAGCAGCGGTTTACGACTAAGGTACCAATAAATAAATTATATATATATATATATATATATGCAACACTTCATATAACAAGGCTGCTTAAGTATTATAAAGTATGTAAATTATAATATTTTTTTGTATGTTAAGTCTGGTATTTTTATGTAACTTTTTTTTTTTTTTTTTTTTTTTTTTTTTTTTTTTTTTTTTTTTTTTATGTAACTTTTGTTTTGTTGGTTGCCAAGATATTACTGAAAAGTGAGAACTAAAATTAGTCATGTAAATTGAGAGTAAGGTGTTGACTTTGCTTTAAGTATACCAACTATATGTCGGCACAATAGTGCCCAATGGTTGACTTAAACTAATTCAGCAAAACTGGTCTGATTGGTAAAAAATACTAACTCATCGCTACTTCACTGGACTTTAAAACTATAAAAAGTCGTTAACATGCATATATGTAGTTATCTAATATTAAGGAGAACTGTTTGGCTTTAGGATAAAATAAAAGTCACTTATCTGATAAATCTAATTATATATATAGGAACCGGGTGATAATGGCGATCCTCGTAACATTTATGGTGATGGCGGTTCTTTGTATATCGGCGGCGTTCTTTTTGGCCGTTGTGCTGGTTCAATTCGATGATGAAACAATTCGTTATATACTATCGATTTATGTGTTATTTTGGGTTGTATTTCCTGTTTTAGTACTTTTAATTCAGCTTGTTCGATTTATATTTTGGCTTATTTGTCTCATGTGTTCTTGTTGTTGTCCACATCGACAACGGTCCCCTCGACAGTTGCCGCCACTGGCTCCAACTCCGGCCCATTAAGAAGAGGAGGAACCCGTGGTTCGAACCCACGTATGAATTTGAAAATTGGTGTCAGAAAGTCGAGAATATAAGTCTCCCGTGGTCATTGTTATAAAGTTTATTAATTGTGTGGGGTTTTTACTGTTTACTAAATACATTTGATTAATATATTGTATGTGCGAATCATGTGAATCGTGGCAATATCGCCTTGTGAATCATGATTAGTCTGATCGTGGTAATAATATTTTTTTCATATATATATATTAATAAATAAAAAAAAGGAACAAAGAAATCAAACGCATGACAATCAAAACAAAACCTTTATCAACAACTTTCACTAGAATGAAAGATTACAAAAAAAGGAAAGACTATGAGCATCTCGTTGTGGGAGAGATTAATATCCGGAACAAAGATATAGATATTTTATATAGAACAAAAACAAAGAAACAAATATTTTAACGTAAAAAACGAATTAAAAAATAATTTTGCAATGCACCTTTCAGATATATTCGTAAATCGTTGATTTTTATGTGATATATACTTTCTCTTTGAATCTTATTACTTCGGACGTTCTTTGATATATACAATCGATTAGTTAACATGGCCAGTAGATCATTACATTTGTAATAGTTTAATTTATTCTTATGTTTGTATATGTACAAAGAACAATACTATTGCGTTATCATTTCACTGTTCCAAAATTAACGAATGTTCAACTTTTGGGTTGTTGAATGGTATGCAACGACCGGTCTTTATCCGCTATATGATCTCTAATTTTTGTATATTGCAAGTCGTATCATTCATTATTAAACACTTATAGTACTATGAAAGCAAATATACCGTTGAAAGAAGAGTTAAACAAGAAAAGAAGATATACCAAAGTCAAATTTGATGTTGTGCAATTCTAAACTTTAAAACCTATATAAATCTATCTACAAATATAATTTAAACCGACGACAACTCTTCCCTAATGTCGCTCTCGTTGATTTGATCAAATTCATTTTCTCAAATAGTAGGTTTTTTTTATTCCCATGATCAACAAACAGTTTCAAAATAGACTTTAATTTGCTGATCAAACCAGAAATTTCTAGATATCTCCTTTCCTTAAAAACAAGTTCTCATCCTTAAGAGTTAGAACTCTTTGTCAAACATTCATCGCTTTGAATCATGGAGCTCAACAATCGAGAAAATCATCAATACGAAGAATCATCAGAGTGGTTCGTAAAATATCTAAATCGCCAAAGTGATTGGTTAGAGAAAACCAGAGGAAATCTAATGGTTGCCGCGACGGTTATAGCTGGTATGAGTTTTCAAGTTATGGTTAATCCTCCTGGAGGTGTATGGCAAAGTGACAATTGTTCTTCCGGAAATCAAACCGGAACCATACCGGATTGTAAAGGGAAAGCGGGAACTGCGGTATTTGAGCACGAGAGTTCAAAGCGTTTTGCCTATCTTGGTATGGTTATTAGCAGTACAGTCTCGTTTTCTGCCTCAATGAGTCTGATTCTCCTTGTCATCAGCGGTTTACGACTAAGGTACCAATAAGTGCAACTTCATAACAAGGCATGTTTACTTGCTTAGTATGTAAATTATAATAACTTTTCTATAAATATTAAGTTTGGAATTTGAATGTATCTTTTCTGTCTTACAAGATATTACTGAAAAGTGAGAACAAAGATAGTCATGCAAATTGAGCTTAAGGTGTTGACTTTGGTTTAACTCTACCAACTATGTCGACACGATGGTGCCTAATGGTTGACTTAAACCAATTCAACAAAACCTGTCTGATTGGTAAAAAATAAAAACTAACTTGATCCGTTATATACGTGAGAACTGTGTAGTTAAGAAATGTGTACTTTAAAACATTTAAAGAAAAACCATTTCATATATCATATAGTTTTTTTTTTTTATATATATCATATAGTTATCTAATGGTTCTTTTGGTACTCTGAATAATTTAGTGAGAACTGTGTAGTTTTAAGTCTGATGATATAGTTATTTTATATAGGAATCGGCTGATAATGGCGATCCTCGTAACATTTATGGTGGCAGCGGTTCTTTGTATATCAGCAGCGTTCTTTTTCGCTGTCGCATTAGTTCAATCTGATGATCAAATAATTCGTGATATACTAACGATTTATGTGGGATTTTGGGTCGTGTTTCCTGTTTTAATACTTTTAATCCAACTTGTTCGATTTATATTCTGGCTTATTTGTCGTTGTTGCTGTCCACCTCGACGACGGTCCCCTCGACGGTTGCCAATGGCTCCATCTCCGGTCCATTAAGAAGAGGAGGAGGAACCTGTGGCTTGAACCTACGTATAAATATTGAAACTAATGTCCGCAATGTGATCACTAGAAAAAAAAAGTATATCATCCCATGGTCAGTTTTACAATGTTTATTTGTTGTATGGGTTTGTATTGTTTACTAAATTAACTTTGTTAGTAATTGTATGTGCGAATGATATGTGAAATTATTACAATATCACCTTGTGAATCGTGATTAGTCTACTCGAGGTCAAAATTATTTTTACCATAGCTCCTCTTAGTCTAAGTTAATCTTACCATAGTCTAATAAAAAGAAAGAGCAAAGAACAAAGAAAGAAAACAAGCGCAGATGAAAAACAGAACAAAATCTTTATCATTCACTAGAATGAAAGATTACAAAAAGAAAGGTTATAATCATCTCATTATTGGAGAGATTAATATCAGGAACAAAGAGACAAATATTTGAACGTAGAATATAGCAATGTTTCACATATATATTCGCAAATCGTTGATTTTTTATGTGATTGGACGGATGATGAAGCAAAAGTAAGTTATATTCCGTTTAGTAAACAGAAAAAAAGAAAAAAATCGTAAAGAACCCGCGAGGCCTAAATGATAGTTAGGGGACTATAGTATTATCATGCAAAAATATATGTCATGAAACTGAAAGAAATAGGGAAAAGTGAGTCAAAGGGAGAGAAGGAGGTAGGTCTCTTGCCCTATAATATCTGCCTTTACCCATCCCTCATCTCCTATATGGCTATATATATCTCATCTATAAACCTTTCATTTTAATTAATTTGTTGCAAAACATAATAAAAACAAGAAAGAAAGAAGAGAAAAGGAAGAAGAAAAGATGATGATGATGAATGCATATGAATGACTAAAATGGAAATTTATGCTCTAAAATGGAAATATCCCTTAGTCCAAAGGTCTTTCCACCTTCTTCTTCATACCTTATTCACCATCATGATCATATATCTCTTTGACCAACCACCATGAATGGAGCTCTAATATATTTAGATACCATCTTAAATCTCTCAATATATAATTCTCGAACCAATTTATAAGGTGGAGTACAACAGTATATAATCAAAAAGTATTTAGGATGATGGTTTGTTGCTTGAACCCATTTTGTTATGTACGATATCGATGGTCGTGGTAAGGTAACCATCTTAATTTTGTTGTGTTGTTCGATCTTCACCAACTAGCTATATTAATTAATTTTCTACTAAAGAAAGGATATAATTTGTATTAAGCCGAATTATGTATAGATTTTTTTATGATTTTAAATGCTTAATACAAAAAAATTTGTAGAATCGCACCATATATATTTAGTCAACTATTTTACTATATTCGATCATTCTAGTCTAGTATTAGGCAATGTTATCAATTGTACTATTTAGTTTCATCCATTCAAACCCTAAATTTGATGATCATATATATGTATGTATGGGTACATTAGATATAAACTTATAAATGTGCATGTAAAGAATGGTAGATAGTAGTAGTAGGTGTGTAAGAAGAAAGATCTAGGGGGCTTCAAAAAAAGGAGAGAAAAGGACAGAGCATGTGAAAAGAGACAGAGAAACAAACAGAGGAGTGAACAGTCTTACTCTTTTTTTTTTTCTATGCACTTAATGAACCCAACCCTCTCTGTATATTTCTGATTCTTCACATGTCTTCCTCTTCTTTTTTATTCCTAAAACCTTTTTTTCAGTAAAAACTAATGCCGAAAAAAATACTTAATAAAAAAACGACAAAATATCTAACATTTTTTTATAGAAAAAGGACAAAAGTACTTTCACTTCACTTGCAACCAAACAAACCTAGTCCCCTTCTTTATCCAATGGTCTCTCCCCTGCTCTCTATTTCTCATCTAAACACCCTTTTCTTTCCTTCTTATTTACTATTTTGCCACCTTATGTAAAAAATGTTAAGAAAAAAATGTGAGAAGTAAAATCTCTTTTTTTCTATTGTCGTCAGAAACTGTAAAATCTAAATATTACTCTTTTTCAAGTCAGCAAAAAAGTTTGGTTTCTTCTACCCGAGTCAGAGATTCGTGCCAGTGATGATACAAGAAGCTCATTCCGAATTCTTTTCATAAATACTCGTATTTCTCTTTTTTTACATCTATCTGTTTTTTTCTTGCATCTATCTGATTTTCCTCTGTCTTTAGACAGTAATAACAGAGCTCACTAAATGTGTAATAAACAAAAAATGAGCTCAATAAAAAGGTAAATGGCACTCATTTTTAGGCCATCAAGTGTTGGGATACAGCTGAAATTAAAAAGGCGTCAGCTTAAAGAAAAAAAATAAAAAAGATTCCCAAAAATCAATGCAGTTTTTTTATTAAAAAAAAAACACACAAATAATTATATATAGTTTCAAAATAAACGAATATAAAAAAATGAATAATATGAAGAAAGATTGAGAAGAGAGGAAAGAGTAGTCATAGAGACAGGAGCATCAAGTGCTGCAGAAGAAGCAACAGGAACACTGGGCCTGAGTCTCTTCAGATTTGCCAGTCTTTATAGGACCACACTCTTCTTCTTCATCCCCTTACATACATTTTATATTTTTATCTATTTTAACATTTACAATATTGGATATTTTAATGTTGTTTTGATTTTACACTACATGGCAAAACTCCTTAAAAGCTCTTGTCATGATGTGATTCTTTTTTCTTCTATTTATTTTTTGTTTCTTTTTAACACTGTCTATATATCTCTCTCTTGAAATATATAATGAAATGTTTTGTGATAGCTCTTTGATTTATTAACTCTTTGATTAACATTCCCCCCAAATAAACCCTACTAGAGTGTGACTAGCTAATTGTATAGTAATCTCTATTCTGTAATAAAAAAATTTTATCTTTCCTAAATACAAAAAAGTGGGGTATATATATATAAAAGAGGGAGTGGCCTCGTGTAGAGGAAAAACCTAGCTAGTGTTCATGCAATTTGCATCTGAGGAATATATGCTTAGAAAGAGAAAGAGAGAGAGATATTTCAAACCAGAGGAAAAGAGTGACAGAGAAGGTGGTCATCTTTGTCTGTCTCTGTCCGAAACTCAGGAGCCCTAATCTCTGAATCCATCAAGAAAGCTCTTATCTTCCTTCTTTTATGCTTCTGATTTTGCTACATATATAAACCCTCTGAGGAAAGCTAGAGAAGAAGATGATGAGTCTAAGTGGAAGTAGTGGGAGAACAATAGGAAGGCCTCCATTTACACCAACACAATGGGAAGAACTGGAACATCAAGCCCTAATCTACAAGTACATGGTCTCTGGTGTTCCTGTCCCACCTGAGCTCATCTTCTCCATTAGAAGAAGCTTGGACACTTCCTTGGTCTCTAGGCTCCTTCCTCACCAATCCCGTAAGCCCTATATTTCATGTTTTTCTTGTTCTTGCATAAAGTTTCAATCTTTTGTTGATTCTCATGCCCAAAGTTTCCAGCTTTATGTTTTTAAGAGTGGTTCGGTTTCTTGGTTTCTGCTTAAAGTCTCTAGCTTTTTCTTTCAACGACCACTTTCAATAACTCAGTTACCACAGTTTTCTTTTGATGATTTTGTAACTTAAGGTCCTAATTAATTAGGGTTTTACAGCAAAACATCATGATTAATTTTAGGGTTTTGTGTTAATTAAATGATGCAGTTGGATGGGGATGTTACCAGATGGGATTTGGAAGAAAACCAGATCCAGAACCAGGAAGATGCAGAAGAACAGATGGTAAGAAATGGAGATGCTCAAGAGAAGCTTACCCAGATTCAAAGTACTGTGAAAAACACATGCACAGAGGAAGAAACCGTGCCAGAAAATCTCTTGATCAGAATCAGACATCAACTCCTCTAACATCACCATCTCTCTCATTCCCCAACAATAACAACCCAAGTCCCACTTTGTCTTCTTCTTCTTCATCTTCAACTACTTATTCTGCTTCTTCTTCTTCAATGGATGCTTACAGTAACAGTAATAGGTTTGGTGTTGGTGGAAGTAGTAGTAACACTAGAGGTTACTTCAACAGCCATTCTCTTGATTATCCTTATCCTTCTACTTCACCTAAACAACAACAACAACAACAACCTCTTCATCATGCTTCCGCTTTGTCACTTCATCAAAACACTAATTCTACTTCTCAGTTCAATGTCTTAGCCTCTCCTACTGACCACAAAGACTTCAGGTTCTTTCATCTTATCTTTAATTTCCCGTGTTGATCTTTCATGGAAACTTTTATTTATGGAAATATTTTAATTCAGGTACTTTCAAGGAATTGGGGAGAGAGTTGGAGTTGGGGAGAGAACGTTTTTTCCAGAAGCATCTAGAAGCTTTCAAGATTCTCCATACCATCATCACCAACAACCGTTAGCAACAGTGATGAATGATCCGTACCACCACTGTAGTACTGATCATAAGATTGACCATCATCATCAAACATACTCATCCTCATCATCATCTCAACAGCATCTTCATCATGATCAAGAGCATGATCATCGACAGCAACAGCAACAGTGTTTCGTTTTGGGCGCCGACATGTTCAACAAACCCACAAGAAGTGTCCTTGCAAACTCATCAAGACAAGATCAAAATCAAGAAGAAGAGGAGAAAGATTCATCGGAGTCGTCGAAGAAGTCGCTTCACCATTTCTTCGGTGAGGACTGGGCACAGAACAAGAACAGTTCAGATTCTTGGCTTGACCTTTCTTCCCACTCAAGACTCGACACTGGTAATTAATTAAAAGATCTGCGAAATAATCTAATCTCCTAATTATTGATAGTTTAAAATTAGATTTAAATTAATTTCCTCAGGTAGCTAGTTAAGGAGAGCATCAATGATGGATCTGCACCAACACACACAACTGTGAAATGTTGAAGAAGAGTCACATTTCACATCTATTTCCGTGGAACAATGAGACAAGACACTGTTTGCAGAATCCTATATATATATGTAATACATTTATGTATTTTCTCTCTTTTTTCTATGTGTGTTAGGTCCAACAAGAAAAAGTGATCCGACAGATATATCTGTATGTGTTCTCTTGCTTTCTCAAAAAATCAGTTTTTATTTTACTGTCGCTGATAGCAACAAAAGAAAACATGACTTGATTTGTGAGGGGTATGGTTATATATATTTATTTGTTTCTTAGGATGCAAGCATCTACATAATTTCTGATTAACTTATTTTAAATTTTGATGCAAAGGAATAATAATAGACTAGGTTGCAAATTCTGTATGAAGCAAAGTATACGATTATCCGCAATTAGTTAAAATTATAAATGTAAACACAGACACAGAGAATCAATTACTATCTAATTGAAAAAAAAAAAAAATTACTATCTAATTGACTGTATGTATATTGAAAGTATCCGCAGGTTATGAAATGACGTTTCATAGGCCCAAGTCTTGAATCACGCATTGACAAAACGAGAGAAAGGTCAAAACTCAACAAAATATCGCAACAAATTCAACTTATTATTATGTAGAAACATAACTTTTGTTGTCGTTTATAGAAAAACAAACAATCATATTCAACTTTTTGGTGTATGCTTCCTTCCATGCATGTGCCTCTTTAGCAAAAAGAAAGAGGAGAGTTAAAAGACAAAACATCATGACTCTTGATCCATTAAGTTTATTTATCTATTTACGTGCGTATGATTACTTGGAATCATTAGTCATTACCAACATTAATCTTATATTTTTAATATCTCATATGTACTTTAAGCTGAGAATTTTAAAAGCATGTTGCCACCGAAGATTCTATGAACGGAATAAGGTCCAGATTAAAACCAGCTCATCTTTGGCCTTACCAAACAAAAACGCGTCCTAAACACTTTCATAGTAAGGAGCAATAAGAATATAAGATCAATATTATCATTCTTCAACCATGTCAAACTATCCTAACCAGACCGGTTTGCATAAACCGAATCAGGTCATGAAACTTTCAGACCACAAGAAATTTCCCAAACCATAATACCATATATATTCACTACTCTGATTAATCGGTGTCATCCTTAGCTCTAAAATACGCCCTACCACCAGTTCTATAAACCAAACAAAAGGCCTGTTTATCAATTCCCATCATCATACGAGGAGTCTTACATAAAATGGGCACTTTGCAACATTGTTTCAGAACTAGAGATTTAAATAACCAAAGTATTACAGATACAACACTAAAGATTCCGACATTTTCTGACTCCAAGAGCTATCAAACATGAAAGATTCGACACTTTATGATTCCAAGAGCTATCAAACACGCAAGAATGACATTTTCTGATTCCAACAGCTAGTCTAAGCAGTTCCTATCTGACAATGTCTCAAGCGTCAAAATCAAACCTAAGAGAACTGACAAAGAATCTATTGTCTACGAAAAGCATAACATGAAGAATGAAACTTGATCTTCCTACCTTACTCTGCCTTGACTCTCACTACAACAACATCATACAAACAAACCGAAATATCATCGCAAAACACGCATAAACAGAGGATTTGTGTACATCAAGAGAGGTAGAGAATGTAACACGAATATTCAAAAACAGAAACACATTTGCCAGCAACTCACAAAATGAAATTAGATATCGGTTTCATCATCTCACAGAACCCCTAAAAACAATATTACATGACTTGAGCCATTCTTTTTTCTTTTCCCAACTCTCTGTTCACTCTCTAGTTAGCATCGTTAGGCATGTAAATGAAAAACTACACGACCTTAAAAAGAACAAAAAAATTCAAGACTGAAAGATGAATACAAAAGAAGAAAAGAAGGAAATTGTCAAATCCAGAATTTACCCATTTACAGATGAAGAAGACTTTGAGGACACATCATTGCAGCAATTGACAATTCTCTTTCTTTATCCTCGTCTCAAAAGTGTGTGTTTCCCGGTTGATGAAAATTCAATAAAAATTTCTCTCCCAAATTCAATAAGTATGTGTCATCCTTAGAAGCTGCTTTCTTTTGAAAACCAAGAAGGCAACAACGCAAATCTGCAACATTGCTGCAAACCCAGCGAATACAAGACCCACTGTTTTCCCTGTGTTTAGACCACTTTTCTCTGACTGTTTGAAGACCCGAGAAGGAGGAGGAGGAGGAGGAGTAGGAGGAGGAGGAGATGGAGGACGTAACCGTCTTGGTGGTTGGTTTCTATTAGAATGCGGAGGAGACGCTTGCGCACGCGGAGGAGGATGAGGGTGTTTTGAAATCGGCGGCGGCGGTGGTGGTGGAGAAGGAGTAGGTGGAGGAGGAGGCGGCGGAGGTGATGGTAATGGTGGCGGTGGAGAAGTAGGAGGAGGCGTATTATCGTTAATGGTGGATTGCGGAGGAGGCGGAGTCTGTTGAGGAGGAATTGGCGGAGATTGATTCAAGACGAATGACGGGGGCGGCGGCGGAAATATACTCTCAACCGGAGACGGCGGAGGAGGTGGTGATTGATTTAGGGGCTGCTCTTGTTGTTGTTGTGATTGAACAATAAGGAAGCCATGGAAGCTGAGAATCACACCGAGAAATAAAACATTGACGGAACAATATCTGAAAACAAAACCCATTAATCACCAGATTGACCAAGACTCGATCCAGATGATGACAAGACGGCTTCTTCCTTGTTCTTCGTCAGCACATAGTGGAATTCGATTGTGGCATCTGAGAAAGATTCCGGTCAACGAAGATATCCGGTGAGGAAGGAGACAAATCTGAGGAAATAGGTCTCCGTTCTTCTTCCTCTCCCTATTTCCAGATTATTTTTTTATTTCCGATAATCGAAACCAGAGAATGATGGAGTCGGGAAGAAGCAAGAATCAAGGAATCACGAATCTGACAACTAATGTATCCGTATCCCCCAAATTGACGAATCGAATTCGGAGGGGGTGGTCAGAGAATTTCCGGAGACGAAGAGAAAAAAGTCGATTAAGAAGAACAAAATTGACTATACAAAGCGGAAATGGTAAATTTTCCGGGAAAATGCAAAGAGAGAGAGAGAAGAGTAACGGTTTAGGGCTAAATCTGGGGGAAAGAGAGATTAAGGAGAAATTTTGGGAAAACGTAGATTTTGATTTTGATTTTACAATCTGTAATCTGTAATTATAATAACTCCGTTTTCTTTTTTAGTGTCTTATTAAGGGAGAAGACGAAGAAGAGAAAAATAGTTGAATGTTCCGTTGTGAAAGAAAACTCACGGATCCAATGTCAATCTCCATCATCCATCGTGGCATCATCACACTTACCATCATCCAACATCTATCCCTTCTCCTTTGACCTCGTATGCTCATACTCACTTAGTGGGCTTAGGCCCATGTGATTAGTTAATGTTCATAGCCCATTTTTCAAAAAATGTTATATATGATCAAACCACTTTGTCATGTATTCTGGTAAAAAAAAAAGAATGAAGAACCATTCCTAAGGATGACAACAAGTTTCTTCTACTATTGGATTTCTCCTAGCAAAGTCAAGTAGCAGCTTTGTATCATCTTAGCATATCCATAATTGGGACGAGACAGACAACATATGATGCAACTTGATTACTCAGAGCTTTATGACAACGAAAATCCTTGGTTTTAGCCCCATGCCATGGAACAAGCATAGTTCACCACCAGTTTACCATCAAACCCAAAGTTCTGCAATTATCAAGAAAACCAGCATAATCTTAAGAAATGCAAAGAGAACAAGCCCCGGTAATAGGAACAACCGAAGAGATCAAACAAGCTCATGACTGAAGACAACAGATGAAAGATTGATAACTAGTTTCAGGAGCAAAATGAGATTACTTACATTGTATAGATCAATTACTGATTCATCGGGGGTTGGCGAGAAAGCGCTGTTTACATAAACAAACTTACAAAGTGAAGGATATCAGCACACTTGAGACAAAATCAATTTTACACAAAAGATAACACAAAAGATTCTGATAAATGATTTACCAATGAGTCAGAGTGAAGCTGCCGTCTAAGAAAATCAATCACTTTAGCAAATTTTTCAGTCCCTGCAATCTGAAGACACCAAAGCAGAGCACATATACAACTATATATCAAAGAAACATTCTCAAACAAGAAAGATCAAAACTATTATGATAAAAGCTAATGAGATTTCAAATACACATAAGAACCCTAATTTCATCTCTAAATTAAATTTGGTGATTCGCGAAGGAAGGAATGATTGATTAGAAAAGAAGGTCTACCTTGAATTTAGATTGTTTCAGTATTGAAGCACCACCAGTAGCTCTTAGATGAACAACAACTGTTACGAAATTTATGAAAAAAACGAAACCATAGAGATATGATCAAAATTAGAACCGTAAAAGAGAAATCATCAAAAATTCTCATCAGATTTAAAACCATCTTATAGTCAAAGAATCAATGACTCACTTTTCCGAACAGAATTCGGAGATTCCGTCGCCATTGTTGGGACTTTGGTTTGACCAGAGAGAAGTGGAAGAAGAAACTTGACAATGATTTCGAGCAAGTTAAAGATTTGTTTGGATACATAATAAGCCCAAATTATTTAAAGCCCAATATAGTTAAATCCGGCCCTGTTCTATTTTTAAAAGGCTTATATCTCAAAGGTAGTTTTGTTTTTGTTTTGGATCTTGAAAGCTCATCTCAGTGAATTGACGAAAACGGAGATACAAAAAGATCATAAAATGGTAGGATCGGTAACTTATAAAAATATATGAAGAAACTTTTTAATTTATGTCACCAAAAAGATCATAAATTGGTGAATTAGATGAGATTTTAGAAAATTGATTATATATAAAATCACATGTTTATCCTATTATTATATATATAAAATCATCTGTTGGTTAACAATCAAAATCGTACTGTTGTATTTCTTTAGATATTACATGATGAGAGGGACTTTAGATATATAGAAAACAAGACGATGACATTGACCCATTTGAGATAGATCAATCGTTATCGTTATAAAGTAATGTCGAATAATTATGATATATATATAGGGATGGTCCAAAAGATGGATAGAAGACAAGCTCGTGCATTAGGCATCATGCATGGGCACTGGGTATTTAATGATTTGGAGTTAGGTTTATGACGAATCCAAAGGCAATAGTAATATGTTCATCTTCTCTACAGTCATTTTCATTGTATCCTTTTTAAAAAAATTTGTGGCAGTTGGAAACAGATAATCAAATATTAATGTCTATTTCTTCCTTTTATTTTTTTTTGGTGAAACAACATTTCATTGGAGTATATATTAATATGCCTTTTAACAAGATTATAACCAACAATTCACGCAAATTACAATACCTTATAATAAATTAAAGATGAACCTCACCAAAAAAAAATGAATTGAAGAAATGCGTATGCCAAATTGCCTATATGCCATGTCAAATAGTGAAAGTTATACGTACGTCATCATTTCATCGAGGTTCAGACAAAAATATGCAACCACGACCATAATCAATTCTTGGAATCAAACAAAAACATTCTTCTTTTTCAGAAAAATTGGGTTTGGCTTCCAACATTATCTTCTTTCCTTCTCTTGTCTTGTGTATTGACCAATAAACAGATAGAATTCGTCCAGCAAATTGATGATCATTATACTTATGAGAGAATCAGCTAAAAAAACAATCAATTTTCTTATTTAAAACGATATAGTATGTATTTTTTGTTTGCATCGAAACTTTTGAAAACAAAATAAAGAAGCACAGTGTTTGCTACTTTATATCTGGTCCAGTGTGTGGGATCTACAAAATTTTGATGTGGAGTGGGAAGATTTTTTCATAGGGATCAGAAAAAAACCAAGAGTTAACACGTGTGCACGTGGGAGAGTTACGACACATAAGTGGCCACCCCCGTCACGTGCGGGCTACATTTATATCCACTCGTTTCTTCCCTTGGTCCGACTTCATTGGTCCATCTATCTCTTCGTCTCTTTCCCTTCTCCAAACAATTTTCTAATTACTCGTCTTCTCAAATTAATATACCTTCGTAAATAGACAATTAATGTTGAATTCGACGTAGCTTTATTAGAACTAGTTAGTGACACCTGCACACACAAGAAAGCTTATAATAGTGTTGAGAGTGACCCACCATTTGCACCATATGTACCGTTTTACGACGACATGTACACGTCCGTGCACACTCACAAATAGAGAATGAGTACTATCGAATTAAATATACATATAGTGGATTGAGAATAGTGTGTGTGTGTGTCTTAGCTTGTGTGATTTGAAATGTTGTAAGCCCTAGCTAGCTACTTAATATATATAGAAATAGCTGGTAATGCATGCGAATGACGAGTTGTGCATGGTTGATATGGGACATTGTATGCCCCTTAATTATTCTTTTATCTTTATAAAATTACATATCAATCTTATATGGTGTAAATATATGATATGTAGCTGTCCAAAATAAATGCTTTTTCTTGATTTGTTGTCTCACGACGAAATTTCTTCGTTAAATACGTGTATATTCTATATAGGCGTGGTACTCTATTATTAATCATCAAGAGAAATTTATACTGTTAAACAAGACATATACAATTAAACCAAAAAAAAAAGACATATACAAAAAATAATATGCAAGTTCACAAGTTATATGAAAGGGAAATTATAAATTTGAATTTCAAATACAACCGCTGAAAACATGTGTTTTTATATCCTACAATTTTTTTTTCTCAAATTCGTCTTTACCGCCATATTGGTTTATATAAAAGAGTAATTAATTAATTGTTTTAAAATTGATTAGATTTCATTGTTGTAGTCAAACTTTTGAAATTAATTGGCTAAATCAGCACGTTACTCTCATGATTATATTTTCACTTTCATAACTCCCCCACTTCACCCACCACGAATGGGGACAAATCCACATATATTATACTTACCGACGTAAGTATCCGTTTATACACTAACTTTTTCTTTAGTTAGAGTGTCATCAAAAGTTGCATATCTTAATTGATTCTTTAATATTTGATAAGATATATCTACGGAAATATCAGTTGAGTTCTTTTGTTTTGCTTTGTTTTTGACAGCATTGAAGTATATATGATACATTTTTATTTACTTTTTTCTTATTGAAGCTATTAAAGGATTGATTCTCGATTATGCGGGAACTGCAAGCTACAAATTAAATAATAAAACAACCGTTTTATTAAAGTGATCTTAAACAAACGAAAAGAAAATAAAAGTGGGAAGTTGGGTTACTAGAGTATGCGATCTTTCCTTTGTATCGGATACTTTTGACCATATAGCCATACTAGCCTTTTTTTTTTAGTTTGTACAGACAATAATCTAATTGTGTTATGCTTTTAGTTATTATATAAATACATACATTTCAAGCTAAGTAGCATGTTTGTGTTAGCTTTAATAGCTTATCATAACGCTATGATTCGGTGGTCCAATTTGTTACTTTGAACCAAATTTAAATTTTGGTCATGCTCTTTTTTTGGTCATGTAAGCTTATGCATATAAATTTCCGAAAAATGAATATATTAATATGATTTTACAACGTTAGATGTGTGGATTCTTTATCTTTCTATCAGTGCAATCAAATCGAAGGTTGACATGACAAGCTGACATAATGTACGTAAAACATTAATAACACATGCTTCGTTATTTTAATATAGTGTTTTGAACTGAAACTTTTTACCATTCTAGCATCTATTTGCTTGTCGTGTTAACATTATTAAGAAAGAGTTACTCATAGAGCACATATTAAGCAACATCTCAAAAAAAATATTTTGATCAATGTAACAGAATCGTGACTATTGATATATCAAAGACGACTATACTGATGTATCGTCCATCATCTTGTGGTTTGATATCATCGCGGTGATAGGTCAGTGAAAGGAATGTGTGTAGCTAGAAGAAACAGACGAGACTTATGCATAATCCAACATTATAATCTTAAGCCATGCTTAGAACAAGACAAGCCAATAGAATCACGTTCAGGCAAAAGAAAAGAAGAAGTACTCGAAAAGAATCAAATATTGGATACTATTGTCCATGACATTTGAGACCATGTCTCTTTCACTTTTTTCCCCATCTTATTGATCATTATTAGTAGCATCAAATCAAATCTTCTACTTTTAGTTAATTAATAATTTTTTTTGTATCTATCAACTCAAATCTTCTTCTTATAGTTTTAATTTTACCTAAAAGACAGAGTAATTAAGAAACAAAGAAAAGGCAACGACTCTTTGCTGTTATAATTGACGACAGAGAATATAAAACTTGGCTCTCTTTTTTTTTTTACTGTCACTTAATCTTAGTTATGAACTTATGACCAAAATATATCAAGTTTAAGATGATTGATTAAAATAGATAATTTTATACACAACTTAATTAACAAAGGAGAACAAAAAAAAAACCGTTTATAGGAAGCGGTAAAACATTGTAATAATAATAACAAAAAAAAAATCCCAAGGGGGAAAAAAAGATCGAATGATCTAAAAACTAATCACCCCCAACCATTAATTATATAAACTAAAATAATAATAATTATACAATTAAACCAGTAGCAATGACTCGATTCATATTATCCAGACGAGTGGTTTCGTAAACCGGAAGCTCTTCTCTATACCTATCAATCCCAATCGCCGACAGATTCTCCAACTCGAATAGATCAGAGCTTGCACAACTCGCAGCATCGTCTTCATCATCTTCTTCTACGTTGGTGATGTTCGTCGTCGTTGTAACCTTGTTCTTATTATGGTAAGTTCTCAGAAGATCTTTGGCTGCTTCGATAACACGGCGATGCTCTTCCATAACGTCGCGTTTAGCTTCGTTGCTACCGTAGAGACTGTTGTTGTTATAAGCGTAAGGCATGTGAATGGAGGAATCTTCGTCGAGGATAACATTGACTGGACAGAACCGTACGGATCTTTTTGATTTGCCGCTAGACGATGGAGTTTTGCTCAAGCAAGACCTGGAGTAGGAGGATGCGGAGGAGCATGTGGAGGAGGAGTGTGGCTCTTCAACGGTGGTCACGGTGGTTGTAGTTTTCTTGTGCTTCTTAGGGTTAGTGGCGGCGGCGTTGGTGAAAAGAGAGTTAAGGAAAGTAGCGAGTCTGCCACCGGGAGAGATCGGTTGTTTGACTTTTTTCAAATCGGAGTAGATCTTTAAAGCTTTTGATTTAGTTCTCAAGAAGCCACCGAGTTCTTTAGGTTTCTGGACGGCGGAGGTGTGGTCGACGGATGATGTTCGAATCGGCTTCGGTTGTTGACGAGTGGAAGGAGGAGGAGAGGAGGATGATTTGGAACGTCCGTAGAAGGAATCAGACTCGGAAGAGGAGAAACCGCCGCCGCTTGAATCAGAAGAGTTAGAGTTGGAGTGTCTAAGAAAGTCAGTCTTCCTCCTGGATCTCTCGAAATCAGCGGCGATTGAGCGGCGGTGATAGACAGGAGAAACTTCACGATCCTCGTGGAGAGAAGCGTTACGTTGTTGGTGGTGATGCTTCTTCTTCTTGATGGATTCGAGGGGAGGAGGGGAGGAATCGTCGATGGAGCGGTAGATTTGGTCGAGGAGAGTGGAGGAGAAAGAAGGGTGACGGTGGTGAGATGAAGAAATAGGTTTGTCCCAAGTGATCTCCATTAGAGGGAAAAAGCTTTCAGGTGGGAAGAGGAAAGATGTGAGAGAGAGAGAGAGAGAGCAGAGGAACATGGAAGGAGGAAGGAGTGTGTGTTTATAACAAGGCAGACAACTGGTAATCATTGCCACGTGTCTTTCTCGACAACTCTCTGCCTCTTCCCCCACAAAACTAAACCACCAATCATCCTTTTTTACTCTCACCTCCTCTCTCTTTTTTTTTCAAAAATATTTTATACTATAGTCTATGGTAAAAAATATACGTATATAAAAGATATTTATTCAATGTGTTTTTATTGGAATAAAAGTTGTTTAACATGTTAAAAAAGACTATGGAATGCAAGAAGCAAGACGAATATCGGAGGTCCGGAACATCAACTATATATGTCCGAACCTCCGAATTATGTATGTGATGAATGAAAATGGTAAGGTTTAAGAATTAGGAATTTGTCTTGAACCAAAAGAATTATGGGATATCACTGCTGGGTTACAGAGAAGCTTAGCCTTTATTCACATGACACGACCCAAAGATTCACTTATGTGTTCCCTACTTATAAAGTAAAAGATTAAAGTTGTTCCTTCCTCATCATAATTCTTATTTTATTTTCTTTGTATTTCTTTAAGTACTAGAAATATAAAATCTTTGAGTTATTTCAGCAAACCCAATATTGATACTTGGGTCCATATTACAACTTTTTTGTTCTGCTTATTTATTTTCTAATTAAACAGTGCAAAACTACAACGTTCTAATGGTTCATACACATTTTAATACTAATTACACAACATTATATAGTATTGATATTACACTTGTGAAGGATTTTAGACAACAAAACTATAAAAAAAGAACGGGCTGCGGTATACTTTTTGATTGTGGCTTAAGTTCAAGAAAAAACATGAGGCATTAAGAAAGTTTGAGAGACACTAATCAGAGAAGCAAACTTTAAGTGAAGAAATAAATAATCACAAATTTAAAAGTGAAAGATATATGGTTTGGTTAACAAAATACGGAAATAATGTTGAAAAGGATTTGATGATCGTCGTATGCTCGCGATCCGAAGTAGAACATAATGCCATTTTAAAGATCAAGTTTAGCTTACTGTGTGTATCTAACTATCAACTAATTTGGTATAAAAGGAACACGTATGTATCTAGGTTTAACTCAATTTTCATTCTACTAAATAATCACTGAATTAGTGAAACCTCGAAATACGAGATACAGAAGAAATTTGCTCTATACAGTAGAATCTATGAATATACAAATTATAAATTCGAAGGGAATTAATCAAATATTGGAGAAAGGAAATAAAGCGATGGCGATTTTGGAAAAGCCTACAAACGCTATAGGCTTAGGCTTAGCTTTAGAAATCAGAAACAAAAATAAGATGCAATGTTGTATTTGTGAAGTGTAAAGATTAGTTAAAAGAAAGAACTATTGGACGATGGGGAAACAGAGTCAAGTAATGCGGCTAAAGAGGCTCTGATCACTCATTAACCTTAACACCCAACTCGCATTTCTCATTAACAACCATAATTTTGCAACCCACTTTAATTGGTAATTGAGTTCCTAGCTCATATTTATCTTCCATCTACGTAAGAAATTAATGGTGTTGATTATTGGAAACATCCTATATATAGCTAGTTTACATCTTAGCTATGTGACTATTTCAAACACTCGAACTTCTCAAATTTCTTTTTCCCTTTTTTGAATAAAATGTAAAATTTACTCAAAAAGAATCTTAGTACAATGAATGCATCAAGTTTATAAGTTTGCTATGACTTTTTTGAAGTTGAAAATAATAGAAGGTTGCTATCTAGTTGCAGACCACATTTTCATCCCTTTGTTGAATCGAGTCTCTTCCATGACTCGAATCGTCAAGAGTCTATTTCGAACATGCCTGTCTATGCACTTGGTTAGCTGAGAATGCTCAAATTTCATTTTAGTCCAGTCAAATACATCTAACCATCTATACTCGACTGTGGTATAAGAGAATAATATGGAGGATTTTTGGGGTAATGCATGGTTACATAGAGTGTTAACATAGCGTCAAATTTTTTGACATTCTGGAATCTTCAAACACAAATTATCTTATAAAATGGTCGAATTTGCGTTAAAAAATTTTGTTTTAGGAAATGTGATCATCATAAGGAAAACAAACTTTTACGTTATATTATTTTTATAGTTTTCTTCAATCAAATTCACTTAAATCTGAATCTAAAGTAAATCTTGTTGACAAAATCAAATAAAATAATCAAACACGTTAATTGAAATTTAAATATTATTTTTACAAAATTTGTTATATATGTTTGTGAAAAAATTGCTAGGGAGGAGGGCAAAACAGCAGGGAGCCAACAGTATAATGGAAATGATTAGACATAGACAACGGGATTAAGACAATATCATCTATCTGATTAACAAAATCAGGCTTTATTAGCAAGTAGAGAGGATTTTTAATTATGAAGAATTACTGTTAACGTCGCTTTCTTTTACCATGTAAAAGTGACCGATGACAGTTAAATATAGATTGTATATAATCTTTATTCTATAAGTTTTTTTTGTTGTATAAACAACAATAGCACATTAGTTTTTTTTTTTTTAAGACGCAATATCAAATTCTCCGAAGTTTATTTCTAAATAAATATTCTTACGCACACCACGGGACAAAATTAGTATAATTAGTCTCCACATGTAATGATATGTAAAGCTAATTACATATACGGTTAGCTAACGGAAAGTACTTTTGATAACAAAGGCGGAATATAAATAATACTAATGACTTTTTAGCCGCAAGATCTTTGGAAAATTATATAGTTTGGTTATCTCATATATTTTAGTTTTAATTGTGTTCTTAAGAGAAAATACAATAAAAGAATGATGCCAATAATGCATAAGCATGCGGTGCGTAGTTATATTGCTAAACTTTTTTGAGTGGTGTAGTTGTGTTATATAGACAGGAGATATTAAGTATCTTATTCAATTAATTAAATTGTAAATCTCCCTTGCGAACTTTGGTTTTGAGATGTATTATCTGAACCATAATCTAATTGGATCATTGAAAATAATAAAATGTGTGCGAGAAGGAATCATGCAATGTTAAAGAGATAATGGTGCTCATTTGCAAAATGATTACTCCCTTGGCCTAAGGGAAACTTCATTTCTTTTAACTATAGTTTCATGCATCAATTGAAAAACAAATGAAACGAGTTTTTATTAAAGTAAGTAACTAGTTTTCTTATTAAAAAGGAATATGGGAAATTAGACTATTGAATGCACACAACACATGCATGTTATTTTTAATGAACGCCCTTTCGATTCCACGAAACTTCATATTCGTGTAGCTCTTCATTAATCGGACCCATCTCTCATACCATTTCTACAATTAATTTCGTGTGTTTGTATTATATGAGAGATGGTAGAAATGGGTCCGGTTAATGAAGTATGTTATAGTTCAAGAAATACTTGAACCTTACCAAAATATTTTAAATGAGAAAGTATGTTATAGTTCAAATAATGTTAACTCGTAATAACTACATCATTGGATAAATTTAACATGTTGTATCAAACGTCCATGTCAATCTCTCAAGTTTTCTAAATATCTCATATATATATATGATTTCGTATAACGCATACCATAGGCGGAAACAAAGAGAGAAATTATTACAAAAGAAATATGTACAATGAATAGAAGTTGCAGGGGAGATTGATTCCACGCATGTGTGGGTGGATATGATAAACAAAAGAAAGACAAAAGATTCCGATCACATCATAATTGAGTTGGTGCATGCAATAGCAAAAGCAGATTCCATTTAAATCAAATAGCTAAAGAGCACACTCCAAACTCTTTAAGAGAAACGTTTGATTTTCATATTTTCCCTCTAACAGCCCAACAAACAAGAATATATACTTACCATGATTATACCATACAACAATGTTGTTGGTGTATCAGTCAGTGAGTGTATGGATGTCTATAAATCACTCCACTATCTCTGATTTGACATGTCAGCTTCACAGTGACATACAACGTTTCAAACTTTTCATCGTTGATAAAAAACAATCTCCTACATTTCAATTACGTGTCGAATTTACACAAAATTTAGATGATTTCTAGGGAGAAATTAAAATCTTTATGATTCAACAAACAAGCCTTGATTTAACAAAAGTAGTAAAGAGTTATGCTTATAAATCTCCAAATCCGATCATGAGACCTTTTGACTTATTGAGAATAAAAATCATTTTCAATTAAAGTTTGCTAATTCTTCTTAATTTCTTATAATCTTTCTATGAGATATATAGAATAGGGTCAAGAAGAGCCAACATTTCCCATCATTATCCCCGTTACATGCGGGTTATCTAAGTTATGAAGTATGAACCCTAAGCCTCTACTCTACGCTAGCCACTCTTAATCAAAATTACTTTTTAATTACAAAATCTCCTCAATCATTTTGAGTTTCATTTTCAGAGAATCTCAAGCCAATCTTTGCTTGTGCGGTAGGTGTTATCAACAGTGTAACCACGTTTAATAAAACCTAGACCGGTCAAAATGAGACAAATTAATAGAGTATGAGTATTAGTGACTCAACATCATGGAGTCTCAAGAGATTGGTAGAGGGTAATCATTTCTCAATAAGGTAGGACTTGGGAGATAAAAAAAGCTTCGGCCTATTAAATCAGAGAAGCAAGCAAAGTCCGTACAAATTAGCCTGTAAGTAAACTCTAGTTGGCCCCTTGATTAAGACCCACCTCCCCAAACTAAGTATATTTAGTTCTCTAAATATGTCAACAAAACGATCAATTAGATTCTTTTGTTATGATGACATAGTGTGCTATGACACCTAAAAAACAAAAGTAATCAAGGAGATAATCAAAACCTATAGGGCTGCGCTTCAACAAGTTCTCTGATTAAGAATATTTGTTTTTTTTTCTAAAGGCAGGAAAGTTAGGTCAAGCTCAACAACTAATGATTCTCTATCAAGAATTTAATAAGGATGAAGAAATGGAGAGAGAAGACATAAAACTCAAAGAAGAACATTGAACAGCTAAACAAAACACTCAATTCTCTTTAATACTTGTAGAACATTGACAATGGGAAACACTAGCACCAAGCAACAATGTTTCACTCACAGGGTTCCACACTTAAACACCATCACATGCATTGTAGGGTTCTTGAAATTGACAGAAACTATAGTAGCAGTAAAAATGATTAAGAAGCACGGACAGGACTTTACCTGGACACATTGACGCTATGGGAGGATAACACCATACCTGCAGCTGTAAAAGATGAGGGGATATGGAAGCAGACAAAGGATTTATTGAAAATTGTTGAGAGCTGGGAACATTTTATGCATTGAATAAATAAGATTAATTTAAAACAGAGTTTGGGCGTTTCATAAGGAGAATCAAAATATTTGCTTTTGGCTATTATATAATCCATTAGACAGGAAGACAAAGGTTAGATTTTGTTCAGAAGTTTGCTGGCCAATTCGGATGACCAAGTTGTGATTGTTGATAGGTACCAACTTGAGACGGAGGAGGAGAGGGCACAACCCCGACTCCAACATTACCACCAAGGCCAGGTCCCATGTGGTGCGGATTCGCCATTGTACCAGGCTGTGGCGGGTGGAAGAGACCCTGGAACTGCATGTGAGATGATTGTGCAGCAGGGTTGAACGATTGGTGTGCTGTATGGGATGATAAATAAGTGCCATGAGGCGATTGTCCAGCTACGTTGTAATATGGAGACTGAAGGCTTGAAAGATCTCTTGGATTTTGCATCCAAATCTCAGAAGTCTCAGCCTGTAGTGTTAGATAAGGAAAAACAAATCAGAATACAAAATAACTGGCAAAAACATGAAGTTCGGGAACGACTAACATACTTATCATTACCTGAGGATTTGGAAAGTAAATATTTCCATCTTTGTATTTCATGCGAGATGGATCTTCAAGTCCCGTAGCGTTTCCAACTACATTGGGAGGATTAATTGGATACCCATTAGGATTGTTGTAAGTCCCAAAACCCGTAGGTCCACCAGTTGGAACTGGTTTATATTGCTGATGGATTCCATACTTGACACCATTTGAACCGAGATGAGAACCGCCTCCAGGCATCAGCACATAGCTATTGCCATTTGAAGGGTGTGCGTATGCTGCTGGGTTATTTGAGTAGCCTGGCATGGGCATTTGGGGAACATAGACTGGGGAGAGGAATTGACGATAAGGCATGAGATTGGGAAAATGCGAAACATGGACCTGCGGATACATATGTTGCATTGATGCCTGTTGTTGTTGCTGCAACATGGGAATAGTGGATGGAGGGGTATTATTTACCAAGTGTGTACTTAATCCCTGCTGCATTATCAAAAGGATACCTGATCAGTTTTTCCTGGTAAATAAAATAAAAAGATAACTATGACACATGCACAAACCAACTGCTCAAAGCTAACTAGACTCTTACGCATCAACCCATGCTGGCAAACCAGTAATAATTAACAACAGAAACATAAATTACCTCCTGTGGAGATGGTAATCCTTGAACTCGTACGGTTTCATCCATTGCAGGAATAAAATACGGAAATTCATAACTACCATGGTTGTCATAAGCCTGCGGGAAAGGACGAGCATGTCATTTTTGAATGAATTTATCTTTCCTTGAATTTTTTAAAAGCTACAGTTACAAGAACGCTTACAGAAATTTTTTGCAACTCGGGAAGATCTTGCTGCTGTTCGAACTCTAAAGGAGTATAAGGTGGACCATTCCTATTGAGTAATTGAATTCCCGAGTACTCATCCAAATCGTCAGATCTATGAGTTTCTTTCTGTTCGGGCAACTGTGGCTCCGATACTGCCGAGATGGGTGAGTCAGATCCAGAAACTCGGACATGATCATCAATAATATTGATAGGCTGAACGCCCGGACCATCTGTTGAAGCCTCAGGACAAGTAACTGGCGAACTGTCAACAATATCATCAAGTTAATTGGGGAAAGATGCAAGTGATCTCAAACTATATCCGAAATTTACAAAAACAAACAATACCACCAACTGTCAAAACTTACCTACGATCAGATTCTCTAAGTTCTTCTGAAGAGCATGATTCTTGGAAAGCAGATGTTGAATTCCTTGAAGAATTAACCTCTTGAACAAAGCTACCAAAAGTAAGCTGACAGCGGTCAGTTTCCGGGACACGAATATGATCTGCGATGATGACATTCTGACTTTCACTTATATGAACATTCGGAAGCTTATCTTGTGCCTTAACGGCATCTGATTCAACATTTTTGGAATTATCAGCAGGACTACGAGCTTGAGACTTTGTAGGTGTTCCAATTACTCCGGGGTTATGTCCAACAGGTTTCTGATTTGATTTAGGCTTCCACTCCTTGTGCTGTGAGGCTCCTGCATTAAGTACAGGTTGATCAAGAATATCAGAAGTCATAACAGGAAATCGCTTCTCACCAGGACTTCCCAATAGATTAAAAGAAAGGATTATATTACCCAAAACAGAAGCTACAGAGAAAATAAAGTGCCGCCTAGCAGAAATCAAGTAAAAAATTGCCCAACATACATTTGGTTTATAAATATATGCATATAAGTTACCCTTTGTATGGCCACCAACTTGTTGTTGTGTTCTAGCATATTGGCTTCCTCTATTCCCACGCTGTCTGTTCAAAGATGACCTATTCTTTTCCACACCACTGGGCATAACAGACTCTCGTGCAGTAGTTCGACTGTGATCAATCTTTGAAGTTGGAGAAGATGGTGATGGTCGATGTGCATTTGGAGGTCCACTTTTTCTAATAGAAGACCCTGAAAAAGAGGGCACAGATGGATCTTTACCAACATTTTCAGAAGGTTTTCCACCTAAACCTCCACCCCTTACTTCACGTTTAATCGCTCCCACGGGTGATGATCTAGAAACAGGAGATGGTACATGAACTGGATCTGTGGAAGACGATACACCAAGAACTGAATTGGTTGATGGCAAAGTAACTCCATGGAGTTCTTTCCTGATAGGACGGTGCAAAGGAGCAATTTCAGCCTGTCTGAGCCTGCCATCTGCTGGAGCATTACAATCGTCAGTAGAATCTTGAGCCCCGGAGAAGCTATGATTTCCGAAACCGCCTCTTGTGCTGGCAAACAATTAAAATAGAGCATTTAAATTAAGCATAGTTTTCTTGAAATTATAAGATAACAAGTCCTCGTTAGGCTTTCTGTATCCCAAGAAGTAACTATATTTGAAGAATATTGCGGAGGAATGCCTACCAAGCGAACACACACACTCCTATCCCCGTCTACCAAAACCCAATGGCAGTCTATACCTCTTATTGTCTTAAAGTCCCACTTTACTACTTTTTGGAAAAGTACAGCTATAGCAAATTAACTCCCTTAAAAATATTATTCGAAGAGCAACACATCATGCTATTTCACATGTATAAAAGAAGGCTAGTTAGCGATAGAAATGCTAGAATAAGAACACAATTGATAATACATACCCCTTTGTGTTCACAGTGGCCACCACTTTGTTAATATTTGATCCAGAGGACTGGGCAGAAGAATGCTTCAACTCTTCATCGACATTTGCATTAGACCTGTTGTCCCTAACAACGCGAAACTCTCTGTTGGATCCTGTACTAACATGAAACGAACAAATTACAAACATACAGAAAAACATTTCTAGGTGATATGGTCAATACATTACATAAAACTTGAAGGCCAACGACCAATCACAAAGATTCAAAAAAACAAATCATCGCAAAACATGCATTACACGCCAATTTCTTTTATTTTTACTTGCCCTGCATATATTTTTCTGGATTTAGCCAAGTTCATTTAATAACCCCCGTTATACAGATTATGTTTAAGAGTCATTAAAAAGACAACTTATAAACAAGCATGCGAAAGAAACTGGCAAGTATATTATCATCAAACTGATTTACCGGCAGCAGGATTTCTAGGAGATGCATTTCGTTGAGCAGCGTTCCTGGGGAAGAAATTCCTACTGTAGCCTCCTCTCCGAACATTATGTTCAGGCTGTGTACGAACTTTCACTTCACTGGAAACATTTTCAAGAGGTTTCTTTACGTTTGCAGGCTCGACAAATACTGTATCCTGAAGCCAAAGGACACGCCATAAAATCAGAGATTATACAAGACAGAGGTTGCAACAAAAAAGAAGTGACCTGATGATCTCCATGAATTCAGCAAACTATTTGAACGGCTAGAAAAGCTGAATTTTTTTTTGATGATCAATGTAATTTAAAGGCACACAAAATAATTAAATTGGAATGCCCACTAAACACAAAAAGAATAGCTTACCACATGTAGACATCCTATGAGATATGCTAGTAAGACAAGCACTACTAACATTATGTAAAATCTAGTCACCTTCTTCAAATGCAGTTTCAAAAAGAGTAAGGAGAGTCAAACACGAAAACTACAATGTGATCGCATTTGCAAAATCGATCAAAAAGAGAAGAACTGGGAACGAGATACCATAACAAACATTTGTAACCTTACCTCTTTTTTCCTGTCTCTTTTTCTCTTCACCTCGTGGAATGGATCTGAACAAAAGAAAAGCTTTTTAGCGAACCAAAAATTATGATGGCAACCATAACACAAATAGTAGTCACCCACCCAGAATCAGATAAAAGACCCAATCATAAATCCAGATACCAACGAAGACCAATAAAATTTCAAGTATATAGTAATTTTAAGTATTCAGGAGAGAATTGACAAATATCGAAATGAAAACAGGAACCTAAGAGTTATCCGTCTATCGAATTATCACCAGAACTCCATAAAACAAGATCAAAACCGAAACTTTGCATAACCTATCAGACAGCATTCTACATACGCATTATACCAGATGTAAGATGACGCAAACAAGATGTTGTAGCATTCCTCGTGATCACGAATAAGAACTTTAATGCGGACCAAAAACCCAACAGTAAAACCCTAACTTCCGTCAATCTAGAAAGTGAAAAAGAGATGAAGCGAGAAACCTTGATGAATCAGCTTCTGCACAGCCTCGTCAGCGTCCATGTTAGCTTCTTTTAAGGCAGTGTAAATATCAGCATCGGAGTGATTACCCACAATTTCCTTAATCGATTGAATCATCTTTTTCGATTCATCATCGAGTCCTACCCCACGATTACCGCTAGTTCTGGACCCAGTCACCATTACGGATCAAAGACGTAACGGATTAATCGAAACACACACAAAAAACAGAGAAATTCAAGGATCGAGTAGCGAAACCAAGTGCGATCCGCGTAGGCAAAGCTAGATGCTAATGATTTGACTCTTAAACCCTAAAATCGGATAGAGCACTACTAGGGTTTCGAGTACAGAGAAGAGAGGGGACGGCTTTAAAAGAGGAAAAAAAAAGAAGTTAGGATTTGGGCAAAATAAATTTAGAGAGGGTTTATTCTCTCTCACGCGTCACAAAAAAAAAAAAAAAAAAAAATGGTTCCAAAATCACTAATTGGATAAACCCAAAATGACGAATTGACCCTTATAGATAACTCATTAGAATAGATTAGTCAAAACTCAAAAAGTCAAAAGGAAAGTGAAAATTGGAAATTTTTAAGGAGATGTTAAAAATTTGAATTATACATTTCTTATTCAGAACATTTAAGTACATGCCATAATTATTAGCACCAATCATGGTCAATAATATAATTAGAGAAAAGTACATCTACCTTATAAAGAAGTGAACATTAAGGAGGGGTTATTGGTTCATGGATTTATAAGAAATTAGAAATCCAAACAAAAATCATTTGTTATTCAATCATTGATTTTAAAATCCTAATTAAAATCATGTGTTATTGGTTCCATGAATTATAAATACTAGTTGAAATCCTTTGTTATTCGTTTAATCATTTGTTTTTGGATTTGAGAATCCAAATTATGTTTTAAATGGATTTGAATGGAATTGAAAGAGAAAAATAGAAGGATTCAAATCCATGGGTAAACACATGTTATTTCAAAATCCATATATCTTGATTTCATAATTAATAGAAATTTTCAAATTCTATATGGATTTACAAATTAATAAACCAATAACACCCCCTAAAAACAAAGTAGTAGTATTAAATAATTTAAATTGTCTAAAACTGACCAGAAAAGTATCAGTTTACCTTCATTTCAATAACAATAGAACCCATATGACTTTCTTAGAATTAAACTATATACAATACCTTAAAAATAACACCAAGAAAATCCACTGAAAGAGTAAAACTAATACCTCTTTATAGATGTAAATGGGAAAGAAGAGAAAGAGACCAACTAACAACCACCAACTAAAAGCACATGCATTATCTGAAGCCGAAGTTATTTCCATCACTCTGTAGCTTTTCTCCAAGTAAAAACATATATATATAAAAAAAAGTGTTTTGTTTTGGTGTGTGTCAGATTCCTCTAGAGAGCATTCCATTCAACCATCATCGGTCATCACAAGTATTGTTGCTGTATCCGAGCTCTGTTCTGCTCCCACCACAATCTTGCATTCGTTTCCCCAAACTTCTCTCGGCTACAACCACATGAAAACGTTGTCAAGTGCTTGCTTTTATAAGGTTTTATTAAGGAACAGAGAAGAAAGTAATGTGTTTTTACCTGAAGCGAACGCGCCTAAGCTCGCGAGTCCCATCTGGTAAAGCTCTGATTGTGATGTAAACACCGGCTTCATCCTGTTCCACCCATTCTGTTTCAATGTCACTTGCATTACTTACAGAGAGCTCCCCTGAATGATCTGCTTCTTCTTCTTCCCTTGAGAAGCTACTTCTTGCAGACTCATCAACAGATGATGTCTCGGTTTTGGTCCCACTTATGCTTGAGAGTTTTGGCGTTGTAGCAAGACCAGATGAATCTTGGTGTCGACTTTGTGTTTGGGTTGTTGCTTGGTGAGCGATTGAGCCAGAAGAAGAGTAGCCTTTTCCTCGAGAGCCTTCTTTGTTCAGAGGTGGAGTTGCAGGACCGTTCTTGGTAGACTGAATTCGCGAGCTCTGATATACCAAATTTAAACTAGTTAGACCTCAAAGAATCATAGACAGGTTTTGATGAATGGATTCATGTGTGCAGAAGTGAAGAGAGAGAGCATATACCCCATCTTCAGATCTAGGAGGAGTTGGAAGTGGGACGCTCTGCTGATTGAACTGCTGTACATTGTATAATTCCATGACCTTGTCGAAATTCTCCGCCCACCACTTTTGAGCTTGCCATTTATCGAACATTTCACGGCTGCAAGCAATACAAGTTTGAAGAAATCAACAAATTAGGAGCTGACTTAAGCATATATAATACGGAACCATTAAGCAACCAGGTTAACAGTCTTAGGTTCACAAAACTCAGGATCTGCAGTAATTGTCAAAAAATAAAATTTAGAAATATTAATCCTTGAGAGCCAAAGTGTTCCTCTTTAATCAGGCCATGAAGAAAGTTAGTTAGATCATCTTGCTCTCATTATATGTTCCACATACAAAAAGAACTTTACTAAATTCACCAAACACTTCCCCACACAATTGTCCTTGGGGAATCCATTTAAGTTCTGCATCGGATTCAACTACCGAAATAATAACCCACATCTCAAAGACCTTTCTTGGCAAAAAGGATGAACAAGTTCTCATAACTATAACAAATGGTTTGGGGACCACTTCAATTGAATCAAGAAAAATGAAAGCAGCAACAGTTTCCAACACACAAATCTCACATAATAATATCATCTGTACTTCACATTGCTTGTCTCCAAGAACCACACATCTCTATTTCCAAAATCAAATCAAAGAATTTCAAAACATTATGGATTAGTTTATTTCAGTTGAGTATCATCTTCAATATTCCCGATTGTAACCATCTTGATTAAGTCCAATATCTCAACGTTATTTTGTGCAAATCCTACAAAACAGTTAAATTACCTGAACCGAATCCGCTTCATATCATTCCCTCCCTCAGGCAATGATACAAATGTGATGAGGACACCAGGCTCCACTTGAGCAACCCATTCCTTGAGCTCATCTTCTTCCTCCATGAACACTGTGGACTCTGTCCTACCACTCATGGATTCAGGTGTTCCTTCTCCACTCAAAAACCCTTTCAACCTTGACTCCATTTCCTTCCCCAAAATTTTCGGTGTTGAGCTACCACTCCCCGCTCTCTTGTACGCATAACGAAACCTCCCAGAATTCGAAGCAGCATCCGAATCAGCGTAGTTTCGGTTCTTATTCTGGTTTGACGACCCAGAACACGGTTTGCAGCTTTTGTAAGCACCTGATGCTTTGACTGCCATGTCTTTAATCTGAAGATTCACATACAAGAATCACATGGTGTTGACAAAATTAAGTACACAGGAAAAAACATTCTGAAAGTCACGGACTAAAATTTGACTTCTAGAGGTAAGAAAACTTATCCTATTTCGTTGAAAGATCAGAAACCAAACAGTACGCACAAAAAATGACTAGTTGATTTGTTCTCAGCTTCCAAACAGAAACCAACAAGACCAAAAATGGTCCTGTCTCGGAGATTCATTTCTTTTTCTCATTTGTGTTTTTCTCGTGAAAGTGACAGAGAGGAAGAATGTTATCTACCTGTGACGTCAGGGACTTAATCGCCTGCTTAGACCTAGGAGTTCCGATAACTCTGTCGTCTTCTTCATCCTCTTCTTGTTTCTTAGATCCACCATTGTTGGTGTTCGAACAAGCTATGCATGTCAGCATCTCTCGCACTCCCTAAAGAGTTTCAATTCGACCTGAGAAGTTAGGAAAATGAAACCCAAGTCACTTTCTCAGCAAAAAAATGATCAAATCTAAGAAATGAGAACCCTTTTCATAAAAAAAAAAAGACTCATAATTTATACCTTTTATGCAACAGTAGAAACGCACTTCACTTCTACAACACTCGCTAAATTCGACTGCTTTTTGTCTCTGCCACAGAGATTCAGAAATAAAACTCGACCAGTCAAATGACGGCAAGGGAAGGAGGAGACCGTTGCGGCAGCGGAAAATTAGGGCACCAAGATCTGCAGATCAGACCTAGAAACGATTTCGCATTAAAAACTCTTTCTTTTCAACTCTCTGGGTCGGTTCCTTGTGGCGTGAAGCTCTTATCAGAGAGATTGAGTGAGATACACTCTTAAATCTGAACACTTTATGAAATCCAAAGCCGAATGCAGAAGCAAAATGCAAAAAAGCTACGAATTTTGGGGAGAGAGAGAGAGAAAAAAAAAGAGAGGAACTTTGATATTTGGGCTTTGAGATCGTCGGACACTGTGAAAGTTTGAGCACAAGTGTGGTGTTGTGTTCCTCCTTCCTATATAAAAAAAAAAGCTCTACTCTTTTCTTTTTCTTCTTCTCTTCGGAGAAAAAAAAAACACCATAGGCTATTTTCAGATTCGTTCGTCTTTAACTTTGATATTTATGGATTATTATGACCAAAACCAACAAATTTTTGTCACGTTTTGATTTAATGTTTTAGTTTTCTTTTAACGTATGTTTAACTCTTTTAACATATAACTTTTTTTCGTCAATTCTTGTATCATTGACAAGAACAAGAATAAAGTAACAATTCAGTTTTACTTAAATTTCAATTAATTTGTTATTTCATTAGCAAACCTAACTATAAATTAGTATAGTCTTAAATTTTACAGCTTTGAGACTGAGGAAATCGGACCAAGAAAATTTCAAATGTTATTCTCTTCTTTATTTCCTCTCTTGATTTTTTTCTTTATTTTCTTTTTCTTTTTCTTCCTTTTTTAAAAGGACGATATTGAGCAACAAATAAAACTATTCTTTTTAGAATTATGAAGCCCGTGCAAAATATCCATGGTGTGACCACATATTGACACGTGCATTTTTAAATGAATTTGGCTGTCTAATTTTACACCCAATTAAAGAAAAAATAAAAAGGAAACCAAATAACTAATCCATTTTTTTATTTTTTTTATAACTAATCCATTTTGTTATCTGTCAATTTTCTCAATTACGAGTATTTCATAATTTAAGACAGTGACTCTGGGAAATGTGACAGAATCTAAATACTAGCCATTAGCAGGTTACTAGTTTTGTACAGTAATTACTTTTAATTTATTCAAATTCATTGTCGTTTTAATTAATTTTAAATCAACTGCATTCAAATATAAATGCAAAACCAAAAAAGGAATATTTACGAGTGTATAAATATTTATATAATGTCAGATTGGTCACAGCCTCACAGGAGCGCCGTGAAGCAACGGGCGAGAATTAACTACACTCTGTGGAATTTGTTACCATATAAACCATTTTCTTAATTCGAAATTTGACACACATTTTCTTAAATTTTTTCATTTTAGTTGCATACTTTCTCTATTTTCTTTCACTACAGCTGAAACAATATTCAATTAGAACAAAAGAAAAAACAGATTTTACAGCAATGAATGATCAGATCGGATACTAAAAATATTAATTAATTTAATTTTTACCTTACCACGTGAATGATCATGTGGTTTTTTTTTTTTTTTTTTGATATTATATAGTCTGATATTGTTGTTTCTCTTTCCATTTTAATGTTAGCTCGTATCTTATCTTATAGCTATAGTTATGACCTATCCGTTAAATTGGACATACTCGAATAGTCTTAAGATTATGATTTTTCAAGACTATGTTGCATTGATAATTTGAGATACAAATTTTAAAAGTGTAAGGTTGCATACATGTAATTCTTATGTACTTTATGGCCCACACCAATTTTTGTAGTGTGCATCATTTAAAAATTGAATTTAGATTCCACCAACTATCCATGTAACCATGTTTAAGTAATTTGATTATAATTCATCTCATCCGCTAATTATTTCTTTTAGTGATGCTTTCTGATTATTTAATTTTATCTGTTATGATCATTAGTAATTTATGCCTAGCTTTATGGTGACAAATAGTATATTGCACCTTCGAAACTGAAAAAAAGGCATAAAGTGATTTATCAAAAATAAAACAAGTGATGATGAGACATGCAATGAAGCATGTAATATTTAGATTCAAGCTTGTTATTATTAAATAATCATTTAAACTTTTATAGAGTTGTTTTTCCAACTATGCCTATTAATGCTTTTCTTTTTCCCCAACCTTTCTGTCTCCTTCAAGGCTTAAGCACTTTGATTGAAAACCATTTTGAAAGTCAAGTTAACATTATCCCCATCATTAAGCAAACCAAACCCTTTTAAAAGTTCATTTCGAATTTGAAGTATCCTTTGCTTCAGGTTATGCTTTTTACAAAACTCTTTATTCTTGCCGATTTCTTTCCACAAATGAAATAAAGGTAAAATTATAATCGAAGGATTGATCCTTTATGTTTTTTATGTGTGTAAAAAAAAAGACATAGAATGATCCTTTTTTTGACTAAAGCATTGTTGTATATACATAATATAAAAATTTAATCAGATGAAGTTGGAAAGCTAGACGTTCTTAATGGCTAAGGTAAGTGATCGATCAACGAGACTACATAAAAAAAAAAAAAAGCAAGTTTGATGATATTCAGAAGTTGAATTCATAAAGTTTCTCAAACTCAGTTGATAGCCCAAATTAAGCCCATTACGGCCCAAATATAGTTTTACCATGGACTTGACCGTAGGTGAGTCGTACCCAATACAACGATCTGTTTCGTGTAGCTGTTCTTTCTTTTCATGATTTTGCTTTCCTGCGAAAATCACAGAGTTAGCTCAGCTCCGATCATTCTCTCCGATTATCTTTCGCTCTTTTAGGCTCTTTTAGATTCATGGTGAATCGTTTACCGTCACTCTCTCCGCGTAAACCCTAGCTCTCTCCGAAACCCTAACTCGCTGCGTTGGAAACTAATCGAGCTCGTCCGTCCCCTTTCGGAAGCATTTCTTTAATAGGTCTGCAGAGGCGGTTTGGTTTCTGATCGGGTTAGCTTTCTGAGGTAAAGATCATCTTCTTCGGTTCTTATATCTGGGTTTTTAGTTTATGTTCATTGCTTCTCTATTCTTCCGCGTTATCGGGGAAGATTTTGGGAATTTGGTGATTAAGGTGGCCGATTTAGGGTTTGTTTTACTGGAATACATAGTTCAAGCTCGAATACGTTTGAGATCCAATTTATTGATTGAATATGATTGTATCTTGGATTCACTCTAATGCCTTCCTTTTTTTGCGTCTGTTTGTGCTGAAAACTCTTTGAATTTGTTTCCATTTCTTGATTGCTTGTGCTGAAACTGAAACTCTTTCGTTGCTAATATTTCCATGCTGATTAATCGTTGTTAACAAGACTTTGTTTTTTCCTTGTTAGTTTAAACAGTCTAAGGCTGCAATGAGTATGCAACCTATTCCTCAGTCGAAATCTTCATCAAATGGATTTCCACTCAAAAGAGGTGAAAGAGAGGAAGTATTAAATAAGGCAAATACATCAAATACAGGTTAGCTGTTGATATTCTGTGATTTTTCTGCAATGTCATGTTCTGAATCCTCATGCTTGTTGATATATATTCAGCATTCAATGGGGAAGCTGGAAGCTTGGAGAGGCCTTCGCTTGATCGGTTAGTGTACCTCTCAGCATGTTATATCGGGCATCATGTGGAAGTGCATCTAAGGAATGGATCAGTGTATACTGGTATATTTCATGCTGCTGATGTAGAGAAGGATTTTGGTGAGGCTCTGAATCAGAATTTTTTTCCTTATAGAGATGTAAAGCATAGAAAGACACTACTTTTTCTTGCAATGTATAAATTGCTTGAAACTTCCAGGAATCATTCTAAAGATGGCATGCTTGATTAAAGATGGTACTTTACGAGGGCATAAATCCCGTTCCGAATTTGTCAGAAAGCCGCCTTCCAAGACATTCATTATTCCGGCAGATGAACTTGTGCAAGTTATAGCTAAGGTGTGCCTGCTTTTATAAACTAAGGGGAAATAATTATTGTTTAAGTTTATGTCAATGTGTTACATGGCAGAGAGACTACTTTGAGTTTTGACATTGTCATTACTTTCTATCATTGATTTTGGTGTTAGGATCTCTCTGTATCCTCGACCAACATGTCAAATGCGGTTCAGGGTGAGAAACCAGCGGAGCTGTTGACAGACTCTTCTATATCACAGTCTTATCATGTTGATCGGGAAAGACAGCTGCAACCCTGGGTACCTGATGAGACTATTCCACAGGGTGCAGATTTGGAGAATGTGTTTGATAACCCTTGGAATAGGTAATATATGCACACATTCATATATATTTAAACGTCTTGTCAAATTTGTATTTATCGAATGTTTGGTATGTTGATTTGTCAGCTAGATTTTCAGACCACGGTTTCTTAGCTGAACATTTTAGATGAGAGATGGTGGGAATGAATAGATTATTTTTGTGCTTGCACTCTAGAAATTCAGTATATTCCTTTTGGAAAGCAATTCTCTTTCTATATCTAGAGGTAGAATTCTATTATTTAGTGAAAGCATAAATTATATTGTGAGGAAGAGCCCGTGGTGAATGTCTAAAAGATTAGGAAGAATAGTGTTTTGATAGTTATGTTTTTTATATATGAGTAATCTTTGCTGTGTGGTTACCTGGCTTTTCTGTCCTTGATACCTCTCAGCTGATCCGTTTCTGCTTGTAGGAAATGGAATCAGTTTGAGGTGAATGAGTCACTGTTTGGAGTAAAGAGTACTTTCGACGAGGAAATCTATACCACAAGACTTGAGAGAGGTCCTCAGACTAAACAGTTGGAAGAGCAAGCCCGGAAGATTGCGAGAGAGATCGAGGCTGAGACTACCCGAGATCTTCATGTAGCAGAGGTAATTTGGGGGTTTTTTTGTTTTTTTTTTGTTGTTGTTATAAGTCCAAATTTGTAACTATTCATGCATGCAGGAAAGGGGCCTTCAGCTTAATGAGAACTTTGATTTTGACGAGGAAGCCAGATACTCATCTGTCCGTCCAGTTACTGGATTTGGTGATAGTGGGTTTGATGAGGAGGACAACGCATTGCTGGATACTTGCAACGATCTGACTTTTGGTGGTTCATCTACTTCTGATGGCCAGAAGCCAGCTTCTAGTGGCAAGGGCTGTGAAGAATTACGGGTATCGCTGAGTTCGTCTTTGATAGTAGTTAATAGCTGAACGATTGGTGATGTTGCCATTCATTTTCTTTCAGGGTGACAGTCAGTCTTCTCGGAATAATACAAATGTAGATCAAAGCTTCTCGACCTCTAAAAAACAATCCAAAGATTTTCCTGCCGAAGGCAACAAGATCAGGTCTTCTTTTTTTTTTTTTTTTTTTTCCTATTAAGCTACGCATCTGGAAAATCATCTAAAATATTATCTCACATTGGGAGTATCTCTTGGCATAATAGTGAGAGCCAGCTAGATGAGCGAAGAAGAAACAATAACCAAGAGTCACACAATAACAGAGTAATGTCAAGTCCATGTTGATTATGCCGTTTAATCATGATTGTATCTTGTGTTTCATTTTTTTAACATTGGTTATTTGGCTTCCTCTTGTATCAATATAGTCAGCTGAGGAATCAACTTCTGGTCATGGAGGTATACACTACTTCTTTCTTACACTGTTTTCTGTATCTGCAGCCCACTATATTTGTTTAATTAGTTTGAACAACTGGTGTACACAGAAGTCTGAACGTGTTTTCTTGTTGTATACGAAGAATTACCTTTCATTTTTACAAGCATACTCCAGTTTTTCTTGATCTGATGTTGTATAATTTATTATCACGTTTATCTCAATGGACTACCTATGGTGGATTCTGTTAAGGTTGCTAAATGGAATTTAGAAATGTTCTTTTTTACACAAGGAGTGGTGACCTGTTATGAAACGTCCATCTAATTAGGAAACAGGTTGTAGGCTTAATGTAAATATGTATTGTGGAATGTAGATATCAAAGAAGGTGCAAAATTTGGTGGTGGTGCAACCTCGATGTCGAAGGCTGTTACTGAGAGAGAAAGAGAAGCCAGTCAAGTTTCTAGTAAAACAAAATCTGAAAGCTCTTTCGGGCAGTCGGCTTCTAGAAGTTCAGAAAGTCGCCCAGGTCCTTCAACATCAAGTCGTCCTGGGCTATCACCGAGCTCGTCAATTGGATCTATGACCTCATCAGAAAAGTCCACACTTAATCCGAATGCAAAGGTTATTTGTTTGATTTGTTCAAACTTGATACAGTGTTAACTGTGTGTGTGTGTGGTTTTTTTTATAACTAAGTATGGGTCGTTGGGTCTGATCAGGAATTCAAACTCAATCCAAATGCGAAGAGTTTCAAACCATCGCAACCAGCTGCTGTGCGACCTCAATCTCCAGTTTCAGATGCCTCATTCTACTACCCTGGTCCTAGTCATGTTCCTCCTGTTCAGCAGATGCCTGGAATGCCGCCTGTTAATTACGGAGTAAGTTTCTTGTGATATATTATATAGCCCAACCGAGTTATGTTCCTAAAACTCACCATGTGAAAATTGGCAGGTCCCGCCATATCCTGGCAACCAACCACCGATGATGTATCATCCTCAAACCTATTATCATCCAAGTGGACAACCTCAGGTTTGACAGTAATTCACAAACCCTATTGAATCACTATTTACACACACGAGAAAAAGAAAAACACATCAAAAGTCTAATGGTGGTTGGAATTGGAATTGTGATGTAGTACCCGCAGCAGCAAATGATGCCTGGCCAGCAGCAGCCTAGGCCAGTTTATTACATGCAGCATCCTCCTCCTTACCAGCAGGTTATTATTCTTACTATTTCCCTCGTTTTGTACTTTTTATGGTCCAAGAGTTAAAGCTTTTGGATGCTGAAATCTCTGTGTGTGTGTTTTTACAGGATATGCCATATCATAATAAAGGACGAGAGTAATTACTACTACCCGATGGTGATGATGTTGTTTTTTGTGAAGGAAGTGTACGAACCCCTCTCTGGTTTTATTCACTCTCTTCTTTCTTCTCTCTCCCTTACCCAATTACTGAAACCATTTTCTTCTCTTTTTTTAGATTCGCCTACTGATTTTGGTATTTCGTGTTGAAAAACAAAAAGAACAAAAAAAAAAAAGGATCTATCGGTAGTCTGTACTGAGTGTACTCTCTCCCTTTTTTTGGCTGTATCAGAGATATATAAAGTTTAGAGTTTAGGTTTCTATCATGTGTCATCACTTCGTGGTTTGCATTTACTTATTTTGTTGTTGTTGTGTGCTAAATTTCTGGGTAATTTTGTTTTCTAAAACCCAAAACTGGAAAAGAAAAGAAGAGTAACAACGATTTTAAAGCACGCAAAAATATTCATCTTTTGGTGGTTGTAGGGCATGTTTTATTTAATAAGACGTTAGACGTTGCTATATAAGTAGTTGGTCTCGCGATTATATCATTAGGATTAATTTGGTGGGCAACACATATACTCCACAAGGTTCCACAAGACTAAGAAGGAATTATACTTGGTTTACCTGTCGCATATAGAATTAGGTAAGTCAGGTAACTGCGATAGTGTCATTTGTTCTAACTTTTTGACGAATCTCTCAAGTCTCATCATCCAAAGAGTATATGAGAGAAAAACATTTTATTTTGCTTTAAATGGAGATTTCAACTGTGGACTCGACACTTATGAATGATGATGGCTCACCAATCTTCATCTAGAATTCACCTTATAATCACTTATTCAATTGCTAATCATGTTTTCAATGTATTTTTAACAACTTTTCACGAAACCAACTAACATATATTACGGTGATTCTTTACAATAAACCAAAAAATATTATATTACGGTGCTCCGCTATGGTAGAAATGGATGAGTTTGGTAAGTTTGTTTTGTCCACAGTTGAATTTGGTAAACGTAAACTCAACTACAATTAAATACCTTGCTTGTGTTGGAGAATGTTCATTAAAATGTGCGAGAAAATCTATAGGGAAGAAAAGGGATGATTCCATATCCCATTGCTTGACTTGATTTCAGTTTCTTTTCACGCCAAGTCACAGAATTAAATAGGCAGGATTGTTGAAAGGCTGTATTGATTGATTGCGCCATTAAAGATGCTGACAACCTCCACTTGAGACTTTTGCTTTACCAACCCAAATGATGTCATTTAATTTTTGATTCTACTTTATTTTTTAATTAGTTTTTTTTACAGTAATTTTTTAATTTAATTATAATTGAAGATTATAAAAATCTAGATGTTCTTCAATGTAGATTAGTTCTCTTTAAAAATCTATCAAAACTCATCGTTACTCAATTACCGATTTATCCATGCAGAGAAACCAAAAGTCGGGTCAAACAAAAAGGCAAGTGTGTCTAATGTTGTGACGACGTGGTTTCATCATCCAAACACCGGACGTGAAAATCACGTGCACTCAAGAAGCGCGTGGATTTTCGGAACAGCGATGTGGCGGCTATGAATAAAAAAAAATGGTAAAAAAGGTACAACATATGTGTCTCTGTTTCTTTCTTTAATGGCAAATTTTCATCACATCATACACCTGATTATATATATCTCTCTCCCAAAGTGTTTTGTTTTGTACCCACTTTTTCTGTTTTAATCTTAAAGTTTACTATTTTTTGTAGTTGATAAAATGGGAGTATTGTGATCTGATTATTCACTATTTTGGTACTAGTAGTAATAAGGACAGAAAATATAAAAAAAAAGGGAAGAAGACAAGAGTGGTTCATGATCATAAAGTAAACAACGAATAACAGTAATTATTAATTAATGTCCAGTACAAGGTAGTGTTCATGGTGAATTAGTGGTGGGAAAAAAATTGGTACTACTGGAGAGAAAGAAAAAATAAAGGAGAGTTAGGTAAAGCTTTTTAGCCATAGCCAATAATACTACTCATTTTTGCAGAGACAGTGAAATTGATAAAGAGAGAAAAAAAAAAAAAAAAGCCATGTTTTGAGGAAGGAGACATGCATCATCTCAACATTGCATGATTTTTTATTTATCTATTTTCTCTATCTCCATCTTCACCAAATCCATAGATTCTCTCTGATTTTGTGTAAATTTAGTCGATTTATTTGACTACTTGTACTCTGCTTTGAGAGGAAAAAAAAAACCATTTTTGGTGAGAAAAATCTGAATACTTTGTTCGTTTCTTCTTTTTTTTAGTTATGTTCTGTTTTCTCATGTCTTATGTCGATTGATTCCTGCTTTGCCGTTTTATTTCCCCTTCTCTAGTTATAGTTAGTGGAATTGCATGTTTGTGCTTTCTCTGTTTTTTTATCTGATTTGTTTGGCCGTTAATTCTCAAAGTCTGAATCTTTACTTTCTATTTATTGTATGATAATTGGATCTGCTCTATGGTTTCTTTCTCTTAGATCTCTCGTTTGTTGCTCCTTTCTTTGTGGATCAACAAGAATGGTTTTTGGTAAATCCTTCCAACTGAATTCAACAATATCATGACTGTTTTTCTTTACTTGATTGGGATTACAGGTGACTGAAAAAACACATCTCTTGTCTCTTGATGGAACTACTATGGTCTGGAGATTAGTTAGCTTATTGAACTAGTGTTTCAGACAATGCAAGAGTTTCATAGCAAAGATTCATTGCCTTATCCTGTAACTTCTTGGGAAAACTCTGTCTTCACCAACTCAAATGTCCAAGGATCATCATCCATGACCGATAACAACAACACTTTAAGCTTGACGATGGAGATGATGTCTTCTCATTTGCCTGAGATGAAACAAACTGGTTTTCAATTGCAGGACCATGACTCCTCCTCTACGCAATCCACTGGAGGAGAATCATATAGTGAAGTTGCGAGCTTAAGCGAACCTAATAATCGTTATGACCACAACATTGTTGTTACTCAACTCTCAGGTCCACCACTTTCAACTTTTTTCGCTGAATAAGAGTTCCCATTGCGTCAACTGCATTTAGTTGTAGCTGATCTATGGGTTCTTGTTTTGATGCAGGTTACAAAGAAAACCCGGAGAATCCTATTGGAAGTCATTCGAAGTCGAAGGTGTCTCAAGATTCAGTGGTTTTTCCTATTGAGGTTAATTTGTCTATCATCTTTGACCTTAATCTTGTAGCAGAGGAGAATTGAGTTTAAAGCTATATACTATGTTAATGATGTCTAATGTCTATATGCTATCAGGCGTCTTCTTGGCCTTTACACGGCAATGTAACACCACATTTCAATGGTTTCTTGTCTTTTCCGTATGCATCACAACACATGGTAATACACAATTGTAACATCTCAAGATAATGCTGTTTGTTGTATCTTATGATAGTATTTGTTATGGAAATCTTTGCAGGTGCAGCATCCTCAAATGGGAGGGTTGGTTCTTTCTAGAATGCCTTTGCCTCACAACATTCCAGAGAACGAACCAATTTTCGTCAATGCAAAACAGTACCAAGCCATTCTCCGCCGCAGACAGCGCCGTGCAAAGCTTGAAGCTCAGAACAAACTCATCAAAGTCCGCAAAGTATGTTTTTATCTCTATTGCACCACTCTGATAAATAGAACTACATAAAGTTTCAATTATTATGTCTTAAGGCGAATTCTTGTATGAAATTATGCAGCCATACCTTCACGAGTCGCGCCACCTTCATGCGTTAAAGAGAGCTAGAGGCTCTGGTGGGCGTTTCCTCAACACAAAGAAGTTTCAAGAATCAAAATCTCCTCCATTCTTGGGTCCACCGCATGTCTTCAAGAACTCTCCAGGAAAGTTCCAGCAACGGGACATTTCAAGGGGTGGGGTCGGGTCTAGTGGCTCGACAACATCTTGCTCGGATGTAACCGGGAACAACAACGACATGTTCCAACAAAACCCACAATTCGGGTTCTCAGGTTATCCATCAAACCACCATGTCGCAGTCCTCATGTGAGAGGGCTCCGGCAAGTGGTTGATGAAATCATGACGGGAAGTCATCCTTGGCTATATCATTGATCAATTAAGTTTCTGTCTTATAAAACCGCTCTCGTTCTACAATCTCTACTGCAAAAGAAGTTGAAATCTTTCACCTATTATTTTCCATTATCTGTTCATTTTGTTTCATGTGATTGTTGCTGAATTGTTTGATACTTGATTTAAGTTTATTACTTTCGATTAAGTGCACCCACATGGATTTGTGATTTATGTATGCAATGTATAATTATTTGTTTGTTGAGCTCACTTTTGTTGCCTTTTATAGTCCATCTTCAAACCAAGTTTCATGACTATAAATTCCTGGCAAAAACTTTTTATCAAATCAAACAATAGTTCCTTATGGCCACAACCTAATTATTAAGTAGACATTTCAAATCTCAGACTATGCAACATAATCATATCAACCATAATCAAGATGTTTACAACAGTATATAGCCCAAAACTATAACAGCAAAAAAGAAGAAGAAGAAGAAATACTAAATGAATGAACACAACCTTGCACACTAGCTTAAACATTATTGAATGATCACATAAACAAGTAAATCATGAGGCAGAAATAAGAATTGGGAAGAAAAATGAGAGAAAAGTTATTCAGAGAAAAGATCTCTTGAACATGGAGATGAATAATAGCAAAAACAAATTAATAACTGACTAGAAGCAGTAGTAGTCTTGTTCAAAAGGACATGGAACTAACTAATCTATCTTCGCTAAACTTGGAACATAAGAAGAGCACACAAGTGGGACACAATAAATGGAAGGAGTAAATCCAAATCTGTCAGGTTTCCCGAGATTCGGAGCTTCTCGGATATTCACAGATTTGAAGTATCCATCTTGTCCAATGATGTGAGCTGTTTGGTAGCGACAAGTCTCGGTCTTTTTATATCCGTCTAGATCGAAAACCACGACGACTTTCTTCTCGTCATCAATAAAGAAACTCCCAGCTTCAACATTAAACTTAAAGCCAGTGAGTGGTCTCATATCCACTTTCAAAAACTTGCTCCAAGACAGCGCAGTAGGCTCGATCTTCGTCGTAATCCAAACCTCCAAGCATAGAGCATAGTTTTGATATAACACAGCGAGCTGCTCTTCTTTGACACAAGATAGAGACACAATCTCTTCATCATGAGAGTGAAACGGTAGAGGAAGACGCGGTCCAAATCTCTCTGCTGTAAAATCAAAACAAAGTAGAAAAACTGGAAGATGTGTTGTTTCTACCTCGTCCAGTCCCTCTCCTTCCACCATTAATTTTTCTTGAGCGTAAAAGTAAGTATTTCCCTTCAAAGACACGCCGCGTTGATAAAACTCTATATTCCAGTCGGGAGTGACATCAAGAACCCTCCATGAATTAGAGCGAAGATCGTAGATTTCGAACCCGAAAACTTTTTTTTCGAAAATGAGGTACTCATCTATAAACCTCAATATTTTGTGGTTACGGTTGTTGTCATATCCAAGAGCATACCTGTCTAGTCTGTGGAAATTGTTTCTGGGTTGTATCCATCTCGTTTGTCGCAAATAAGGATTCCATACGACAAGCCTTGTGCTGTCTTTCATGACGCATAACAATAAGCCGTCACAGTGAAAGACTTTAGATACCTCGATTTGATCAAGTACACTTACTTGATTTATAGATGGATCAACGAAGTCTCCTTCGTTGTCGTTGGGGATTCCTTGGAGATCGAATTTTATGGAACAAACCTTATAATCCATCATTATGAACCCCATAAACTGATTCTTTGCCGCAGCTTCACCAAAAATATCTGCTACCAAATTCCCAGAATGATCGGACATCATCGTCGTCATTCTTTCTAGGTTTAAGAAAAACAACAAAAATAAGGTTTTTAGCTTACACGCTTGACAAAATTTTACAATTTACCCATCATCCCTTTATATAGAAAAAAAATCAGTAATGACTTTTGTTTTTTAAACTTTTTTTTTTATATATTTTTTTAAGAAAATATGTAGAATCTAAAACCCTTGACTTAAAAGGAATTAACAAAATAGCCATGGAACTATAGTACACTCTTTCTCTCTCTGGTTACAATTACGTTTATACTCACTTAATCATTTTTGCCTTCAAGACTGTGATTCAATTCAATGGTTGAGTGAATTTCCAACAAGACTGAGTGCTTAAACATCATCAATCAATTTCTTATCAAATAATTTACATAACTCTCGCATATTGCGAATCACACAACAATTACTATCCAATCACGAGTCACTCTTCAGGTGATAGATAAACTCTAACCCTGAATGGACTCCATATTTTCTATTAAATATTCATATAATTTTTATGTCAAAAAAATATTGCAAAACTTTGTCATCGCACCCTAATCAAAGCGTCTTCACCAGATTGGATGGATTTATGGTGGACATGCGACTTTAATTTAAGGACCCGGTTTAGCGACTTCAGTGCAAGCCGCTGGAACCAACTTTCCGGAAAGAATAGGCTTGATGTTAGAACATGCCGAGACAGCTGGTCCCTCTTTGCCGTTGTGGACCAAGTTGATGTCAGCGAGAGCAATATTGGTGCAAGGAACGCCTTTGCTGCACATAAGTTTCACAGCCACCTTCGTTGCTGATGTTCCCTTAATGTTCTTGATAGTCACGTCCGACAACTTCACTTTCGATGGTACCTTCATGTATATTAATTGGAGAGAGATTTAAAATTTTGATCGATACATACTATATACCAAACAAACCAAAATATATATTGTGTCAAAATTTGAGGACTAGATAGTTTTATGTATAGATTCGATTCGGTTACATACCCCAGCTTTGCAGTGGCCATAAGGACAGTACTCTTGGTCGATGAGAACAGGGGTGCTAACATTGTCCATTGTGATATCTTCGAAAAGAATGTTGGAGGCGATACCGGGAGGAGATCCTGGCCATGTCTTGATGCGAACACCATTGTCAGTGTTCTTGATAAGGCATTTCCTCACGGTGACTCCTTTTACTGGTTGCTCATTAGGGTATCTTCCAAGACTTCCAATGGAAATTCCGTGTCCTGGTCCACATTCTACGTTCTCAACAATGAGATTTTCAGTACCATCTCCAATGGAAACGCAGTCGTCTCCGGTTTTAATCTTTGCCCCTAGTAAGTTGACGCCATTGGACCTTCCGATGTGGATACCATCGGTATTGAGACTCTCCGGAGGTGCATCAATACCAATATCCTCAAGAGTTATGTTTTTGCAGTTAAGGATGTTCATGTGGAAAAGTTTGCTGTTTGTTGATGTAATACTCTTAATTTTCGAGTTTGTTAGACCCGTGAATCGGATGTTCTGTTACAAAAACCCATATAATTACCATATTCTTCCATGAAAATAATGATTTTATTGCAAATATGTAAAAAGTTGAATGTGCTTACGATGGGGAGAGAGTTGCATTTGCCGGTTTTAGCGCAGTCATTGGCCTTCCAAGCAAGGGAACCTTGACCGTCAAAAATGGCCCCGTTTCCATTCAAAGTGAAATCAGCGATGTTTTCGAAATCAATCCATCCGGAATGAGGTTTAGAGGTCTTGACCGTAGCCGGAGCCTTAAGATTGCCATTCAATTCCAAAGTGACTGGACCTTTGCATGGACCTTTGAACTCTAGGCTCTCTACCAAATACTCACCTTTGGGCACTGTAATCGTGCTCCCTGCTGCACACGCTTCTTTCCATGCAGCCGCAAATGCCTATACATGAATTCACGTGAAATTATTTCTTAAACCATACAAAATCGAATATATACAACATTTGGTACGTACCGCACTGTCATCAGTTTTGCCATCTCCTTTAGCTCCTGATGCTTTAACATCAAGTGATGCACCGCCTGCTTTGGCTCCCGGTACTTTAACACCAACTGATGCAGCTGCATCTTTTGCTTTATCGCCAACTGTTGTAGCTGCTTCACTGACTTTATCACCAACTGATTCAGCTGCATCTTTTGCTTTATCGACAACCGGTGTCCCGTTTACTATTGTGGTGGCCATAACTACTAGTACCACAAGAAGCACTCCCCTTGCTCTGCGAAAACCCACCATTTTCTTATTCTCCTTTTTATTGATTTTTGTTTTATTATTTTTTTTTCTTTTGTTTTTGTGTTTATTGATGTTTTGTTCTGATGATTCCAGAGTCCGTTTTATAGAGGAGCAAAGGGAGATCGAAACCACAAACTTTTGCGTTGCTAAAAATAATTCCGAGGATTGTGCTTAAGGTAGAAGAATGACCAATTCTTGGAGGCCGATCCCTTTTTTTCCTTTTTTTGACATCACTCAGAATATATTTATGTTGTGATATTATCATACTTTATAGATTTTTGACCAAAATCATACTTAATATAAGGTATAGTGAATAATTCAACTACAAATTTATACATTCATGAGAGAATCTGCTTCTTCAATCTAGTAGTTTGAAGTTTATAACTCTCAATAGTTTTGGGTAAATAGAAGGCGACAAAGAATCTGCCTCATCAAGGTTTAATTTGGTAATTCAAAACATATCCTCACTTTGTGGGAATCATGAGAGTTCTCTCAATAAATTTAAACTCTTAATGAAAACACTCTTGTTATGTACTTTTTTTGGCAAATTTATAAAAAGTCTAATACTAACTTTTTGCTTCTTTTTTTTTAAGCTTAGATTAAACCAACGGAAACTATTGTTATGTACAACAAATTAATCATATTACTATATATACATACATACATGGACTAGTTAACAATTTGAGGACCCATCAGCTTCCCCATCCGACCATGGTTCCGGGGCGGGAAAACGCGAGTCCTCGATCATACATCCGTTGAATCTCTTCTCTGTATTCAGTCAGAGACTCGTCAGGAATTGTTGGAGTCAGCTCCACCACATCACCCATCTTCAGTTTCCACTTGAGGTCACTTACAGGTCTTTGGTTCAGCCTTGGCCTTAGTTCTTCCTTCGCTGGTATGCCATACATGGACCACCTCGAGCTCCCTGGCCCCGCCCGGCTTAGCAGATCCGAGACTGTAGAACTCGCTGGAAATTCTTGCACAGACATCTGCATTTTCTGATTTATTCAGTATAACAATCAAGTGCAAAACTCTTTTGAACTAGACAAGATTATAAGAGGTTTATAACAAACCTTGTCATTTTCGATTACGATGACATAGACTGGTCCGTCCTGGCTACTGTTAGGCTTGTAAGAAGCCGGGCAGTCCTCGGAGTGAGACGGAAACTTGCAAGGGGGTTTGATGGAATCAGAAGAACTTATGGAAGATCGGTCTTTGCTCATTGCTTCGCAATGCCAGGTTACAACCCACCGAGCCCATTCAACCATCTGAAGCACAAACGAAGAGTATTTGCAGTCACCTTCCTTGTACCTCCAATGAGCTGCAAACCCAAATTCTGCCTGCAAATGCATCTCCTGTGTACGTATTTGGACTTCAAGTGGGACTGTTCCATTGTCCATCACTACCGTGTGCAAAGATTGATACCTAAAATCCAATTTACCAAAGTCAGATTCACTACATTTTAACAAGCCACAACCAACCACAACTTAAACGACGAGATATATGAACTTACCCGTTGAATTTGGGATGAGTTATGTAATCCTTCAGCTTTCCAGGAACTTCAGACCATAAGCTATGAACTACTCCTAAGGCCTTGTAACAATCTCCTTCGTTGTCAACAATCAAACGTAACCCATGAATGTCATGAATTTCATCCACTGTTAGCTTTTTCCTGGTACAATCGAATAGACAACATCAATATTAGTCTTCTAGTTTCACTCACATCATTTGTTCTGTAAAAGGGAGGAAAGTGAACTTACTTCAACATCTTGCTGTAAATACTATACAAGCTCTTGTGCCGGCCACACAGAACATGATAAGAAATGCCTTCTTTCTTAAGAGCTTGCTCCAATTTCTCTATTGCAGAAGTAATCATGGCTTCATCGAATGAATCCTCAAGCATGGTTGACATCTCATTATGCTGGTTTGGGTAAAGATGCTTGAAACAAAGATTTTCAAGCTGAACTTTCCAGGTAGAGATTCCCAAGCGATTAGCCAACGGTGCAAATATTTCCAGCGTCTCTTTAGCAAACCTCTGCTGCTTCACTGGGGACAAAGCGTAAAGCGTCTTCATGTTGTGTAATCGATCAGCCAGTTTTATAAGAACAGCTCTTGCATCTGCCATTGCAAGAAACATTGTGTGCAATCGATCTGCTTCAACAGTTTTACACGCCGTATTGTTCTCTCTAGCGAGTTTGCTCAATTGGCTAAGCTTTGAAACCTATGCAAAACACACACACACATTGAACTCGATTAGCTAACACATACGGATATAAAAACCAAGAATCTCAACCAATCAAAGTCCATAGATGTCAATGTTTCTTACCCCTTCAACCAAATCAGCCACTCCTGCTCCAAAGTTTCTGAGAATATAATCATAGCTCATGAATGAATCATCTATAGTATCATGAAGAAGCCCAGCAACAACAACAGTTGAGTTAGCTCCGATATTAGCCAACAACATAGCAGTCTCAACACAATGTTGAAGGTAAGGATCACCACTAGCTCTCATCTGATTAGAAACACCAAACGAAAAGTTCAGCCACCAAAACAAAACAAGAATAAAAAAACTAGTGATTGAGATTGTGTCTTTTTCTACCTGTCCTCTATGAGCTTTCTCTGCTTCGTAAAATGCTTTGATCACAGACTCATCTTTGAAGATCTTGTGTCTAACTTGAGCACGTCTTAACAAATCCCTAGCATATGGCTTTCTTGTATCAACCCCAAAACCATCCTCCATAGGAAACGTTAGCTCATCAACGAGAACAGAATCCGATCCCAATTCGTAATCCACACATGATCCAAGAGCTTTCCTTACGAAACCATTGAACAATCCACTAGCTCCTAAACGAAACGAGCCATCGAGATTTCGATCACGAGACATTCTCATCGGAGGGCTACAACTACAAGAAACTGGACCGTGAAGCACAGAGATAGGACTCTGGTGATCTCGTCTAAGATACGAAGAAGAATTCACAAATTTTGCCGGAGAATAACAAAAGGAGCTGCTCAAGCTCAGATCTTTTAAATCATCACTCCGATCATAGCGTAGTGAAGAAAACTCATCTACTCCGGTTGAGTATGAGCAAGAAGAAGCTGAAGATTTGACGGATGCGCCGGAGAAAAGTGAAGAGAGGCCACCGACGATTGGTTTCTGCGGCGAGGAAGCCATGGAAGGTGACGTTGACGAACTCCTGGAGGTCAGATCGAAATCACATGAGATCTGATGTGGCGTGGAACAAACGCTACTTGGTGGGCTCGCGTAAAGAGCTATAGTCGTCGCCACCACCATTGGAGCTCGTTGGTTTTGGTTTAGAATCCGAAGGTTCAGTTTTTTTTTTTCAGAAATCAAAGAATAAAGAATACCCAGAAACTATGTGCAATTCCCAGAATTAGCTCCCAAAATTCGTCAAATTTCCGGGGAATCAAAGTCACCTTTTTTCTATTGAAACAAACAGATTTACTCAAAACCCACAAATTCTAACACGAAACCCAGATGGATTTTGAGTTGTACAAGGAACTTTATACAGAGGAGGAACAGAACAAAGCCTAAACTATGTACAATTTATACGAAATTGAAGAGGAGAAAAATCGTAGAAAACGAGTCTAATGGAGACAAGAGGGTGTGTGTGAGGAAGAAGGAGAAGAAGAAAGTTAGACGCTTTGCTTTAAGGAACAAATTAATCTCTCTCTATTTGATTTTTCTTTTCCTTTTCTCGAAATTAGAAACTACTGTCTCTCCTTCCTCTGTTCTTATTCGTCTGTTTAAGTTCGGCCGACCAAAACTAAACCGATCAATATTACTATTACCGATATACCCTTTTACTTAATCGGTAAATTACTGAGTTAAGTGGGATTATTAGTAACAGTCTAATCTTGTTATGTCCTTATCCATTGCTGTTCGTAAATAATTATTTTCTTTGTATTGTGGGTATAGAATATAATCATATAAATCTAACTTTTCTAATGCTTTATCTACGAGCCAAGATTTATGAAATCTTCCCTGATGTTATTTTGGTTATATCAACTTGTCCTCCAAACTCAAAACACATATAGGTTAATGCTAAAGGATATTATAATCAAAGCTAATTCGTTGTGATTAAAGAGACTTGTGTCATTAAAAAATTGATGACACACTAAATGATTAAGAATATATCCAATCAGATGACATCGATATCCCAACTCCAATTTGGCTATAAAATAACTTTTAAAAGGCATAGTTTATGGAGTACTAGTCACTAAATGGCTTTTGTGTTATGATAAAAGACATTTTAAGTTAATTGTATTTTAACCTAACTTGTACGATAAACTACAAGATAGTACAGGTCTCATCTCATACTTAGCTCTAGATATTTTTGAATATTTTTGTGTGTATTTTGAAAACTTATTAAAACTAAAATCTTAATAAGACTATGATAAATCTAAACTCTTTATCATGTAGGTTGTATATGTGAATTTAATGTTAGGTTTTATAACAGATTTTCTCACTAATTAGTATTCCAATAAGTATATTTCTTTTAACCAACCGAATATATAATACTAAACTCAACGACATCTTTCTATATTTTTAATCCTGATATTAATTAGATATTCGTGATCATTATTCACATATGCTTCCTTTAGCTTCACGCCAATGCATGACCCCGCCATTTTTTTGTTGCATAAAATTAATCAAATTTAATTTAGTATCTTCTTATCCACTTGGAATCTTTTTTTTTCTCTTCTTCAGTTTTTGTTTAAAAATGAAGATAGGCTTATAGCACAGTGTCAACGGCAGATGAGTCATCCCATATTATGCATCAGCATCAACTTGAATCATTTGATCCACTTTTTAACTGTTGTTAATATGGATTATGACGAGTTTTGAAAAAAAACACAACTTTCTTTATTATTTATTTAATTGTTTTACTTTTTTGATCAAATGGCATTTGTTACTTTAAACATGAACAAAAATCAGCAAATTGTAAAACAAGGGTCCACCATGATATTTATGTTTGTCTATCGTTTTATTTTGTTTATTTCGTGAGGCCTCATTGGATATTTTTGTGCATCGCATCAATAAGGGGAATTGAATCGAACCCACATTGCTGGCTTGGTAATAATAACTCTCCTAAACCCTTCTCATTCATTGTCAAACAGTACTTCAATAGTAGCTAAAGGATGATAAATTTCAAATCTATAAAGGTAAATATAAATCTATTTATAATAGCATGGAATCGATATATAGAGATTCGGTAGATTACTAGATCACACTTGCAGTAACACATCAAGAAACATTTGATTAATTTTCTTATTTATTATTCTCACAAATCAAAAACTATATAATAGTGGAATCAATTCCTTCAAAAGGAAGATGCATTTTCTTCTACATATCAAAAACTAACACAGCCAAACATGATTGGTTTTCGGAAAAAAAAAAAAGATGGATGGTAAATGATATCAAGCCAGGGGCAACAGTGGCATTTTGAATGCATTGATGGATTTATACAGCTGGTCTAAATTATATTAAGTTTTAGGAAGGGAGTGTTGATAAGGACACACCGACGCGTTCCGGAGATTAAACCATCAAAGCAAGAAGAATATTCGCCACGTGGTGCCAAGTCGGCAAAACTGAACATGACACGCGTCTAATTTGGCGGCCATGAGAAAATAAAATGGATGTCACGCTCGTACACGTGTCCATACCCTAGCATCAATCAACTCTATGACTTGTGGGGATCACGGTGTCTTCTTACATCAGACGGCTGCGGTTGAGTCTTCTTCAGCTTAAACTGAATTACAGCCGTAAATTAGTTCCTACGGTTGTTGATAGTCAACTGGTCAAAGTCTGATACATTCTATATCACGTGCCGACGTGCGTCACGTGTCGACGTGCGTCACGTGTGTTAGTGTATTAGTACGTACGTATATGATATTTTCGTAGTTTTTTATGTCGACGGCGGAAGAAGATCATATAATTCAACTTTAGTTGGTTAGAAAAATATTGGATTTATATGCAGCATTCAGAGATATTTAGGGGAATCAAGATCGATTAGTTTCGGTTTGTGACAAGAAGAGGTGGTCCCAAAATAGCAAATAATTTGGTTATGTGATTTGCGTAAGAAGCAAACGTATCACGAGGATTAGGTCAGCCATGACTTAACCACGTGGAATGGTAGCGTTTGCTTTTTTCTCTCCTTCACGCAATTAGCATCCTCACTTCACACACGCATCCTCACATGTATCATTCCGGTTTTCTCTTACCGAGAAAACGACCCGCTAATGTTTATATCGGTTTGGTTTACTCTCTTGGTTTGAGACTTTCAGGGTCATTAGCCCAATCCTATTCTCGGGCCTCTTTGGACTCGTATTTAGTGCCTCGACTGGCCTAGACTAATATAGTAATATGTAAAATATTTTGGGTTTATAAACCCAATGACTTTTATATCACTAAAAGTCTTCTTTACAAAAACAAATCGTGAACGGTGAACCCAATGAATTTTGTCTAAACCCACGATAAAGAACAGCAAACGTTTGTACTTTGAAGCAAAGAAAATATGTTTTCATACTAACAAAACATATTTATACCTATTAATACAGGTTGCGTTAGGTAAGTAATCTCATTTTGAACACATATTAAGTATATGACTATACTATCAAAATTCAAAATGGTGAATGATTTTTTTTATCCTACACTTGTGGGAAATTGTGTGCGTATGTATACTCGAATGAAAATATGAATTTTTAATTACAAATAGAAAATATTTTGCATGTACTATATATCTTCTTCACACTCAAAACCGGAAAAAAAAAATCTTTATATAATAAATCACAAGTCAATTCTATAAAAACTGCAACCCTCTCCATCCGACACCTCTCTTAAGTCCCAATTTTTACACTTTCAGATTTCTAAACAATTAAACTTTTGGTATTCGACAAAAAAAAAAAAGACTAAAAAAAAAAAATCTCCTTGGAACTGTTTCCCCTCTTCACCCCCACGATCTCAATATCTCCTCTCTGTCTCTCTTCTTCAACAATAGAACAACAACATTATTTCATACAAAAAGCTTACAAATCTCTTTCTTCCTTGCTCTTTCCTACAACTTTTATCGGGTAAAAATTTACAAGTTGCTACATGCTCTGATCTTAGAGTTTCATCAATCTCATGTCTCTTCAAAGAATCAAATCAAATCTTCTTCTTTTTTTTTCTTCTCATCAATCAAATCAATTCATTTTTTTTCTCTTTGTCAAATGTAAAGAGAATAGTAACCACTATACGTTATCTGCCATTGATAGTTTATTCTCAGGCTGAATAACTGAAAAGCGAAACTCGCTCGGACAAACAATCAAACGGGAACAGTTCGTGATAATTACAGCTCAGGGGAATTACTAGAGAGTCCTGGAGATGAAAACACTTGGCAGCAGAAACCATCAACACCATTTAAAGATCTGACTGGCGACTGCATCAAAAACCCCGAAAACAGGAGAGAATCTGTTGAGATCATCGTCATCATCAGAAGAAGGGATAAAGCAAGGGCAACAAGTGAGGCTTATGGATGAGAGAGGAGACGAGATCGGGAAAGGATGGGTGTTGAGAACAGACGGTGAATGGTACAGTTTAAGCCTAGAGACAAAACAGATTAGTGTAGTTAATGTAATGGAGCTTAGTGAGTCATAAGTTTTAATTGGTAAAGAAAAAAATTAATTGGTAAATTTGATTAAAGTTTTGCCCCGTACTCCGTACGGGCTTAATACTAGTTAGTATATATTTTCTTTGAAGTTAGAGAGAACAAAACATCTAGCTACCGCACAAGTACCTGCATATCATATAAGTCAACACATAAAACTATGAACAGCAATATCTTTTAGCCGACAAGAATCTTACAGACCAAGTTTTTCCCATGGTACAACAATATTCAAAGTTCCCTTTGTTTTTAATATCTTGTTTCGTTCAAACTGTCTTATATAGTTTTGACATTTTTTCAATAAAGATGTTTTTGACATTTTTTGTGACAGAATTGTTATACGCAAATAGTTTTTTTACATATACTTTTAAACAGGAAATTTCAAACACCCCCAAAATTATGAAGGTAATTAATTTGATACTCGAAGTCTCGAGTTAAATAATTTAGTTTTTTTTTTTTTTTTTTTTTTTTGATAACTCAGGGTAAATCCCTAGACCTATGGAGGGGTCTAGGACTAATCCCTGGGGAGAGGGTGTCCCACGGGTAGGGTCCCCCCCAGGTTTTCAAATGGGCCGTAAACAATGGGCCCATACCCATGTGGCCAAAGGGATAAAGCTGAGCAATTCTACGTCTGGGGAGAATCGATCCCTGGCCTAGACCAACAGGGCCACTCTTCCACCAGACTAGAACCACTAGCCCACCACCTCTGGTTTAAATAAATAATTTAGTTATACAAGAAAAAAACGAGGCTGGTCGACGTAGCCGGACATTGGACAGAAAGATAAGCCTAAGCCAGGAGCGGCAAAAGCGGCCGTTTCCACCGTCATGCGCTGCTGGATGGTGGCGGCTCCGGCGTCCTCGAACTCCTTCACTATAGTACGATAATACGCTTTGATCTTCTTCACGAGCCTCACGTAGTACAATCTCAGCCACTTGAGTCTCATCCTCGTTACCACCTTCTTAAGCGAGAACCTGCCACGTAGCGTACTATTTTTCCCGCCGAGACGCACAACTTGTGGCTTACGCCGACGGAGATAGATCTTCCGGTGACTTGACGGCCACCCGAATGCGCTGGAGGTGGCAGTGATGATCAAATGGGGATCCATAGAAATCTCGCGAGAGAATTTTATATAAGGAAGAAAATGAAAGATGGTTTATGGAGTTAGATTGAGAAACTTATACATGACATATATATAGAGATACTAAGAGCCGTGAAATTTGTTATGTGGTGACTTTATGACTAAATATGACATATTACGTAATTTCCGTAAACTAATGTATCGTATGTCCAAATCATAACCATTTGTAGTTTTTGTTGTTATACACAAAATATGCAGTTTTAAAAATTTATTTAGGGGGAATGCCCTATATATCACGACATTACACCAGTGCCACATATTTTGATTTTGAACTATTATGTAAAAACAGTAAACTACTACTAAAGAGACTGCTGATGCTTATTATCTTTCAGCAATCTGTTCAATCATATGATAGCAAATGATGCGAGTCAAGTTTCATAGATAAAACATGCATAATGTATCGAATAGTATAATTAAGACTTTGCATTATTGGTAATCATTTCGTGAAGCGTTAGTGAATATCGAAGAAGGCCAGTAAGTAGATAAGCTTTAGACAAGAGTAAGCCATTGTATGTCTCGCTGTAGAAGACGACACAAAAGTTACGTAGCTCAAGGGACCCATTTTGTCTATATTACATAGAAAGTCCACTTTAGTTCGATTTTTATAAGTTGTAGTGAAAACCATTCACCCGAAAATGATATGTTTCTTGACTTCTGAATAGTTTTGTGTGTGCGTTAATTAATGGACGGCTTGTGTTTATTCATTTATTTATTTCTGCTTTGATGTTGACTAATGCTATAGTACTTTTTTGCTCTTATATATACCCATTTTTTTTCTTTTAAAACTTCTTCCCATTTTAATTGTCTGCATAAGTACACAATTTTTTTTACAGAATTAAAGATTGAAGTTATTAGTAATCTTGTTTATTTATAACAAAGTTTAAAGAAAACAAATTATATCTTCTTTTTTTTTTTTCTTTCTTTCGGAATCCATTGTTTATTACAAAACACAATTGCCAGATGGATACATGAAATCAAACAAGAATGTAAAAGTTTACAAATGCCAATCGAATTTTCTGCTCATTCACCCCATGCATAGTGGTCTAACCCAAGAACGAGGGCCAATAATGAGTATACAGATCGGCCCATTAACAACATGGCCCATTAACGAACCCGACAAGACTTTTCTTTTTAATGAAAACATAAAACCAGAGCCCAATTTGTATCATCAATCAGAAGGACTGAACTGATCCCTGACCCCATTGGACGGCCACCGGACTCTTCACCACGTGTTCACCGTCTGTCCATTCGATCGACCCGAATTCATGACCCGGCACGGATCCGACTCCTCCGCCGAGTACAACGCTCTTAAACGTCACTTCATACTCCAACTCGCTCTTCTCCTTGCTGAACGCAAGCTTGCTCGGAGACACATCAATCTCAACATTCGCCGGAGATTTAACTCCGACTTCGTATACAGCGTCGACATTGCTTCCTACGTTTTTGACAACCCTTTTGTATTTCACAACTTCTCCGGTCGATCCGAAAACCACTGAGAAAGATGGGTAATTGAGATCTCCGGCGGTTCTTAGCTTGCTCGTTTCGCAGGCATTGAAAAGAGTTGGATCTTGAAGGAAGACTAGAATCCCCGGAAACTCATAACCCACGGCGCAGAGGAAAGCTACGTACTCTTTAACTTCGATGTCGTAAACCAAACCAGGATTCAAAGCTTTGTTTGGATCGACGTGGCCAGCTCCGTGGATGAACGAGTTTGATGATTTACCAGTGGCGAGATCCTCGATTGGTTCGCCGGAGTTTTCGACGTCGTAGGCGGTGGTTACGAGGGCGGATTTGATTGCTGCAGGTGACCAATCGGGGTGAGCTTTACGGAGGAGGGCGGCGAGTCCACTAACGTGTGGGCACGACATCGATGTACCGGAGATGATGTTGAATTGGACCCGTCTTGGATCGATATCCAAATCGGTAGGACCAACCATCCCGGTCCAACCGGCTAAAATGTTGACTCCGGGAGCAATCACGTCCGGTTTAAGGATAACCGGTGTCAAGTGATTTGGTCCACGGCTGGAGAAAGCGGCGACTCTGGGAGAAGGAGGAGATGGTCCGATCAAAGTGCCTAGGAAACTGATTTTTGCGGTGGGAGAGTCTGCTGTTTTGATGTAGTCGCGGATTTGATCTCCAGCTTTAGCTCCAACCATTGTCGCCGGGACGAGATGCGAATCGGCGGTGAGTTCTTCACCGCTTTCAGCTGTGTTCGCCAGAATCATACCTGCACCACCGGCTATCTTGACGGCACTTCCTTTTTCAACTCTTGCGTTGCCTCCTCTGTCACAGAGAACGATTTTCCCTTCCACTAATGTTGAATTCAATTTCCCAGGGTAACACAATCTGCTTCCGCAATCGCCGGAATATACCAAAGAAAGTTGAGAATCCGGTAGAGATTCGCCTGCGTACAGTGATGTTCCCGTGAAGACTTTCCCGTCTCCAGTGATTGCGTTTGCGGAGAATTCCCTATCGACGGTGGACGCACCAACGGTTAAGATCCATGGAGCGATGTTCGTTGCGGTTTCGGGACCAGGACCAGAATTCCCAGCAGAGCAAGAAACGACGATACCATGCCGCGTGGCTCCAAATGCTCCGATCGCGATAGAATCCGTGTGATACTCCGGGGCGTAACCGCTGGATCCGACGGAGAGAGAGATTACGTGAACACCGTCCGCGACCGCCTGATCCATGGCGGCGAGGATATCGGAATCGTAGCATCCGCTGCTCCAACAGATTTTGTAAGCGGCGATTCTCGCCTTAGACGCCATCCCACGAGCCGTTCCGCGTGCGTATTGGAACAAACTCGCGTTTGCAACCACCGATCCAGCTGCCGTAGATGCCGTATGCGTCCCATGACCTTCTGTATCGCGCGGCGATCTCGATTCCTTCGCTGCATGCTTTTTTGTTCCATTCCGTTGCGTCAAATATCCTTTGTAATACGCTCGAGCTCCGATAAGCTTCCGATTGCAAGATGAGGCGGGAAAATCAGGTCCGATCTCGCACTCGCCTTTCCATGTAGATGGAACGGGACCGAGACCTGAATCCGAGAAACTTGGATGCTCCGGCCAGATTCCAGTATCTAGAACGCCGACGATCACGTCTTCGCCGTAATCTGAGTTGCCCCAGAGACCAGAGTTTTGGGAGAAACCGAGGAAGTCAGGTGTGTGAGTGGTGTGGATCTCACGCGCTTGATCTGGTATAACGGAAATGACGGAAGGATGACGGCGGAGTGCGGCGGTTTGGATAGGGGAGAGGCGAGCGGAGAAGCCATGAACGGCGCGTGAGTAAGAGTAGAGGAGCGTTGCTGGTTGGGGAGAAGAAGGGAGAGAGCGGAGGAGAGAGACGTGCCAGTGGTTGTGGGAGGAGAAGAGAGAAGGCTTATGAGAACTCTGCACATGGACGATGTAGGATTCTAAGCCATCCGATGAATAAGAAGAAGAGGATAAGAAACAGAGGAAGAGAGAGAAGACGAAGAAGACGGAGGAGATAGAGAGCTTAGCCATGGCAATGGCGATGGAAGAAGAAGATTCGTTGTGGGTGATAACTTTTGGTGACGTATTTATTATCTCGTTGAGCTTCTTCTGAATCTTGTATTTCGTCTAGATGCCACGTCAGTAATTTATCAATAATTGGTCCCAAATGATTCTTTCAAAAGATAACAGTGAATAATGGAAATAATAGCAAGGAGGAGACGTGGGTCACATGACTGGTTTAATGTTGACACGAGGATAATAAGAATTTTTTGCGGTTATAAAAATGGGCAGGTATGACAAAAGGACAAACCAATAACAAACAAACACACTAAGATTCAAAACTATGAACTCTCATGTCATGACCAGTCCTTTGGTATACAATAAGCCTCTGATTAGTTTGTTGGTTAGAGACTAAACAATGTTATATAGCTCTTTAAGCAGCCCATGGTATGAATCCCATGGCGCAACTGAGCCTGAAAGTGACGAATATCAGATATATTGCAATGAGTCCCATACCTAAGGTTCTGTTAGGTCGCATGTCGTTGCGAGGGAGTATCACCATAGCCCAAACCAAACCGAGTACTAGAAACCCAAGTGTGTAGAATAGGCTTTTGTCTTCTGGTAGCATGTATGTGTCAGGACTCTTGGACCATGCTCCAAAAAGCATCGACATACCGAGTCCCACGAGTGTGTTGAACATTGGACCTGCATAGCATCCAGATAGGGCGATTTGTACACCATCACCACCGTTCATCGTCAATGCGATATTCGACACTAAGTCACCCATTGAGTTTCCCCAAGCAAGTACTGTTAGCGCAAGTATCGACGGGTTGATTCCGTAGATCTCACCAAAAGTCACCAGAAGAGCAACGAGTTCATTTGCAATCATGTAGAACCATACGATGCTCATGATAAACCCACCAAGAACCCAAGGGATCAAGAATCTTCGAGGTGGGTGATCAGGTTCTGTGTTTTTGTAAGCAAGAAAGCCAAGAGTAGAGCCTATAACAACTCCGATAAAGTATGCGACACCACAAGCTTGGAGACTCACATCGTCTTGGCTACTCCAGAGAGACGCCAAAAGGACAGGCGCTAATGTAACGCTGGCCACAGCATATGTCTTTGACCATGTATCTTCCTCGACCGATGGAATTGTTAACCTCCTTGGAATCGTCAGCGGAATTTCCAACAAGGAAGTGAATTTAGTACATGAGGAGCTCTCAACTTCTGCACTGTCATCAATCCATCCCCAAGGTGGCCTGTCTTCATCATGTACACTAACTTTTGCGAAATGGTTTGAATAGATGGCCACATTTGACGCCCACATCCACTGAGGAAGACTCTGTAGCCGAGGTGGACCATCCTCAGTCTCAGTTTCTATCAAGGGAGTATTCATTGGCACATCCTCTCCAACACTCGGGGAAAACACACTTCCTTGCATAGGTAACAAAGGAGTAAGAGCCTCTAGTTTAAACCTCTTAGCATGTTTTCTCAGAATGACATTCGCTGCCACAAGGAAAGCATAAACCACATATATGGAGACAAACGCGATGGCAATCCGTACTGTCACTTTACCAACCATCAAAATCACCAACAAAGACACAAGCGTGAAAAGGAAGAAACTCAAGTCTCTGATGAAGCATTTCTTATCGATCTTGACTTCCTTATCCGCAACACAAAGGGAAACAATGCCAACAACAACAGAAGTAACAAACACAGCACCACCCAAGACGCTGTTAAGACCAACTTCTCCTTTATCTGTTCCAACAAAAGCAGCTATACTAGCAAACACATCTGGTGCTCCATTCCCAAGAGGAAGTAAAGTAACACCAGCAACAGTTGGAGGCAGCCTCAAAAGCTTTGAAAGCTTCTCCAATGAACAACAAAAGTAATCAGCAGCAGTATTACCCAACAGATAAAACAATGCAACAAGCCAAACACCTAACATCATGTAACCCAAGATACTGAAATCTCTGCAGGAGCAGTAAAAGAAGCTGAGGTAATCAAAGAATCCATCAGGGGAACAAATTGGGTTTGCTTTTAAGAAGTCGCATTGATCAGCATAACCCATGTGTTTGTGTAACCCTGAGCATAAAACAGTACTACTGCTACTCAAGCTGTTATTACCAGAACCATTCGTTTCAATTTGCCTCACATTTCTACGAATTACAGTAAAGTGGGTGAAACCTTTATTGAATTTACCTCCGGAGACTGAGCCACTACGACCATTGACAAGAGACGAGTTCCTTAACAAAGGGTTCTTGAGTATATCGCTCCGATCAAAGAAGAAGCAAAACAGAACCAGAGCACAAATCCCATTGAAAACCCCTCGAAATTTGGGGTTTTTCGAGCTATAAAGAAAACTCACCGCGCTCATTATTCAAACCTTATTTGAACAAACAACTGTCGATGATCATAAACCCCAAACCCAACCGAACAAGAAAGGGGCCTAGGGTTTTGAAACAAACAAGATACGACGATATTGAAATGTTGAAAAACCCTAGAATTCTCAGTTTCGATCAGGCGAAACGCAAATTGAGAATCAGGTGGTCACCAAGATTAATTAGCGACGAGAAATTATAGTTTCCTGGTAATTAACCTGGGAATTGAAGGTTGGCAAAAGAGAAATGGTGTGATCGTAGCACGAAACAATGGTGAGGAATCAGCGCTTGTCAAAACAATGGTGATCAGGGTAATAATTTTTGACACGGAATCATATCAACGACAGACGTGGCATTCTTTTCATTTTTGTACAACTGATGATTCTTTAGTTGATGATAATAAAAATATTCTGGGCATATTACAAATTTTTAGACTTTAGACCGTATTATTTGAGTATTAAAACGACAATGAATCAATGATTAAGAGAAATGAGACAAATGGTATATCGCCTATAAGGTACTTAGTCGTGGTTAGGTTAGAAAGAGACATTTTCATATTCAATTCATTTTGAGAATATTTCTTGTCGATTCCCCTATTGAAAAGGACAATATTCTAACTCATTAAAATAACGAAAATAGCCAAGTATTTCTGTACATTTTGTAAATATAAAATAAACATTTTCGAATATTGGATAAACAAAAAAAAAAGAACTCATAAAGATAATAGTCAATAAGTAGTATTTACAACAGTAAATACAAATTTACCGCCAAAAAGGAAGAAAGACAAGAAGAATAGAAGCTTTATGGATGATGTTCAACTGTTAGCTCTTGTATTAGCCGTTCGATTTGTCGTCTGTAAACAGGCATGAAATGATCGCTTATCATCCTCTGCGATAACCTCACCTTACTATACAATGACCTCGGCGTCAGAAATATTCCTACTCTACCCTCCTCCACCGTCTCCACTGTCTCAGGCCTCTCAAGGGTAGAACCGTCTTCCTCTTCTTCTTCATTAGCCTCTACGGCCTCCGGTCGAACCGTGACAATATGCATAATTTTGCCCGCCGGGAGGAATCTGCGGGATTCTTTCATCTCAGCCGTCTGGCTCTCCGGCGGGGCCACACCGGCCTCTGCAATGACGGCTTCTTCTTCTTCTTTTATTTCTTTTGCCACGTCGGTTTCTTCAGGTTGCTCTGAAGAATCGTGGTAAAGGTCATGCTCCAGTTGCTGCCATAGCTCAGCTTCAGTCATTCGCTCTTCCCGTGTGTCCATTTCCGCTGGATCGTCACACTCGTCAAGATCAGTGGTTCCGAGACGAGGTGATGTTTCATCTTCTGATTTCCATTTCCCGGTGATTTCTTCATCCGTAACAAGAAGAGGACCTGAAGTTTCGGGTATATCTTGGGACATTGCTTCAGAAGAATCTAATTGATGTTCCGAGTTTGACTGAGTAGCAGAGGCTCTGCGCCTTGGTCCCATACATGACCAAGAAGATATGCTTAGTGCAGGACGAGTCAGCATGCTTTGAGCTCTTCTCATCACAACCTGCAAAAGTTTTGTTTTATTCACAGACTTTTTGACTCTTAAGTTTAGAAGCATATTCAGTGTACTTTATTACCTGTGTGCCATTAGAAACTGGGCGTAACATTGCACCAGCGCCAGCAACTTTTGCTTTGGCAGTGGCCATAGATGGGAGTCGTGATCCTAAAGCCGTAGCTGAGCGATAAACAGTGCTGAGGATTCGAGTGCGTTCGATTTGATTTCTCAGATCATTTAGCCAAGCAGATGCTGTTACCTGAAGAGGTGGAAAAGGAAGAATAGATGGTTAATTCAAGGAATTACAACAAACGTTTTCCAAAGTATACAAATGAAGCATGAAATTGCGAGCCTAGGAAGTTAACCTCAGCGCGTAAGTCATCTACTGCTGCAGCAGAAAATGTAGGCACCAGATCAGCTCCGTTTATGACAGATACGATGAAGTCATTCCCAGAGTCAGCTAATTCCCAAGTCATACAAGCAGCTGACGAATATAGGAACTAAGTTCAGTCTTATATCTTATGAAGGTATCAACAAATGTAATTGAAAACTGTATTGGATAAAAAAACCTGGAGCAAATGTAACACAGGTAGCTGTAGAGAGCATTTTCTGCTCCCGCAAAATATATGTCAAAAGTGCAGCTGTTCCACCGCCCAAAGAGTGCCCTACGATCTGCCAACAGAATGCAGGAAAAATAAAATGTATGGATATAGTGTTTGGCTTCTTACACAACAGGTTCTACGAAAAGTTGAAATCTAGAATAGAGACCAGCTAATTAAAGTACCTTGATTTTGTAATCTGGATATTGCTCAAGACCCTTGAGAAGACAAGGGGTGGCAAGTTTTGCTATACACCGGGCAGCAGCAACCATACCACAATGTGCATATCCTAAGACCAAATTGCTGACCCCTCTCTCATTTACAACAGTGTGATGGAACGGTACGATTGCTCCGGTTGCAGCTGTCAAGGTGTCCTTGATGCTATGTGTTCCACGGATCAACAATAGAAAACATTTTGTTTTGTGATCGACAAGAACCGTAAAAGCTGGCTTCAATATCTACATGATGCAAAAGTCAAAACTAAATCTCAAATTTCTATGTCGACAAGGTGCCTAAGAGTCTGAGAGTTGTTAAAGTTTACCCCAGCTTTGGGTTCGTGAATAAGGACATTTTCCTTTGTAAAGCCGGTCTCTTCTAAGAATAATGGAAACGGCTTCTTGGAAAAATGCCAACACAATGTCAACAAGTGCAAAAGATATCTGAGTTCAGTGGCTACTTCAGATCCTTTAAGCTCTATACTATCTTTACCACCAAAGACACGATCAACATGTAGAAGTCCCTGCGGTTTTAGGTACACAATTACAATATGTTCAACTTTGACCACAAGATGAGTGAAAAATCCAGAACTTAAGACCGTTATAAAGATGAAGAGATGTTTTACCTGCCTCTTGATGAGAAAATTGATCCCAAAAGCAAGATCTCCAATAGGCCACTTCCCTAGAGTCTCGGAGTAAGTAAAACGAAGAGTCTCAGAAAGAGTAGAAATAGTCTCCAACCAAGTTGCCGGAGCTTGAATTAGTCTATGCGAAACACGGTCAATCCTCAAAGAAGCCCGAGAAGCAGAAGTGTCAGAATTATCATCGTCAACATCAGATGGACCCGCTATTAATTTCCGATTCAACGTGTAATAGAGAAGAGCAGCTGCTCCAGCTGCTGTTGCCATAGTTGCAGTTGCCATGATCAATCTATCCCTAAAAACATCAACGAAACAATTCAGTACAAAAAACAAAATCACTCAATTGCTCAATGGAGTTTATATGTTGAAAATCTAAGACGAAACTCAATCTAATAAGAAGAAAAATAAAACAAAATCGATCGAACTACATTGGATGCCACAATTTCAATCTCCAGATGCGCTCTTAATAAGTATCTCAGACTTTTTCCAGAAATCTCCAAAAACATGTAAAGCTGGAAAATTGAATACAATTTCGTACAAAGAAAATTCTTTTCACCAATTACCCCCAAAGAATAAAAATTTCGGAATACAAGAAAAAAAAAAAAAACTAGCCATTAATAGAAAACTCTCACTTTCCTGAAATTTCTCGAATACCACAACAAACCCTACTCCTGATAACTATCGACGTTTTCAACCGATGCAAATCATATAACTGAATATGATTTAGCTTAAAATTGAACAGATCGGTGAACCTTAAGAAACAAAACCCTAAGCCCCCCGCAAAAATCGCATCATTAGAACACAAATTATTGAGAAACGAACCTGGAGAGAAAAGACGAAATCGTGACCCTGATTTGAGGGTTTTACAGTGGAGAAGGTTAAGGTTGCTTACGTACGATACCTCCGGCGAAGGTGGAATTTCTCTCCGATGTTGATGAATTTTTAGCTACAAACGCAACGCAAAGTGCAAACAGATTTTGTTTTCCTTTATATAAACTGCGCTACGTTTTTGTGCTAAGCAAACGCCGCGTAGTTTCGCGCCGCCGAATCTTATGGTTACGTGGCAGTATATTATTGGATAAATTGGCTTCTCAGAGCCCGACGTCACTAGTTGAATTAACAATAAGGAGTTTTTACATAAAGCAGTAAATATAAAATTGAAATTGTATTTACGAATAAAAATGTCACAGCCACATATATATTCATTTAGATTGCAGCAAAATATTTAAATTTATCGAATTAGAATTAAGTAGGGGTTTTTTCTGTATTTTTTACTCAATCTTATTTCAAAAAATGTTATTGTTAATTTGATGACAATTCTCAAGCAAATGGACACTCATATTCTATTTAGTCTTCAAAATCAGATTATGTAGATAGATTTTCATCAATAAGGTTGTTTTTGCGGTAAATTTTACCAATCACATTGATTTAAATTTTTGTCAAACAACCAACTAGAAAATTTTATATAATTTATTTTAGAAAAATTCGATCACAATAATTTGTTAATTTTCTTAATATAAGTTTAATATTAAATTGGAAAGTGCTTGAAGTATTAATTAAAGTACAACGCCTTATCTATCGAGTTAAGAAATCGCGGACTAAAAGAAGAATAAAAAAGGGTTAGTGGACGATTTGCTCAACTTATTTCTTCGAATTTTCCATCAACGATTTTCTCAGCCAAATTCGATCGGATCTGGGTTTTATATTTTTTTGAAGAACCCGTGTCCGTGTTCGATCAGGAGTAGGAAGTCCCAACCTTTTTTTTTTTTAAGCCCTTTCTCAATTTAAACCCTTTCTTTGGTCAAAACCCTAATTTAGATTCCTCTTTCCGCCTTCACTTTTGTCTCTGTGTTAAATTTCGACTCTTCTGCGTTCGATAGCCAAATCTTATCTCTTCAACTGGAATCTGAGGAACATTATTATTATCGGTTTGTGTTTTATAGAAAGACCGAAACTTTTCATCAAATTTCAAGCGGATAGAGAGTCAGTGGCGATGTCTTGGGCTGGTCCTGAAGATATTTATCTTTCAACCTCACTCGCTAGTTATCTCGATAGTAATTCCGTCTCTCTTTCTCTCTGTTTTCACATATTTGTTGAAGCGTATGTATGTATGTAGTTATAAGAATTGGCCTTGATGGCTCTTACTGAAGAGCTCAATTTTGCAAACGATTTTGTGGCCTTGTCCAAAGCTTGTCAATTTTGGTGTTGAATTTATCGCAAAGAGACACTCTTTGATTAAGAAATTGAATCAAAGCTTTGTTTTTTTTATTGGGTCAAATCTGACTGTTCATCAATTATTGTTGTTAAGCTCTTAGCATGCGTGAGATATAATGTGATTGAGGTTGTTGGCTCATTGTTGATTCAACTTACGAAGTATAAACTATATCCTGTGTCGAAATTTAATTCACTATCAGCTTTTTGATGTTGGTTCTTTGAGTTTAAAGTTTCATAATCTTCTTTTGCTGATGTTTTTGGGATATGAGTTTATTCTCAATCTCATTTGGTGTAACGTTTACTTTTAGATATGAATCAATGTGCGTCAGTTACTTATGTATGTTGGCTCTGCTCTTGATGATGCAGGAAAACTACTTGTGCTCCTTAGAGATGGTAGAAAGCTAATGGGAATACTCCGTTCCTTTGATCAATTCGGTATTCACTTTTATTTTCATGCTCCTACATTTACGATATTGTTGATGAGAGAGAGATTTAGACCATGCTTTGTTCGTTGTGAATACACAGCCAATGCGGTTCTAGAAGGTGCGTGTGAGAGAGTAATTGTTGGTGAACAATACTGTGACATTCCTTTAGGCCTCTATGTAATCCGGGGAGAGAATGTTGTTTTGATTGGTGAGCTGGTAAGACTTCTCCTTGTTTGTCTTTTTTTGTTATGTCACTTCCTGTTTTCCAATTCACTGAGTATAAACTTAAACCATGTGTTAGGACACGGAGAGAGAAGAGCTTCCTCCACATATGATTCGCGTCTCAGAGGCAGAGATTAAGAGGGTAAGGCATCACATCATATGTTTTAACTTTCACACATCAGTAACAAATTGAGTAGCAAACTTTGATTCATTTGTGATATTGTGTGTGTGCTGATGATTTGGTATTGGGAATCTGTGTGTTGGTGTAGGCGCAAAAGGTGGAGAGGGAAGCGAGTGAGCTGAGAGGAACAATGAGGAAGAGAATGGAGTTTCTTGACTTTGATTAAACCAGATTGTATCCCCATTCATTATTGGCTTGATGCTCTGCTTTGGCTCGCAAGTTTTATGATGAGCCTTTTTGGTGTGTTGACTTAGGGGATCGACGCAAGTCTTATGTTTCATTTTGGAAGAACATGACAAAATAATCTGTGTACTTGTCTTCGGATTTATTTACCTTTTTAAGAGAAAATATTTAGCAATTTCTTTCCCTATCTTGGAATTGGGTATAGATTGGATGATTTCTTACCTTAATCAAGACCTAAGACTTTACCGTTTTGAGCTTTTGAAGAAAACGTGACGTTGGCTGACACTTTTATACAAACGGCACAAGCAGAAACAAAAATGGAGAAAAAGAGTAGAAGACGTGGCACATTGCAAAATTTACATTGTACTTATTGGTTCTGTGATCAATCAGGACTAAAAGAAGACATATGGCACAAACAACAACACACAAATATATGTTTACCTGGAGATTATTCCACCGGGCAGGAAACCCGTGAATAAAAATTCAAAGAATGGCTCTATTTCTATGACATCCTAATGTGGCTGAAAAAAGAAAGAAAGAAGACGAACTCTCCGTTTTTCGATCTTCTTTTATCGCCTCCTCAAGTGTGGTGGTGTGGTATATCCTTCGAAGAAATCTAGAACGATGGTCTCGATATCTTCAACAGAATATTTCAAATAGTTCTCAGGGTGTCTTCCACTCTCTATATGACCCCTGAACCTTCCAAGAAACGATCTATAAGCAGGGATTAGATGCTCGGATAGCGATATTCGGAGTTCTTCTCTAAGCTGAGCATCTGGAACCGACCATGTGGACTGAGTCCTGTGAACCTCTTCGAACATTGTATTGAATGCCTTAAACCTTTCTCTTAGTGCACTTCTTGATACTCCAGAGGAGAAACTCCCACTCACATGTAACCCTTCATCTCTCAGACTATTCAGTACTCTGACCCATGTAGCTCTCTGGTAGTTTGTGGCAGCATGTCTAAATATCCCAGTGAGTTTCCTTAAATAATGGTCTCCAATCATTTCTCTTAGCTCCGGTGACCTTTTCACTTTCTGAACAATGTAATGGATGTTGTTCATGATGAATATGTGAGATAGAGATGTGTCTCTATAGTGCTTGGATTTCTCTTCTAAGTTGAAATGCAAGACCACAATCAACCATATCAAATGCAAATCCAATGGAGACTTACTCTCTAGCTCCGTGAAATCCATATCCGGTGTGTTTGGATCAGACCCAGTAGAGGGATTCGACATGATGAGATCATCCAGCGTTTGCTTATAATCAGAGATCATAACAATGTAGTTCATCACATACCTTGTCAATGGATGAATCGTACCTCCCGGGACAGGAACTATCGAAGGTTCACGAAGCACAGCATTCTCAAACTCGGAAAGTATACCTCTCGCTGCTTCCGCTAGTCTCGATTGAATCTCAACAGCCTGAGCCCTAATAGCATCTGATGAATCCGAGTCAAAGATTGCTTCAATATCCGGTAACATATCCGTCAAAGCATCGTGTAAATCAAGAATCTTGAAAAGCTTCTCAGGTGATCTTCTACTGATACTTATAGCTTCAGGGAAAGTGAAAAGTCTCAGAGCAGAAGCCTTCACTGTCTCCATGAAACAAGTCTCATCCATAGCCGTGCAAATACCATCAAATAGCTGCTCACATAGTCTCTTCTCACTAGAGAAAACAACTCTAATGCAAACCTTAGCTGCACGAATCCATTTCCTGATCTTTCCTTCAACAACTTCCCACTCAAGCTTTTGTACATCTCCAATGCTTATCTTCACAATCCCAAGCTGCTTAAATATTGTTTCCATGGCTGATTTGCGAACAGTTCCGTATACTTGGATACATTCACGAGAGTAACCGGCGGCGACCATTCGTTGAACAATCGATCTCAGATCAGAAACTGCCTCCGGCGAGATCAGATCCATTTCTCGAATACTGCTAGTGGATCTGTAACTGCTTCTTCTACGAGTTAACCGGCTTGAACCGGAACCACCTGGCGAATTTAATTCTTCTTCTTCGGTAGTTACGGTGGTATCTTCTCCGACCTCGACGCATAAAGACGGAGAGACTGATGATTCCTCGAGAAAAAGTGAATCAGGCTCGAAAGTAGTTGTGTGAGAGAGAAGAATGTTACGGAACTCGTCTTCGAGTCTAGCCATGGCGATTTGGATAGCTGAGTTGGCTTTGACCTCTTGTTCGTCGACTACGGTGGCGGCGGAGGTGGCGGCGGAGGAGGAAGAAGAAGAGAAGGAGACAGAAGATAGGGACCGTTGGATTTCATCAACGGCTCGGAGAAACCGATCCACCTCATCACGATCGCTTTGGAAAATCATCTTCCCTCTTGCTCCATCAGTCGCCGCTGAGTCCCACCGGAGTATTATCCTCTCCGCTGTCTCTAACTTCGAACCATCGGAATCTAAACTATTCTCCGGCGGTTCCATCTAAAATCAATCAGACAACAATAGTTCATATACGGAAAAGCAACAAAAAAGTTGAAAACCAGTGCAATGATTCTCACCTCCACCGATTCAAATTAGGTCTTACGTCTTCTCCGATGAAAATCCGTGAAGGAGATTTTTGGTAAGAAACCACTTCGATTTTTTTTTTCCTTATCAGAAGAAGGAAGTCTTAGCAAGGCAAAGCTGTCTGTTTGTATTGTTTTTAGTTTTATTTTTTGGAAGTTTCTGCGAGAGGTGGGAAATCGGAAAAATAATAAGTCTCTTGGACTTTTCAACTCCTCTTTGTGTATACGTTGCCGAAAAATTTTAAACTTTGTTTTTCCGAATTACTCGCCGGCGACGTAAAATGCCCGGTAAAAATTAAACTGTTTTGGTTTGTGGAATTATTGGGTGAGATCTAGTCATAAATGCTATTATGCCTAAAACAAAGTCCCACTTTCTCTAAGAAAAAAAAAGAGACACATCTAGATAATCCAATCATGTCTTGTTATGATCTTTCATTTTTATAGTGGGGGGATCACTTAAGCCAGTAATTTTGGAAACTTTCTTGAATTATCCAATCATCTAAACATATATATGACATATACATTACCATAGATACAATACTTTCAATAATCTAAATAATGTATTTGTTTCGGTGCTAATAAATTCTTTATACAATTAAAGTTTTTTTTTAAAATAATATATACTATAGTTTACCTAAAATATTATGACGTGGTTGGACCATGTTGGCAAGGACATCAATTTATATTATCTCTGACGTTTTATAATCAAATTACCTGCGGATAAGAGAGTACCAATTTGGTGAATCTATATAGTATATAATGGAGATGTTTTGTATATTTTTGAATAGTTGGAAAAATAAAAATGTACATTGTCAAAGCTCATAATGAGATGTGGTTGGTGGACCATACTTGATTTTAATCGAGCTGATTAAGTAAAGGAGATAATACAAGTTGTAGTCATGAATATTTAAGGTTATTAAATGTTTGAACAATTAGGTTAACTTAACAACGATAATGATATATACACATACTATAATAAATTGAAAATTTGATAGATCGCAGATACAAACTGAAAATAATACAATTTGATTTTTCAATCACTATTTTATTTAGACCACGAACACGAACTCAATAAATTCATCAAACCAGTCACAAAGACCGGACTAATCCAATATTACACGCTTGGGTCCACAGAACAAGGTAGTCAGAAATAGTGGTCCTCCCATTGATATTCGCAGGATAAACGACGTCGTGTAGATATGGGCTTGGGCCTGAGACTGGGCTGTCAGCAAGATCAAGAAACGGACAAGGAGTATTATTGGCAGTCACTAAAAATGGTCGTCACAGTCCCGTGACTTTAGTTTTCACCTCACTTGTTCTCTGAAAATTAGCAATAAAATAAATCGTACTATAAATAGTTCACTTGTGCCGCACGGTCCCTCTCATCTTCTACGGACAGCTTCTTTCTCTTTCCTCTCTGATTTTTTTTTTCTCTTTCTTCCTTTTTCTTTTTTTATTTTCTTTCTTCTGTTTTTTTTTTAGTTTTTTTTTCTTCATCTCGTGAGCGATAGTACCTGAACCCTAAGAGCGGAGGAAAAATCAAAAATTGTCGAGGAGAAACAAACAGATATCTTTCTTCTTTTCTTCGCAGTGGGGAAAAAAAATGCAGAATCCGAGACTGAAGCAACATCAGCAACAACAACAACAAGCATTGATGCAGCAACAAGCTCTGATGCAGCAACACTCTCTTTACCATCCTGGTGTTTTGGCTCCTCCTCAGGTTTTTCTACCTTTTCATTACATCTTCGATGTGTCTAATTTTGGTCCGAAATTGGATTTCTTTTTTGTATGTTTTAATTTTGTTTCTTCACTATCGTCTCTTTCGTGGGTCCTTTTATTCCGGGTCTGGTTTAGTCTGTAAGCTAAGGCTTGTTCGTATTTTGTGTTTCTTTTTTCTCATTTGATGATTGAATGGATGGCTAGGGTTTCCAGATCCTGTAGGCTAGCAATTCGTTCCTTTATCTGTTGATGATGTCTTTTTGTTGGGTCATTACCAAATTGAGCTGATATTTACCTTTTCAAGAATTGCATTTTCTCATGGGGATAGAAAAGAAATGATTTTTCTTCTTTTGCTGCGATCCTTTTTCATTTTTTATACTTTTGGCATTTGCAGTTAGAGCCAGTTCCAAGTGGAAACCTTCCTCCTGGTTTTGATCCCAGTACTTGCCGTAGCGTGTGAGTGATTTTTTTTAGTATCACTTTGTCTGAAAGGTGCAGTTCTGAGTTTATGTTTTAACTCCTCCAATTATTCTAATATTCGCAGGTATGTTGGAAACATTCATACACAGGTCACAGAGCCTCTGCTTCAAGAGATTTTTACAAGCACTGGTCCTGTTGAAAGCAGTAAACTCATCAGAAAGGATAAGGTGAATAGAATTGAATTCCACCTGATTTCTACTTTATTGTGTTAAGATTGTGAAAGTGACCCTCTTATTTATATAGTAGCTTTCTTGTTTTGGACGACCATAACTAAACAATTTCCCATTTTTATACTTAGAGGAAACTCTGCTTGCTACTGTGCTGCTTACTAAAAATGGACTCATAAAACATGCATCTTTTTTATTTTCTTATGCAGTCATCATATGGATTTGTTCACTACTTTGACCGAAGATCCGCTGCTCTGGCTATACTGTCTCTGAACGGAAGGCATCTGTAAGAAACAACTTTCATAGTTTCATACCTCTTTTTATCCTTCGACTTGCTTTCATTTAGGTTATAATCGTTGAGTTCACAGGTTTGGACAGCCTATCAAAGTCAATTGGGCATATGCCACTGGTCAGAGGGAAGATACATCAAGTAATTTTTGATTATTTTGAAGAGTTGCATTTCTTTTGTTTGTTTTTAGGAGAGCGTGGATGCTCAATGTTTTTGTTTCCATGAGTTGCAGGTCATTTCAACATTTTTGTTGGAGATCTCAGCCCGGAGGTCACTGACGCGACATTATATCAAAGCTTTTCTGTCTTTTCCACTTGTTCGTAAGTTCTGATGCTTGATCAGCTCCTTTGAACTAATTCTACTTGGTTGTAAAATAAAAGAATATCATAATCTCTGACTGAGTTTAATATTTTGAAGGGATGCGAGAGTTATGTGGGACCAAAAAACTGGGCGCTCAAGAGGCTTTGGGTTTGTTTCCTTCCGCAATCAACAGGTAATGTACATTCTTTAAATCAGGCAGTGACTATTTGTTTTAGCTCAAGGATTGTTCATGGTTTACATTAATCTGAAATGTTAATTTTCTTGCAGGATGCTCAAACTGCCATTAATGAGATGAATGGTAAGGATCGTATAGTAGCTGAATTCTTCTTTGTGAACTCTATTCTGAAGTTCTTAGAATTTGCATGCAACTGCATGATATTGTGCCTAGAAAGACCAAGCTCGTGGATTTATTAGTCAAGAGCTGCTGAAAGTTACATAACTTCTGTTTTCAATGAGGCCTAACTTCTAGAATTGAGATTTTCTCTTTATTCTTAGCAATTAACCTTTGTTTCTATCACATTTTCTCAGGCAAGTGGTTAAGTAGCAGACAGATCAGATGCAACTGGGCCACGAAGGGCGCTACTTCTGGTGATGATAAGCTCAGTTCTGATGGAAAAAGTGTTGTAGAACTTACAACTGGGTCATCAGGTTGTCTTTCTATTACTGTGCAGATTCTGATTTTTTTTTTTCTCTTTCTCCTTAAAATGGGATTCTCGAACCTGCATTGATTTTCTCTGGGTAATATGAAAAACTATAAGTTAACAAAGCCACGGTTGCCGTTTAATTGTGCAGAGGATGGTAAAGAGACATTAAATGAGGAAGCACCTGAAAACAATTCTCAGTTTACCACTGTTTATGTGGGAAACCTTGCTCCAGAGGTACGTTATCCACTAGGAAGTGCTCCTTGTAATACTATTATAACAAAAGCAGTTTATTTGAGGTTCTTTGATGAAGTTCTGTATCAGTAGATTTCGGGTACATCGTTACAGCTATCTATCTTGCAGGTAACTCAGCTTGATCTACACCGCTACTTCCATGCTCTTGGCGCTGGAGTTATTGAAGAAGTCCGTGTCCAACGAGACAAAGGCTTTGGTTTTGTGAGATATAACACTCATCCCGAGGCTGCTCTTGCTATTCAGATGGGTAACACTCAGCCTTACCTGTTTAACAGACAGATTAAGGTACTTAAAGTTTGGCTTACCACTAAAAACCCTCTCTATTTGATCTTACTGTTCCCAAAAATTGCTGCATCTGAGACTTGGCATGTAATCTGACATTTGTTATCTTGTTAATTGTAGTGCTCATGGGGAAACAAGCCAACTCCACCAGGTACAGCCTCAAACCCACTTCCGCCACCTGCCCCAGCACCAGTTCCTGGTCTGTCTGCAGCTGATCTCTTAGCCTATGAGAGGCAATTGGCATTAAGCAAGATGGCTAGTGTGAATGCGTTAATGCATCCACAGGGTCAACACCCTCTAAGGCAAGCTGCTCATGGAATAAATGCCGCTGGAGCTACTGCAGCCATGTACGATGGTGGCTTTCAGAATGTAGCCGCCGCACAGCAGCTCATGTACTATCAGTAATAAACCTCAGATCGTGGCGCCAATCTTAAATTTCAATCTCTTTGCTTTTTCTCTTTTTCTTTTTTTTTTTCTAGAACTTGTTTGTTTGTGTGTGTCTGTTTGTCTTCTCTCACTGAAGTTATCTATATAAAGTTTTATCGGCAGTTGTATGCTTAGTTATGTATTCCCATGGATTGTACGACAAGCGAATTACATTCAATAAAAGGGATTTGATTATCCATTTTAATGTGATTTTACATGAACACAAACAGACGACAGACAAAAGACCTTGAGGAAGAATCAGTCTGTCTCTAACCGAGAAATGTATGTATCATAGAATTTTCCAGCTTTCTCGAGATCTCCCAGCTCGGTATAACAGTCTGCAATAGCTCCATATGCTTCAGTGATTCCAGAATCTTCACTTTCCCTCTTTGAGATGGCTAGAACCATGGAGTGATACTGTATAGCTTCCCTATACTTCCCTTGACGTTGCAGTGAGGCGCCTAAGCCTCTTGCAGCCTTCTTTTCTTCGATGGGGTCTTTGAGACTCTGGGCAAGTTCCAAAGCTACCTTGAACTCTGCATAAGCCTTCTCTGGTTCCTGGTTCCTCAGAAAGGTTTTACCTGTTTTCAACTTGGAAATCAACTCTTGTTTCTTTGGTTCCACAATGATTTCACTCTCAGGGATTCTTGCTCCCACTGGGGCATAACTCAAGCTCGGTGCATAAGACTCGATTTTGGCTTGTCTCCTAAGAGCTGCGTTAATCTGTCGTAGTTGTTCATTCAACCTCTGTAACTCCCCTTTCCTCTGCCGAGCAAGCAACCCTGGTTCGTGCACCCACCACAAAAAATGTTATCAAAACCCCAATGAGTACAGTTCCTAGAAGCATAGATTGCATGAAAGACTAGTCACTACCTCCAACGGTGGCTCCAATAAGAGCTACAAGCAACAAAATTGGCATGCTGAACATGGAGCTCTCTGGCTCACATATCTCAGCAGCCAAAGCTTCAAATGGTGTAGCCATCTGTAGAGAGTTTGTCAACAACACTGCCATCACCGGTAATTTGAGCCTCCCAATTCCCTGCCACATCCATATCTAAAGGCTTACTATCACTAAGAAAAAACTTGACAACAAAAAAATAAACCGAGTCAAACAACACCATGGGTTTTAGCTGGATATAGCTAAACATCCCGGAATTCATCACCAACCTACCTCCAAAGCTGAAAACTTGTCAAGAGTTTCCTCGCTGGGAAATGGCATTTGTAAGATTGCCCTGCCTTGGCGCTCCTTAAGCTTGGAAGACGAATGTATAATTTTGGAGAAATGATGATGATCCCCAGGTTTTCTGACTACTGAGTTGCCAATAGAAGTAGCAAATTTTCCAATCTCTGAGAAAAAAGTTTAAGGAGAAAGATAACTTCAGAAGCGACCAAGTATTGGCCATTTAATTGTAATGAGCCAACAGACAAACGCGAGCTTGAAAATGAAAACCATCAAATTTGTTTGTTTCTAAGCTCCTCAACTTCTTGGAAACCAGGCACAAAGATGGACAACAAAGATCTCAACAAGAATACAAATAAGAACAACACATCAAGAAATCACGCTAGAGTAGAAGAAGTGAGGGCATAATTATGCTATACACTAATGTCATTTATATGGCAAAATCACAAACCGAGATTCTGATGCCTCATTACGAAAAGAGGATCACTCACACAGCAACAGTGACATTAAATTGGAAATCTGATTCAGTCAGTGAACGATGAACTAACCTTGACCTCGAGACATGTCTCTCGGCGGTGGTTGGCCACCGGAAGTATGAGAGAAGGAGGAGCAACACCGGATAAGCGCCGCCATCTCTAAAGAAATCTCTCTGAGAGGATAAAACAACAGCTTTGGGAGCTTAAAACTCGTTTCCGCTGGTCTGTTTTTTATGAAACTTATACAATACTGCCCCTGTTTTTTTATTTAATTACATTTATACCCTTTTTATCGAGCTTGTCAGCTTGAAAGATGAAACGCAGCGTTTTAAGGAGCTTTTGCTTGACTCTGGTGGCGGCGACTGTTCGTTCTGTGTCGTAGCACTGTCTTTTTCCCAGCGGAGTCTTCCACTGGAGCGGAGGGTTTAAGATTTTGACGACTACAAAACCCTAAATCGAGCTCAAGCATTGCCGCGCTCTTCTGCTACTTGAAATTAATTTTCTAAGACCACTTGGGGTTAGTTTTCGTTTGTGAAGAAATGGATATGGATATGGACACTTCCCCCAGCTACTTCGACCCCGAGGTTCTCAGTGTTAGGGATCAATTCCGTCGCTATCGGTAAAAATTTCGACTACCCTTCTTCCGATTTAGACAACTATTCTCGATTTTTATTTTAGGTGGATTTTTCCTGGGTTGAAGTTTTTTTTTAAGGACAATCTAAGTTAGCTAATTGTAGCAAGACTTGAATGCGATTTGAAGTTTTGGGTTTTCTCTAATGAACTTAATCTTATTAGGGTTTATGGTTTTAGTTCATGGAATCTGCGTATGGATTAATTCATTAATAAAGATGAAGATAATCAGCTAGGGATAAAAGTATCGAAAACATTTTCTGTTCTTTGTTTCGTGTAATTTTGCATTGATGCGTATTGTTTAACCACTTCTTTGTGGGATTGAGGTATAACATTTTGATGTCCGACTATGTCAAATTACACATTACTTGCAGCAAGAGACACTCTACATCGCCACATGAGGAAATGTTTAGTTCGAATGTCAGCGAGAACAGATTACTCTATGATGGGCATAACATCCACAGTCCAACAAATACTGCATTGCTTCTTGAAAACATTAAGGAGGAGGTTGACAACTTTCACACTGATCATTACGAAGGAACACCTGCAAACCCGATATCTGCTTCCAGGAGGGAGAGTGTTAGAATTCTTGATGATGATAATGAGACTTTGTTTCGTCGAGTAGAAAGTCAATCACTGAAGGCTTGCAAGATTGAGAATGATGAGTTAGCAGAGAGTGGAGATACAACCTTTGCTTTGTTTGCTTCCCTGTTTGATTCTGCGCTTCAAGGTTTGTATGATATATCAGCCTTCAAATATAATTTCTGTACATACATGAATATGCAGATTTCTGAGTTTGTTTCTGCATGCATGTGTGTGGTTCTCGTTTTTTTTTTTCAAAATCTCAACTAAGCAGTGTTTCTACTTCGTGTGTTTGTGGGATTCCTGTTAGTTAGTTGCTAGAGTCCCAGTATTATCTGGTTATTCTCTTATTGTAATTATGACGTCTTGGTTTTGCAGGACTAATGTCCATTCCAGATCTAATGTTGAGGCTTGAGGAATCATGCAGGCATGTTTCACAATCAATTAGGTATATCTTCTGGCTCTGAGAGTTAAACCGTCAAAACTTCTTCAACTTTGTGCTTGTTTCATCCTTTCCTGTTATCTACAGATATGGATCAGATATTAGACATCGTGTTGTGGAGGATAAACTTATGAGACAGAAGGCTCAGCTTTTGCTTGGTGAGGCGGCCTCCTGGTCACTTTTATGGAACCTATATGGAAAAGGTTAGGAAACTCAGCTCCATCTTTCTATTACTTTGGCCGTTTTGGAACAGGGTAGGCGTTGTGTTCGTTTTGATCACTGATGTCTGTTAAAGCTCTGTGTCGTGTAATATTTTCATCTTCTACCTGGAAATTTTTCAATTAAAGTACTGGGTGGTTTGTGTTAGAGATGCTATTATTGATGATGTGTATTTGTTCTTGCAGGTACTGAAGAAGTTCCTGAGGATTTGATCCTGGTAATGCATTCTTTCATAGTCGTTTTTCAAATGAATCATTCTTATTTGACACATCTTACGCATGGACTTATTTGACTATGTTTAATGTCGATAGATCCCATCAACATCTCATGTGGAGGCTTGTCAGTTTGTTTTAAACGACCATACAGCTCAGCTATGCCTTCGGATAGTCCTGTGGCTTGAAGAACTTGCTTCAAAATCACTTGATTTGGAAAGGAAGGTGATGATTCCAGTATATTCTTTTTCAATATATTACTTTACCATTGTCATCTTGGTATGCTACGTGATTGGTGTATCTGGTCTGGTCATTTTTGTATTCCTAGGTAGAGATCATGTATAGGATCATTAATAAACTCGCTAATTGCAGTGCAGTTCCTTTAACTTTCACAAACAGAAGTTGAGCAAAAAGGTTGTTGCATTTTCTTTTCTAGTAGTGTTCACTCTCCACCTAGAGTATGTGAATGGAATCTTAGGAACTGTATGCAGAACACCTCCAAAACACTATTGCTTCTGAAATCAAGTCAGGTGTTTGTGTTCCTACTTGTCTTGTATTGAGGGTGTTGGTACTGTTTCCTAGACTTTGCTCAACTTAGGTAAAGAATTGTGTGATGAACCCTCAAACTGATAGAGGTAATTAACACTCGATTAGAATTTACTTACCAGGGAATGTTAATGATCTCAGGTGCGGGGATCTCATGTGGGTACTTATCTTCCTAACGCTGGAGTGTGGCATCACACACAAAGATATCTCAAGAAAAATGGCTCTAGCGCTGACACTGTACACCATCTGGATTTTGATGCTCCAACACGTGAACATGCTCGTCTTCTTCCTGATGACTATGTAAGTCTGTTCAGCTATGGTTGAAGTTAGGTTCTTTTAGATTGTTAGTGCTGATGTTCATATTTTACATTTCCATATATTTGTTCATTCTATATGAAATACATAGTATATGAAACAATACTGGTTGACTGTGCAGAAAGCAATGCAATGTAGGTGAACAGGGTTTAAGAAATTTTGTCAGAATGGCCGCCAATTTCTTTTCATAGTTGATATTTGATTCTCAGATATTTAGCTATTTGGCTTGGTCTAAGGCGTATAACATAGCAATTGTGACTGCTTCTTTTGTCTGTTCTAGTTTCCCTGTGGATGCCTGTATCTATACTTTGAAGGTCATAATTCGTTGTCGTTATCGTTGTTAAATAAAATCAATATTTAGACCTTTTCTTTGGCAGAAACAAGATGAATCTGTTCTTGAGGATGTTTGGACTTTGATAAGGGCTGGGAGAATAGAAGAGGCATGTGATCTCTGCAGGTCCGCTGGGCAGGTAATTTATATAAGGGATATAAATTCTTTATAAAGGTAATGATTAGAAAGGTGTGTAGTGATAATGTCGATTTAAATTACTACTTTGGCAGCCATGGAGAGCTGCAACTTTGTGCCCTTTTTCTGGAATGGACATGTTTCCTTCTCTTGAGGCACTGGTAAAGAATGGGAAAAATAGGACTCTCCAGGCCATCGAGCAGGAAAGTGGCTTTGGCAATCAACTGCGTCTTTGGAAATGGGCTTCCTACTGTGCATCAGAGGTAATACAGAATCTGGATAGTTTCGTTGCTTTTTGAATTTGAAGTTTTTTATTCTCTCTCAGAAACGTTATTTACTTTTCTTTTTTTTCATTTGTTTCTGAAGAAAATTGCAGAGCAGGACGGCGGCAAACATGAAGTTGCTGTTTTTGCAACCCAATGTAGCAACCTGAACCGCATGTTACCAATTTGTACTGATTGGGAGGTAATGGCATGCACACTTGTATAATCAGATTGATTTTTAAATAGCATATTCCAACTTTGCGTCCTTGGCTGCCATTTTTCTATTAATTAACGTACTCTTTAAAAAAAATCTTGGTTGTCATGCTAATTTCTCAGCATTATATTTTAAGTTGCTTATCTAAAATGTCATTTCGTCTTATGTTATCACCCTGCACGTGTGTCCATGTCGTATTGAATTATCACTCATAAGATTGTTTAAAGATGGTTATGAATCATTGACAATACTTGTTTTCATTGCTACCATTCCTATGCAAATTTTTTGAAAAACTGGAAACTGCTATCTTCTTTAACTTATTTCGTAACTTACTCTACGAGCTGCGTGCATTGACATTGTTTTAGCGTTGACGGGATTTTTCTGCAGTCAGCTTGTTGGGCGATGGCAAAATCCTGGCTTGATGTTCAGGTTGATCTTGAACTCGCCCAATCAAAGCCAGGCTTGACAGAAAGGTTTAAAAGCTGCATTGATGAAAGCCCTGAAACGATGCAAAATGGTTGTCAGGCTTCACTTGGGCCAGAAGATTGGCCCCTCCATGTTCTAAACCAACAACCCCGTGACCTTCCTGCTCTTCTTCAGAAACTCCATTCAGGGTATGAATACGACTACTGGGAAATTTCTCCTGTCCTTTCTGTAAAGAGCTACATCCCAACTTACTGTTCTGTTCCTGGCATAGGGAAATGGTGCACGAAGCTGTTGTCAGAGGATGCAAAGAGCAGCACCGGCAAATTCAGGTATTTTAATTGCCAAAGATTTTTCCTTGAAGCTATAAAACCCTATATTATGTGCGTAGTCATCCCTAATACTTTCTTTGGCAGATGAACCTTATGTTGGGGGATATATCACATCTTCTTGATATCATATGGTCATGGATAGCGCCCTTAGAAGATGATCAAAGCAACTTCAGGCAATCAATAGTTTTTCTCTAGATATTTTTACTTCTATTAATCAATGTTGGGATATGATTATCTGTTGATTGTCGGATCCTAGCATTTTCTTTCGAATTATACAAAAATTCCCAACTCAGGGAGGTGGTGGTAGGGGTCTCGAAATGACAATACCTACTGCGTAGTTTCTGATGTTTCTTGGTTATTATAAAGAAGATAGATATGTGTTTTACAGCCTTGCTATATGAGTGACTTGACTCAATACTTTTTGCATCTGGCAGGCCCCATGGAGATCCTCATATGATAAAGTTCGGTGCACACGTGGTGCTTGTTCTTAGGCTTCTGTTTACTGATGAAATCAACGACTCTTTCAGGGAGAAGCTCAATAATGTTGGTGATCTTATTCTTCATATGTGAGTCACTTCAAATTGGTTCCTCTGCGATAGCAGAGTTCATTTACATGCATATTATGTTCAACTGGCTTTTTAGTGATCTGTGAAATGCTGCCAGGTATGCGATGTTTCTATTTTCAAAACAACATGAAGAATTGGTAGGAATTTATGCTTCTCAGCTTGCTCGCCATCGATGCATTGAACTTTTTGTACACATGATGGAGTTAAGGATGCATAGCAGGTAATTTTTATGTGAATTCTCGGTTATTGGATGATAAATATCAGATGATAGTCTTTCATAGTGCATTGTGGACAAGCAGCCCTTGGAAATATGTGTATGGCATAAAGTTATTTCTTTGACATTTTTCCTTCTGCTCTGTAAAATAGCGTACATGTGAAGTACAAAATCTTCCTGTCCGCTATGGAGTACTTGCCATTCTCTCCTGTGGATGGTTTACATGGAAATTTTGAAGAAATAGTTGACAGGTATTTAAATGGTTGAGATTTTTTCCTGGCCTATAATATGGTAATCTTGAGATACATGTTACTCTAGTAATCTCAAAAAATGAAACTTTATGGAACATCACAGGGTTTTGTCAAGATCTCGGGAAATCAAACTTGCAAAATATGATCCCTCAATTGATGTTGCGGAGCAGCATCGTCAGCAGAGTCTTCAAAAAGCAATAGCCATTCAGTGGCTCTGTTTTACACCTCCATCTACTATAAAGGATGTCAAGGATGTTACTTCCAAATTACTATTGCGATCTTTGATGCACAGGTACGACTGATGCATACTGACATATGGCCTCATGTATATATCTGTGTCTGAGAGAAATCTCGACATATTAGGAATTAGTAAGCTAATTTTGTTGGCTGTTAGCCTATTTCTCAATTCCTTAATAAAGACGAAATGATGAAATCAGAGGACAAGAGGTCCATTTAGTATGCACCATGTTTGTCTCTCATTTTTTTCTTCACTTTTGCCTCTGTTTCATGGTATTTTTGTTTTTTTTCCTCTCGTCAGCAACATACTTTTCAGAGAGTTTGCTTTGATTGCCATGTGGAGGGTGCCTGCAACTCCTGTGGGTGCACACACACTTCTTAGTTTTCTTGCTGAACCTCTGAAGCAACTCTCAGAAAATCCAGATACCCTCGAGGATTATGTCTCCGAGAATTTGCAAGAGTTCCAAGACTGGGTATGTTTCTCTGCAATTTTACTCTTTATTTATTCCTTTGATTTAAACATCCAGTGTCTAGATAGCTTTACGTACCTCTTTGTCTTTAAACAGAATGAGTATTATTCCTGTGATGCAAAATATCGCAACTGGCTCAAATTCCAATTAGAGAATGCTGAAGTCACTGAACTGTCAGAAGAGGAAAATCAGAAAGCTGTTGTAGCAGCCAAAGAGACTCTGGATTCTTCTTTGTCATTGCTGCTCAGTAAGTGATGCCAAACTTTATAATATATGGTTGACTTGTATGCACGACTTTGCAGTTTTTACATTGATTGAAAATACAGTTAACTGTGATACTTTTGAACCTCATAATATAGGACAAGACAACCCCTGGATGACATTTCTCGAAGACCATGTATTTGAATCAGAAGAATATATGTTCCTTGAATTGCATGCAACTGCGATGCTCTGTTTGCCTTCTGGTGAATGTCTGCGCCCAGATGCCACTGTTTGTGCTGCACTAATGAGTGCGCTTTACTCTTCTGTCAGTGAGGAAATTGTTTTAGATCGCCAGTTAATGGTACTCCTTTCATCCAATGTTCTTGTTCCATATGTTCTTTTTACCTGTATCCTTGCTTTTGCTTCACCCATGGTTATATATAGAAGTTTGCTTTTTCCCTGGACATGAGTTTTCATCTACAACGGTCATGCAACAAAATTGGATATATTCTATGATGTAACACCATCTCGAAAAGCAGTCTACTACATTAATGTTTGTGTTGATCTTCGCGTTCAGGTAAATGTATCGATTTCGTCAAGGGACAGCTACTGCATCGAGGTTGTGCTCCGGTGTTTAGCAATTAAGGGTGATGGACTTGGGCCACATAATGCAAATGACGGTGGTATTTTAAGTGCAGTGGCTGCAGCTGGTTTTAAAGGTTCGGATATCTATGGAACTTATTTCTCATTCACCATGGTTTACCTCCGTTCTCCATAGAAATTTGGGGATGTTTCACCAGCATTAATAAAACAAGCACAAATTTGAAATTTGACTGCAGGTGAGCTTACACGGTTCCAGGCAGGTGTTACAATGGATATATCCCGCCTAGACGCTTGGTATTCAAGCAAAGAAGGCTCGCTTGAAACACCTGCTACTTATATTGTCCGGGGTCTCTGTAGAAGATGCTGTCTTCCAGAACTCGTTCTTCGATCTATGCAGGTAAAGCCTCTGCCATATTAGATTATAACAATGCATACATATGTATCTCTATCTGCGGCCAATTCATCTTAACGTATAATAAAAGTGTCTACTAAGATTTTTGCAGAGAAGGAAAAGTCTTTGGTCGTTTACATTAGTGAGAACTATAGGAGACTGAACTTATACCTACTCTCATGTCCCTGGTGAGATGATGAATTAACCTCCATTTATTGACGGATTTGCAGGTTTCTGTTTCTCTAATGGAGTCGGGAAATCCACCTGAAGATCATGATGAACTGATTGAGCTTGTCGCTTCTGATGAAACTGGTTTTCTCTCTTTGTTCAGTCCGCAACAATTACAGGTTAGTAATACTCAATTCTTTACCCCATGAAAAACAAAGTCAAAGACTCATCATCATCTTTTATTCCATTTTCCACTCTTTCTTTCCAAATTGGTAATGCAATTTCTTAATCTGCATCATTGTTGGTTTATCAGCTGAATAAAATCATTTAATCTTAGTAACTGAGAACCATCTGATCGATTTGGATGCAACACAAATGCAGGAGTTCATGTTATTTGAGAGAGAGTATCGTATGTCCCAGTTGGAGCTTCAGGAGGAACTTTCATCATCTTGATATTGCCGCACCTTATATCCGCGCCAGCTTCTTCCCCACTGAATGCCCAGAGAGACGGCTAATTTTGGTCGTGTAAATTACGCTGTAATTTGTCTTCTTTTCAGACCAGGGATTTCACTGATCAGACTGATGTATACATTGTGACAAATCTTGTTGAATGCTGAGATATCAAGTTCCTTTTACTACCATTGGTCTAAGAGTTGAATCATCTTTCAGAAAACTACTTCTCTCATAGGCTTATTATAAGTTCATAACCAGCAAATTAAGCAGAAAACATCACAAAGTCAAAACGTACTTATCCCTTGTCTTGAAATAGAGCTTTATTATTTATGTGCAGTGACAGTATTTCGTACTGTTGTCCGTCTGTTTAAGTCTCTGAGACCAGATCTGTTGGCTTTAGGATCAGAGCATAGAGTGAGGTCTCTCATTCTCTGTCTTAACATGGTTTCTGGTTATGGCATCAATGGTGGGACATCCAGAAAGAGCCATAGTAATCTCAAACTCATTCTTTAACATATCAATCACTTTTTTCACTCCATCTTCACCCTTAGCTGCAAGCCCATAGACTATAGGCCTCCCTATCTGCATCAGCCAACCAAATAGTGTCATTATATCATCAACAGAGAGCAACCTGTAAAATGTATGCTAAATAGCATTCAAAGCTTACAAGAACAGCTTGTGCTCCAAGTGCCAGTGCTTTGAAAACATCTGTTCCTCGTCTTACTCCTCCATCGAGCAAAACCGGAATCCTACCTCTAACAACATGAACAACCTGCAGTTTCAGAAGAAGACAAGTTTTTACATCATGAGGAATAAGCTAGTTTTAAGCAAACTTTGATGGGTTTACCTCTTCTAAAACAGTTATCGTAGCAGGGGAATAGTCGAGCTGACGAGCCCCGTGGTTCGATACAACTATTCCATCGACACCAGCTTCAACAGCCTTAAGAGCTGCCAACAGCATCAAACAAATTTCTCTTTTATATGCCTTGGACGTTCTATATAGTATACATGCTATATATTAGACTATGAGACATGGATCTTATTACCGTCTTCACGTGTGAGTAACCCTTTGACCAGAATTGGCAACTTTGTAATAGATCTTAACCATTCGATGTCCTGAAATTTTGCAGGGCAAAAGATTATAAGGAATGTCTTCATGTGGGAACTTTGTGTCTAATAGTAAGGAGACAAATAGAACCATTCACAAGATTTTACCTTCCAGCTTAACGAAGCATCAAGTGCACTAGAGGCAAAGGCTTCAACCCCTGAACCTTCATTCTGCGAGAAGTTATCATATTAACAGCTAGTAAAGGTTTAGCTCTACATGAACCTAAATTCAAGCTTTACTCACAGGTCGGACTTCGGTTGAAACTAAGCCTTCAAAATTCTTCAGCTGTGGGGATATCATTCTATGGAACAAAAAAAATGGAACATCATTTCAGAAACTACTTTTTATAAGATAGACTAAGCAAAGTAGGAAAGCTTATTCCTGCAAGAAAATGTCCCCAAAATCTCACAGTATTACTTGTTCTTTATATCTGCTTCCCTTCTACCAAGTCTGGGAACATCAACAGTTAGAACTATAGCCTTGAATCCAGATTTTTCAGCTCTTTTCACAATCTGAGCTGTTACATCGCGTCTCTTGTACACCTGTAAAATATATTAGAGCGAAATAAGAATTAAGGCCTAAGGACAGCACCAAGGAAACATAAGTCCAGATTGTGTATTTACATATATTTGAAGAAACCGAACAGCGTTACAACTGGAAGCAACCTCCTCAATAGTGCAAGTAGACATGAATGATACTATCTGAATACACACAACAAAACACCATAATCATCACCTTCAAATCAAAACAGTGTAAAAATGCATTCCAATAGCCACCGTAGTACCATGATAGTGTTACACGCAGCTGCAGCTTTCGCAGTGGCGATTTCTCCTAACATAGGAGATAAATGAAATCAATTTCTAAATCCAGCTATTGCATACTGTTGACAACTAGTTATGAACAAAGAGTAATTAGACCTTCAGGATGAGCCAACTTATGCATTGCTGTTGGAGCAATCATGATGGGAGCTGAGATAGGGTAACCCAATATACTTGTGGACATATCTATTTTGCTCACATCAACAAGAACTCGAGGCCTAAACCTGAACATCAGCAACATATAAACATATTACACGGAAGAATCAAGAAGATATTATAGCGTCACCCACCAAAAGGAAATTGAGATTAGTTACAAGATTCTACGGAAAGCCAGGACATTTTCCTTGAGAGTGTGTTGATCCTCTGCTCCTCCATTGTAGAAATCATAGTACATTTTAGGGAGAGCCTGTTTGGCCAGCTCTTGAAACTCATCGACGTTAACGATTTGATCCATCTATCTACAATTTCACACAATAGGAAAGACATTGAGAATCAAATAACAATGCTTTAATAATCAATCATGCAAGAACCTCGCTCCTCTATCAAGATGAAACATAAATTATCAATCTTTCAACGAGACCTTATTATCAAACTAATAATTATCCATAAATGGAGTTGATTCGTCTATGTTAACTGATTTACTTGAAGTAAGTTCAAATCTTTAAATTACAGGACAACAAAAACAGAGAGTATATTGACTCAGAACTAAAACCATATGATCTAATGAGATCGTCAAGTAGAGCTGAGATTGCAGAAGTACTTACATATCTGAAAGAACCCAGAAAAAGAGTCAGTTTTAAGTCTCTTGGATGATCAAACAAAACTCTTAAACAATTGAATATCGAAAAACAAAGGACAAAGAAATTAGAGATCTTAAGCTTTTGGAAATGAGGAAAAAAAGAAACAGTGTCGGAGATCAAGACAGAAAACGACAAAATCCTTCTAATCCTCTAGGTCGTCTAGAGTCTTTACCCATAATAAACGTTGACTATTCAACCCAATGATGACGTGGCGTACTAACCAAGTCATCGTCAAAGAGCCATTTTCCAACGGGAGCTTTTTACTTCTCTTCGAACAACAATGCTCTCAGAGAGCCAAGCGTTTCTTGAAAGTTGCAAATTGTTTACTTAAGAAAATATATGTGTCTATAAAATTGGCAACGATCTTTCCTCAGTGGTCAATGGTCATGCTTATGTTCCGCTTATACATATCAGTTTCCAAAGTTGCCTTCTTGTGTGTGTAAAGCGATGAATCACGAGGAAGCCTCTAAGGTGTGTTATCGTCGTCGGAGAATAGAAAGCCAGGTAGTTATTATCTTAACGTCGTCTCGTAATCTTTGTTCCGATAATGTTTTTGTGTTTCTTTTACCCTTCTTGTAAGTCCCTCGATTAGCCCAACTTGTTGCGTGCTAATGTTATGGTTGGTGATCAGATATATTTTCACTGGCAATTTACAGTTGATAGGTCTTATTTGCATGAATCTTTTGATTACAGTTCATTTTTCGTTAAAGAATGTTTGTGCTAGAAAGCCTTATGACCTTGTGGAACTGAGAAGGATGATAGATTTCTCATTGTCTTGCCAGGAGCATGTGTCTTACGGAATTATTGAAAAGGATGAGCATTTTAGTGTTGAGGATCATAATATTGCAGGGAACTCTTCAAATGGAAGCAATCTCATGTTCATACACATGATTGATGCACGAAACACAGTTTGCAAGTATGAACAGAACACAAAACATCACTGTTTCAAACTAGCATACAACATATTTATCATAATTACAGACAAAATGATGAATAGTGAGTATAGTCTGAATCCAGGTTTTTTGATTAAAAGCATACTGGAACAAATAGCATTGATTAAATGCATTGTCTCAATCGCTCGCGTAGTCCTGAGTCTTCCAATATGGCTGCTGCTTGCTACTGTTGTTCAGCTGTCTGATTAAGTTTCTGATACCAGCTCTGTTGGTTTTTTGGATCAGAGCATAGATTGAAGTCTCTCATTCTCTATCCTAACATGGTTTCTGGTTATGTCATCAATGGTGGGACATCCAGAAAGAGCCATAGTAATCTCAAACTCATTCTTTAGCATATCAATCACTTTTTTCACTCCATCTTCACCTTTAGCTGCAAGACCATAGACTATAGGCCTCCCTATCTGCATCACCCAACCAAAAAGTGTCATTCTATCATCAACAGAGAGCAACCATTAAAATGTATGCTAAATAGCATTCAAAGCTTACAAGAACAGCTTGTGCTCCGAGCGCCAGCGCTTTGAAAACATCTGTTCCTCGTCTTACTCCTCCATCTAGCAAAACCGGAATCCTACCTCTAACAACTTGAACAACCTGCAGTTTCATAAGAAGACCAGTTTGTTCATCAAGAAGAACAAGCTTGTTCTAAAGCAAGCTTCGTTGGGTTTACCTCTTCTAAAACAGTTATTGTAGCTGGGGAATAGTTGAGCTGGCGACCCCCGTGGTTAGATACAATTATTCCATCTACACCGGCTTCAACAGCCTGAAGAGCTGCCAATAAAAAATCTTTTATATGCCTTGGAGTTTCAAGATTGTATGATACCCCTATATATATCAGAGTATGAGACAAGAATCATACCGTCTTCTCGGGTGAGTATCCCTTTGACCAGAATAGGTAACTCTGTAATAGATTTTAACCATTCAATGTCCTAAAATTTGCAGTGAAAATGTTATAAGGAATTCCCTCACATTGTCATGAAAAAAAATTTGTTTAAAGAATTTACCTTCCAACTAAATGAAGCATCAAATGCACGAGAGGTGAAAGCTTGTACCCCTGAACCCTTACTCTGAGAAAAGTTATCAGAGTCAACAACTGGTAAGGTTTCACTTTTATATGAACCTTAATTCAAGCTCTACTTACAGGTTGGGCTTCGGTTGAAAATACACCTTTGAAATTCTTCAGCTGCGGGGATATCATTCTATAGAATAAAAATGAAACTTCATTTCACAAACAACATTTTATAAGATAGGGAAGCTTGTTCCTGCAAGATAAAAGTTCACAAAATCTCAGAGTAATGAAGAGTGTTACTTGTTCTTTATATCAGCTTCCCTTCGACCAAGTCTAGGAACATCAACAGTCAGAACTATGGCCTTAAATCCAGCTTTCTCTGCTCTTTTCACCACTTGAGCAGTTATGTCCCGTCTCTTGTACACCTATAAAAGTGAATTAAGAACCGAGGCCTAAAGCCTACTATAATTGCAAGAATAACAAAAGCAAGTATAAATAAAGATTGTGTACTTACATATATTTGAAGAAATCGAACAGCATTACAACTGGAAGCAATCTCCTCATAAGTGCATGAAGACATGTATGATACTATCTGAAATTCACAGAACAATAAAAAAAAAAAAATCTATTCATCACCTTAAAACCAAAATAGTGCAAAACATGTATTCCACTAAACAACAGCTTAGTACCATGATAGTGTTACACGCAGCTGCAGCTTTCGCAGTGACGGTTTCTCCTAACATAAAAGACAAACAAATCAATCTTCTGAATCCAACAACTGCATACCGTTAACAGAAGTTATGAAAACAGACTAAACAGACCTTCAGGATGAGCCAACTTATGATTTCCTGTAGGAGCAATCATGATTGGAGCAGAGATAGGGTAACCCAATATTTTGGTAGACATATCTATTTTGCTCACATCAACGAGAACCCGAGGCCTAAACCTGAAAATCAAGAACATATAAAAAAGGGAGTCACTCACAAGGTTACAGTGTGACCAATCCACCAAAAAGGAATAGTTACATGATTCTACGGAAAGCAAGCACATTTTCATTGAGAGTGTGTTGATCCTCTGCTCCTCCATTGTAGAAATCATAGTACATCTTAGGGAGGGCCTGTTTGGCAAGTTCTTGAAATTCATCGACGTTAACGATTTGATCCATCTATCTACAATATCACACAAAAGGAAAGAAATTGACTACCAAACAACGCTAGTATAAAAGAACCTAAACAGATATTATCAATCTTTAAGTGGCCTTGATTCGTCGACTTTACTAATTTGCCTGTAGTAGTAAGTTCAATCTTTAAATTACAAAATAAATATATTGGCTCTGCGGTCACTAAAACACTATATATGGATCGTAGAAGTTACTCACTTATCTGAAGAAGCCAGCAAAAGAAATCCAGAGGCAGAAACAGACTTTCCGAAACCAAGAAGGTCAGGCTAATTTTTTCAAGTCTCTAGTAAATGAAACCGAACAAGATAAGGAAAATCAAATACTGTCGGGGAAATAATTCTTGATCTTGATCTTGTCCGGGCCCGGTCGATGACACAAATACGACAAAATCTACTCTCTAGTCCTTTTCGTAAGATTTATAACGTGATATCAAGAAATACTCTAACTCGCCTAGAGTGTTTGCCCTCTGGTTACAGAAAAGGATTTCAGCCCATGGGCTTTACTATGATAAATTAGTCAGCCCAAAATAATTTGGACACATCTGAATAAGGATTTGTTTGGTTTAGCTGAGTCAGCACCGCCAAAGACGGTGCACGGCGACCGGAGAGTTTTACTAACTTGTATGTACACCAAATGGCTCAGAAACCCAAGAGTCTCTCTTGCACAAAAACTGTCTATTAAATGAAGTGGGCACAATCGTTGACGCTTCAGTTGTATTTTTACTTGCCAAAGTTGCCGTCTTTTTGAAAGAGTTTGCTAGTGAAATCGATGAATCACGGCGAAGCTTGGAGCTCTGGTGGCCGTAGGGGTTCTCGGGGCCGTTCTCGGGGCCGTTCTCAGCCATCTGGGCAATGGGTTCCGGTACTTATACTTGATTGTCGTCTCGTATTCTTGTGTTATTCATTTCTGTTTTTGAAATTGGAGTCCTTTGATTAGCCCTTTACTTGTTGCTTACTAATGTTATGGTTAGTTTCCTTTGTAATCTATACAGGTTACAGTTGATAAGTCTTTGGATGAATCTTCTGGTAATAGAGGTAGAGGATCTCGAGGGAGAGGAGGAAGTAGAACATCATGCTCTCCTAGAAATAGTTATGGGCGTGGCAACGATGAACACAGTCCAGTGCAAGTGTACGTTAAGAAGTCCAATGTGGGATTTGTGGAAAAGGGAGTTCAACAGAATAGAAAGTCCCAAGAGTATATAATAGGTTCTACTAAGCAGCCTGATGATGGTGTTGCTACTTTGAACTCTTCTGGAGATAACAAGGATCTTTTGCAATCATCTACTTCTTCTAGCTCAAAGAGCACACATTTCAGTGGAGGTTCGTTTGTCTCTAGCGAATGTGAGGACAAGGGTGTCAAGGATGGTGCTAAAATGCATTGTGATCTTGTGAATAGGATGAAAGATGTTACGTTGTTTTGCCAGGAGTCTGTGTCTCCTACAAGTGATAAGAAACTTGAGCTTTCTAGTGTTGAGGATCATAAGAGTGCTCAAAAGGCTGGTGGGGCAGAGAACTCTTCAAATGAAAGCAACTCAAGTCCTTTTGATATCTTCCTACAGAAGAAGGGGGTAGTACTAAAACCCTCCATTCGGGATCTGAACAGAGAAAAGAAGAAAGCAGCTAAGGGGTACACTGGAATTGTTATTAGACCTGGAATGGTACTTCTCAAGAACTATTTGTCAATAAATGATCAAGTAAGTAGTGTCTCTTTCTCTCCCTATTTCCCTCTTTACGCATGTGTTTGTGTTTATATCTAAACTTATATGTATCATTTGTGCTTCTTTTGTTCTTGAAATTGTGTGTAGGTAATGATTGTGAACAAATGCCGTCAGCTTGGTTTGGGTGAAGGGGGCTTCTATCAACCAGGTTACAGGGATGAAGCGAAATTGCATTTGAAAATGATGTGCCTTGGGAAAAACTGGGATCCTGAAACATGTCGATATGGAGAAATCCGACCGATTGATGGTTCTACTCCGCCAAAAATTCCTGCTGAGTTCAATCAGTTTGTTGAGAAAGCAGTTAAAGAATCACAGTCCCTAGCGGCCTCAAATTCTAAGGAGACAAAGGGAGTAGATGGAATACCATTTATGTTACCTGACATCTGTATTGTTAACTTCTACACTTCCACCGGGAGACTTGGTCTCCATCAGGTCAGTATTTCAAACCACTTACTTGATATCATGAAGCTCAGAGGTTGCATCATGAGTTTTAAATCCTTGATGTTTCAGGACAAAGATGAGAGCGAAAATTCCATCCGGAAGGGATTACCTGTTGTTTCATTTTCTATTGGAGATTCAGCCGAGTTCTTGTATGGTGATCAGAGGGATGAAGACAAGGCAGAAACGTTAATCTTGGAGTCCGGAGATGTTCTACTATTTGGTGGCAAATCCAGAAGTGTCTTTCATGGCGTGAGATCAATTCGTAAAGATACTGCCCCCAAGGCTCTTAGTCAGGAAACAAGTCTCCGACCAGGTCGTCTGAATTTGACTTTTAGGCAGTATTAGCCCAAAGCTAGGAACTTTGGTAATGCATCTAGAGCTGTTTTGAAGTGCCTTAACATGTACAAATTGTAGGCTCTTCACCTGCTTTTTATATCTTTTGGTAATTAGAAGAAAACAAATCTTTGCAGAAGACAACTGTTTGACACATTTGTTTTTGTTTCCGGTTATATGGAAGAACTTCCACAAACGATCTGTGTTATATTATAATGTCTTGGCAATATGATTATCCTTTGGTTTTTCTCTTTCTTCTCCACAATAGCAGCATGGATCCAGTATCTATCTCTTCTTCTAAATTAGATTGTTATGATTTGTTTCAAAATTACTGTTTCTCAGTTTATTTATCTCTTCTGTCCACCATTTCCTGTAACCCATTCCTTCATATATGTGATCTTTGCGTTATCTTATGTTGGTTACATGTGTAATTGTCAAACATTAAAAACCATTTCGCAGAACCACAGAAACTAGACTTCATTATATTTGCATGTCTGATTTATTTTTCTATTATACACAATAAATTAGCACACACGATAGTATAGCTTATGTTCTTTTATGTGTAAAGTTATTTCATTGTTGCTAGGCAACTCAGCACAACCATATCGGTTGTACTGTCCGTCACGAGGTTGCCTATACTCCAATAGCTGATGCAGCTGAATCTACATAAAGTAGCAAGCAAGAGTATATTTTCTTCTTCAATCGTTCTATATTCTCTAACAAAGAATTATCACTAGAGAGTTTATCATTTTTAACTTTTTCCAGCCATTCGTTTGCTTGCTTAAGTTGGGATAATGTCTCGGCAATATGATTATCTGGTTCCGCTACTCGCGCTCCTTTGGTTTTTCCTTTCTTCTCTGGAACACTAGCATGTAATCCAGTATCTAATGCATCTTCCAAGAATTTCAGAAACCAGCTTCTTGTTTCTCGTTTCAAAGTGTTTCTCAGTTCTTTTATCTCTTCTGTGCCATTTCCCTTAACCCATTCTAGCTTTTCGGCTTCCGTTAGAGTTTTTGAAGACTTTGTTGTGGTTCTGCTTGAAGCTAGGCTAGATTTTTTGCTCAACTTTTCAGGTTCCGTCCATAATGAATGAATATTCACCGGCTGGAATGATTTATCTTTCGATGCTGCAACTGTGACCTGTGCTTGGTCAAGGATACTCTGGAGGATGAAGAAGTTTCTGAGAGAGGTCTGTGGATTCTTTGGTGAAGCATTTGAACTGAGGTCAGCAAACATACTGCAAAATTATTGTTTCTTTGATTAGGCAAAAGAAAAGAAAATTTCTCCATGATATATATATGAGCAGATTTGGTTTCAACGGTAACTTGCCTGATGCATTTGATAAGATGTGAAGCAACCAATGCCTCTCTTTGCGCTTCTGTGGCAATTAGAGCAGCTAAATTTCTTCTTCTCAGCACTCCCTTTGTATTATGAGATTATTATCATTGATAAGCTCATAGGGGAATGGTTTGAAAAACAAGAAGAGAGATACAGAGGTCAGATAAAGCGTACTTTACCCAATTTTGATAGACTAACAGGCAGAGAGCTCCATGATGTATCCTCGGAAGAATTACTCTTCCTGTTTATGTAGTTCACAGTGGAGCTCAAAGAGAGTTTCTTTGGCTCTGCCTTTGTTGGAGCTGTCACAGGCCGAGATTGTGGAGGATTAGCTTGACGTGCCTAAGCACACATATGTTAATTACAGGTTAACCATAATCTTTAGACCTGTGTGACTTATCAGAAGAACACACACACACACACACACCTGATCTTTGTGCTCCCTTTGTTTCACCTTAGCCAATCCACCAACTTTCTTAGCCACGATTATCGATCCAGTCTCACCCTCATTGTTGCTACCGCCACTACTCGATTCTGATCCACTTGCCTTTGAATTTGAAACAACACCCTTCATATATCGTGAAGCCACACCTGTCTTCTCTTCCTTGATTACAAAAGGTTGATGTTTTCTTGTATTCTCCATCATGTTTGATCTCGCACCATCTTTCTGCTGCAGAATTTTGTATTAAGGAACAGATCTCTTCTAAAAGTAAAAGCTCAAGAATCTGATTATAATGTACATATATTGTCATCACCTTCTTTTGGTTGTGATTTTCTTCTTGCAGAGATGTTGTCTCACTAGGTACCAACATTTGCATCAAATCTTTTGGATTTCCTACAAAAGGATGGCGACCAGAAATCGGTCTAACTCCCACCAATACAGGAACAGGTGTTCCAGCTTCAAGCTTATCAACGTATAAGAACTGTCCTAATCCCAATTTGTTGTTCAAGATAAGTTCGTTGTCTTCATTCCTCAATGAGACATATGTGGAGTGAGAAGAATCTGATACTTTGATGAAAAAGCCTTGGTTTGGCCAAAGCTCTGAGCCAGCTAAAGCAGGGACAATGCTGATTACCTGCAACAGAACAGACCTATATTCACCTCGAACCTTGATGTTGGTGTTCATCGTCTCGAGCAGCTTGATTAACACTCTAGGCGTAAGAGAAGTCATTCTTGGAAATTGAACAGTGTGAGATTGAATTTTACAACAGAGACAATAAAGAAAGGTGTCTACTTTGATTTTTGGTTGGATTCTTTGTTCCTTGATGATGGAGCATCTTCGCTATCTTTGCATGTCAGGTAAGTAACATCATCACATTTCACTTGGCTTTGAAGTCAAGTGATCATGTTACTTAGGCTCATGAGTCATGAGGATTTCTTGTCCCAATCTTTTTTCAACTTTTTGGGGTAAATGACTACTGTACCCTTGTTTGGGTAGAGGCTGGTGAGGTTAGAGAGAGGGCGATTCGGGGATTTCTTAGTGGGTTACGTCAACTTCGATCTCACGTCACTTTCCGAGGAAGATGGAGAAAGGTTTTTTGAGAAGGTGAGTATATACCTTCTATGTCCCACTTTTACGTGTTGATCACAAAATCAAGATGTTTTAAATGAAATGTGTTGTTACTGTAGTGTACTACCAAAATCACATCGATATGAAACCGATAAGGACATGTTTCAGGTTTGATACAATTTACATTTTACAATGTAGGCTTCAGAAAGTTAACAAAGAAATATTGAAGAGAGGGACTATTCTCAATGATACATTGATCCGAAACAAAGAGCACATTGGTATCACCGAACATTTCACTTATATACTCGTGTCTGTTGTGCCTGCGTTGTGAAATTTTTACCTTTCATTCGCTTGGATCCTGACCTTCTGTAGTGAATCTTTTGTTTCGAATCATTTCCCTTTGCTACGAAAATTGGAGAGTGAAAAGAATGACCTTGGTGCTGCAGTGAACATGAAGCTTAAGAGTGAGCAAAAAGCATCTAGCAAAGATTCTGATTGAGTTTAAAATTACAGCTTGGTTATATAGGACTGGGTTAGGCTTAAGATCTCAAGTTTAATGATTAAAAAGTCGGATGCTAGATATTTCGATTCAATGTTGATATACATAACTCGAGAGTAGAACACTTGATTGATTACCTTTTACAGAAGTTCCTGACGTCTGATCCTCCTTCAGTTTAAAGCTCAATGGTGCGCCAGTGTTTTGGACTGAAATCAGGTACACAATATTAGATCATCCTCCATGACTCAGATCAAGATGAACAAACCGAGTAATAAATCTAAGCCGTTGATAACTCTAGAGCTAAGGTCACCAATTTTGAATAGATTGTAAGATCTTTAGTTGCTTTTTGTGAATTGAATACTTTTGTATTTGAAATGGTTGTTTACCGTGTTGGTTGAATAGCTCGCTCTCGTTGAAGCTATCACCAGAGGGGTGGCTCTGCAAGGATCCCATTCGCGACTTTCTCAAGTCTTCTGATGATCGATTTGCAAGCTCTCTTCCATCGTCAGTATCATCATCCCCTTCAGATGTTGTAGTGGATATCCAGTCAGCCAAACTCTCAGCCGCACGGTTTTTCCTTCCAAAATTCAAAAGCCTTTTCAGCCCTTTTGTCACATCCTGTTGTGACTGATTTTGAGATGGATTACCACCAGCAACGCGTTTCTGAGCAGCTCCCCATTTCTTTCTCATTTGAGTTGTATCGTTCTCTGTCTGGTTAAGGGAAGAGAAGTTCCAAAAAGCAGGACTACCCATTGGAGAGTCCACTGAAGCATCAAGTTCAGATGCCTCGTTTGCATATCGATGCTTCACTCGCGAATTCCATGGACCAGTGCTTTCACCGGGTGAGTCCAGGATTGAACCCATGGTTTGATGCCTAGAAGCCATAGCAGCAGGTAATTCAGCATTTAAACCAGGTTCAAGCTGAGAAAAAGATTCACCATTTGCAACCCCAGTAGTACCCCATTCTTCAGACTCCTGACTTAGTCTTGGCATCTCATTTTCTGCATCAGTAAAAGCTTCAACTTCCGTGTCATCAAGCACTTCTCCCATCCCCTCTTTCTCCATATCATCTGATCCCTCGGATCCTTCTGAAGCCTTTAGCTGCGCATTATCAGAGCTGAAACCAGTGCCATGATTGTTAAAATTTCTCCCGCTTTGCTCCTGTTCAAGATACAGAGGTACAGAAACACCATCCTCTGACTTCAATTGAGAAAAGTCTGTAGCCAACTCAGCAGCTTCAGCAGAACCTTTTCTGAAATTTTTCGGTCTTCGCAACTTCTCTTCTTCATTTACAGCTTTTGGGCGGATAGAGCTTCTCACCTGGGTGCGGACACCATTTTTTCCAACTCCCGAGGCTGGTTTCATACCTTCCTTTTTGATCTCGGAGAAGTTAGGGACTGACTGTGCAACAAGTTTTTCTGATTGTCCTCTCCGCCTAACAGCACTGGGAGTAGAAACTTTGGCTGCCGAGCGTGACGCTGATGTAGCAGTGGTTCGAGCAGTCAATAAATTGTTTTTATTTTGTTGTAAGTTTTTATTTTGGGTGCTCCTGGAACCATCCTCATCTTCTTCACTCTGAAATGAGCTAATTGGATGCTGTCAAGTCATCACATTGTTAAATTGTTAGGAAACCAAGGATAATATTTCACCCACTCAATAGTTTTAGCTACCACAGAAGGAAATGCTTTATACCTGATCCTTTTTTGCACTCAACTTAGAATTGAAGTATACAAGCTTCTCTGCACGTCGGACATTTGAATCACGTCTCCCTGTAGACTGAGAAAATTTGGATTTCATCTCAGCGTTACTGCGATCAAGTATATCTTGCATCACCTTCAATTTGGCTTCCTTCTCGGTCCTTCTGCAACTCCAGTCTTCCTTTAGCTTTGCGTCTCTTTTATGCATATATTTCTCATAGAACTTTCCTCTAGAATTGTCCGAAAAGCTGATTTCTGGAAAATTTTGCCTCGTGGTATCTCCATATTCATTGTTAACAACCATCTTTGTTGGCGGAGTTTTGAACTTGTCTTCATCGTTTGAGGTTAAAGTTGGCATTGCCAGGGTCTTCTGATCAGAAATTTGAACAGATGATAGATCCTGCGCTACAGGCCTTCTCAGCTGTGAAGTCACACCCTGTTCACTTGGCTTTCCGGGCTTACCTCTACGGACAGAACTGGTTTGATCCCCTGGCACACGGAGCATATGTTCAGCAAATAGCTTCTCAAGCTCGTTTGCTTTCACTTTCAATTCGTCATTCAGCTCTTGACTTCCCTTAGACGGTCTTGCCCTTTGAACTTGCTCTGTTGGAGACAATTGGGTCAGAGTATCATTCTCGGAGATATCTGAAACACTATTAATGGCTGCAGATGGCTTTGTATTTACAGCAGCAGAACCAATATCAGTTCTTCTACTATGCGGCCTTTTCATCTGTTCAGAACCTAAAAGAAGATGGTGCAACAAGAAAATAATCAGAAGGTTGCTTAATTTTCCCCTTTGTCGAAGTCAAGATATTAAGAAAATATATATCTAGAAAAGAAAAGAAGAGAGGTACGTTATCACATTGAGAATTAGTCGTTCTCCTATTCACAGATTCAATTGTTTAATAATAAAAAGAATACTTCTACGGTCATGATCATTTCAAGTATTAGAAGTAGAACACAGGTAAGCAAAGAATAAACTATAGACTTTTAAGCGTACAAGTGACTGAGAAGGGGAGTGCATGATGGTATTTGATGATCCCATTTGCCCGTTGATATTTAATACTGGGTCAAAGACCATGCATATAAACGAAAGACCAACACAAGTTTAATATTCTCTTTCATTACTAACCTCCATAAACCGGTGTCTTTCTCTGGCGATCCTCAAGAAGTGGTGATTGCCTATCGGAAGGCATTAGTTCTTTCCTAGGAGACTCTGCAGTTCCTCCATTGCTCTGAACACTTGTGATATTAGGTTCAGTACCACCTAACTGCTGTAGTGTAGACAATGAATGGCTCTGAGGATCCCTAAACTGTATCTGGTTCTGCCTGTTTGATATAAAATCGCTAATTTGGTTGTTCGCATCATCATTTATATTTGCATTCCCTGTGTAATCTGAAGTGGCTCTGGAATTCTTCTCATGGAATTTATACTTGGAATTCTTCTCCAAATATCCATCCAGAGAATTTCCTTGATGTCTCACTTGATTACTCTTGCTCAATGGCACTTTCAAGTCTACCTCCTTGTCTTTTCGTAAGAATGTAGAACTTGAATTTTGAGACTCTACTTCATCCATTCCCCAGTCACCACCATTATTGGAAGTACATTCTTCCTCATTCCTAGGGGTATTCGCAGCATGGCTCAATCCATTCTGCTCTTTTTTGTTGTAGCCGACAAATTGTTTCGAGGATGCACCACTTCCATCTTTGGACACTGAAGATGCCGAGTGAGTGCACAGTGGACTATCACCAGTATCATCCTTCCTGTCATTTCCCAAATCAATGCTCATGTCACTAGCACCACTCCATCTTCGTACCACAACCTTTTCCATGCCTGCAGAAGATGATAAATCAGAAGAAAGTCTTTTCAGCTCAGTAGATTTTGCCACAGCTGTCTTCTCTCCAGAGTTCTCTTTCTGCTTGTTTTCAAACATGCTGATCCTCTCCTGCACACTAAGCCGTCTCGTGAGTTGTCTAGGCTGACTCACTAAAGGCTCATTTTGTACTGTACTTTTTTCCTCTTCTTCATCTTTTTCATCATGACTACTTTGTGGCTTACGCTTTGATTCTTGTTGACAGTAGTTGGTTCCTGTTGCGCTTTGCTCTTCCATACCAGTTTGATATTCCCTATGTTGTTGGTTTCTGATTGTTTCCAGGTCTCTAGATGGGTCTTCACTGGGATCATCAATTGACATATCAGATTCCCATGACAAACGTATCGCTTCTTCTTCTTGATTGACCCTCCAAGAGCTCATAAGCTCTGGCCTTCTCTGACAAAGTGTTATAAACTTGGTGCATGCTTCACTGCAATAAACATAGCAGACCAAGCATGATCAGAGTACCCATAACTGACAGTTAACTAAGTTGGAAGCCAAAATATTTGTCGAACTCTATGAATTAGAAATGCCTATTCTAAAAAGTGAGATAATTCATCAGGTTGACTATTGGTCACCGAAAAAAATAGATACTGAATTTTGTAGTCCAGTTTGGAGTCCTAGTCATATTATAATCATGTTCATCCACCTAATGGCAGTTCTCAAGTCTCCATCAGACCAAACCTACCTAATTAAGAGCATGATGGGTTTCTGCTTATGGAAAAGAGCATCAAGGCCTAAACAGGTAAACATAAAACATATGCGATTAAGGTGATCATACAATAACCAGGTGTTGCAAAAAACTTTTAGTATAATGAAAGTCTAAATTTCCAAAGAAGGGTCACTGGCAGAGGGTGATAACTTTTAGAAACCTTGGTTGTATGGTCTACTTAGCAATAGTATGCATACAGATAAAGGTTTAAAATGTTATAACTGCAACTATGAAAGCTAGAACTCAAAATACAGCACCAATCACCTTCTCGGTTTAAAATAAGACTAGGGAATAATTGAAGAAGTCTTGTCTCCTTGTGTGTAAAAAGGGATTCAAATAATTTCTGACAAAAAGGCATACTTACTTCAAGCGATAGGGAGTAAGGGATATCTTAATACTTACTTCAAGCGATTGGCCCCAAATCGATCAGCAAACTGACTAAGTTCGGAGACAGTGATAGGGTTGAATCCAGCAGCCGAAGCACGATTACAGGCAGTTGCTAAGTCCTGTCTAACTGCTGCTAGCCGTAAATCAATAGCTTTCAGTAACTCCTTTCTGGAAATGCACAAAAACGGGAAAGATTCAGCATTACACATTTTAAGAGTGTATAGGACTATTTAAAATCAAGAAACTTTGCGAGATTAAGAGACTTTACTTTGTCACATCAGCAGCTGGTGTAGTTTCTGTGCCATCTGAACCAAGAAAGGTTTAGCTAGAGTATGCCAAAGCAAGAAAGAAACGACTAATATGTGATTGAATATATCTGATGGGCCTTTGTAGATAGAAAACAATAAAATTTCGTCAGATTAATGTCACTCTGCCATTCATAAGCTGCCCTGAAGATGCTTTTCTCATATTTGGCAGTAAGATTTCTAGTGGTAGCTCGTCGATTTTGAAGGAGTATATTTTGTAAACTTAGCCAGTGTAAGAGTTTAATCAGGAGGTGCAAAAATGATAGTCTATAGACTCTATACAACATACTTTTCTAGCGTCCATGAATGACTAACCAGCATCATAATTCACTTCACAAATTTTGTTCATTAATTGTCACTGTAACAGACTCCTTAGAGCCAATGCACAATTTCTCATGGACGGTATATGTAACAGAATATACAGCTAACTAGAAGACAAGTTAATCATATGCATACCTTTTGCACTAGATCGCTGATCACCAGTCCCCTAAAGAAAGATAATTATCAAAATCAATAAAAGCATTCCAATTAACACAGGATTTGCTTTACTTGGACTTAAAAGAGGTGAAGTACCTCGCCATATATTTTTCGGGCAGCCTCCAACTGAGACATTTCCACGTCCAAAGCACTAACCAATTCCAGAACCTCTGGGGTACTAACAAAGCGTACAAACCTAGAGACCAGGATGCACAGGAGAAATTAGAGTGTTTACCATGACCTATTCTTCACAAGACTCAAACATCCCTTGTTCAAGATAGAATGTAACCTTTCAAGGGTCCCTTTCGTAAACCAGGATCCAGCATTTTTGTTGCTTTCAACGTCTAGCCTGATAGACTGAACTTCCCGGGCGACCTGTTCTTCTGCAACTTTCAAATGAGCAACAAATGGTTTCACCAGTCCAGAAGCAAGTTTCTCAGTATTCCCCGCAGTAGAGACAAACAATTCACATCTGCCAGAAAGAAAGAAAAAAAACATGAAGACTATCTAAAAAACCAACTAACACCAAAAAGGAAGAATTCACTCTCTGATATTATTACCTTGACCGCTTTGGGGAGAGTTGGAAGACAGCATAGTCAAGAGGTATAGCTGGTCTCATCTTCTCCCCTTTGCACAAAATCTTCAGCCTCCCCCCTTCACATACCCAAAGACAGCATTAAAAGCAACAAAGTTCATCTCTAAACGAAAGTACTAGAGGAATTTGAAGCGTCCAAGAGAAATCAAAGAGAAACGTGACTAAACAATAGAAGTATCATCCATCAGTACATACATAAAAGCAATGTCCATACTTGGATTCAATTTAACCCAACTAAAGCAACATCACAATAATAGAATCCCCCAAAGTTCACAACTCACAGAATCAAGCGCATTGCTAGATCTGATTCCGATCATGGAAATTTGAAAACCCAATAACTAAGAAAACTGATTCACGCCCAATAGAGACGAATCCTCGAAGACCCATGATTCGAATTCAAATTCAAGGCAAAGTAAAATCCCACATCCAATAAGGAAACAATACGCCATTGTAATTCAAGTAAAGTCCTGCTCGGATCAGACCTTACCTGAGGATAGAAACAAATGAGATCTTCGTCTTTTTCCGATGAATCAGTCCCTTTCCGATTCACATTCGAATAGGAACTATCACTGTCGAGTCTCTTTCTCTGCTTTCTAGACTATACTCAGCATCCTCTTCTTAAAGCCCTAACAATGGAGATTGTTTCTTCTGTTTTTGGCTTCACTCAAAACTCTCAAGTCAACTTCGTATTTAATTTACTTCCGCTGATTGATTTCAATTTCTCTCCCATCATTGTGTGTCTCCTTCCTTCCGCCGTAATCTATCTTTGTCAAAAACTACTTTAGAGAGAGAAAGTGAAATCAAGAGAGAGAAAAACGTTCTTCAGACAAAAATCACCATTTTTGTTGACGTGAAGTAGCGTATACGTGAGAAAAAAAAAAGTAATAGAGCGTAAAATTTGAAATTTTAAATTAAACAAAAATAAAAGAAAGTCGGCAGTAATTACGAAATTCCGGAAATAGGTCTCGCCTAACCCAAAAGAATTTCTTTAGTTACCTATAATACCCTTCATCCTTCGATTTTATTACTTTCTGAAGTATATATAATTTAGTGCAAGCAGAGGGGTAAATTAGTCTCTTAGTCACAGATGGGCCAAGGAACAAATGGGTATATTGGTACTTCGGCTTTCAGATCCAAATATTTAACGTTAAGAGTAACAACGATTCGCTGTTTCAAAGGGTCCGAATGGTAACAGCGTATTTGATCGTGCGGGAAAAGCGATTTTATAGTGCGGTACGGTTCAACTGCGGTACGTGCGGGAGAAACATATTTGCGGGACAAGTGCGGTTTTGTAAAATAAGCGGTACGAAATAATATTTGATTGGTGAAATAATAATTTGCGGGACACATATATGATATTTAGAAAATATAGTTAAGATTTTTAGAAAATATACATATATAAAATTAAAAGGAGGAAATGGTATTTTTTGTATCTTTAAGAAATAATTTGGAATCCATTACATCATTTAAAAAGTATATTATTTGTATTAAATCACTTAGAAATATATTATATTAATTGTTACAGAAAGTGTTTAACCAAAAAAAAAATTGAAAACAAAAAAGATTGTTACGTGAGAGTCTGAGACGTAAGCCAAGAGAAAAGATAGTGGAAGACTGTCTTTTTTCCTTTGGTGTTTACACATAAGGTTGTGTAACAGATATACATATAATAGTTTTAATATTAAATATCAAAATTTAAAAAAAAACAAAAAATAATACTATCTACTGCGTTTTTGAATGTACCGCTGGGTAAAGTCTTCTGTATATTTTGGAAAGCGGTCCAAGGTAATATCTGCTGGACAATTCCGCAATTTGGTTTTTTTTTTTTTTTTAGAAAAACGCAAATTTGTTAAAAATTGATGATTGGTGAAAGTGGTATGGTTTTACCAAAAAAAAATAGAAAACCGCTTTTTTTGTGTCTCCATTCACAACCAAAGAGTAAAATCTGCGTGTGTGTGTGTATACAAAATGTGTATATATATTATATTAAATAAATACTGATAAATAGATGGTGACAAAAAGAAGTATATAAATTACTTATTCCACTCTACTGAAAATTAATATATTAACACCAACCATTTTTATTCCAACTTTTGGAGACACTTTAAATCAAATGATGGACCCCCTGAAAAAGGCTGGAAAAATATCTAATTATAGGATATCACTCTTTATTCTTCTTTAATTTATATGGAGAATTGACCCTAACTAAATAATCCCAAATAATAATAATGGAGAAATGGCTTTAAATCCTACCCAATTCTTTCTATTCTTTTTGGTATCTTTCTCTTGCCCACTTTAAATATAAGAATATTCATTTGTAACATTAATATTTTACTACTTTTTTTTTGGTAGAATATCTTACTATTTCTTTAGTAATCACTACTTTTGTTACTAGATTTTGAACTTTACTAAGAGCATATGCATCGCCAAAACACATCAGGTGTTCTAAGAGTATTAAATTAATAAAAGGCTTGAACAGAAGACTATATTTATCGGGCCAACTTGTTGGGCTGTTCTTAGATTTTAAAAATAATAAAATTGAGGAACATATACTCAAGAGCATGGGTAGATGTTCTCCCTGAAGAACTGTTGTAGCATCAGTTGAAGAACTGTTCTTAGATATTATAAGCTTTAATATTATTTTAATAACTAAGAACTATCTTCTTGTTTTACCGTTGCATATGCCACAGACAAAGTGGAATTGTGTTCCTCCCCGAGAACTGTTCTTAAGGTGTTCTAAGAGTATTATGAGCACGTGTCTTTTGTGAATTAGTCCTCTTTTTTTCTTCTTTTTTCTTTCTTTTTTTTCTTCTCTCTTCTTGATAAAATAATGTTAAGAACACAAATCAGTGTTTCAGCGTTACCAATGCTCTAAGAAAAAATCTCGATTGCTAATCCTAGTGATACCAACATATCAGTAGACAATAGGAGTATATAATCTAGGGGACTAAAAACACGTGGACACCCTTAATTCGTAATTTGTTGATTAGTGAACTTTGGAATCAAACTCTTTTCTACATTCGAAAATAAAATTCAGAAGATTTCAAGATGCTTCGTTTTTTACGTTTTCATTATTGTATTCGTTAAAAATAGTGCAAGTTAGAATGATATTTGCGGGGTGGGACTAGGAAGATGGTATTGTACTCAAATATATCATGATTCACCTTGAGATACATGATTAGAGTATTTAACTATATGGCTTAGTGCGGAAGGTAAAATTGTGAGAAACAAATATGAGTAATGAATTTGAATTGATTGCCATGTTGTATAGCATCTAAAATGCCAAAAGGCAAACATCATAGAAAAAGAAATAAACAGACAAACGAAAAGGTTTCTTGCCTAACATTCTACTTTTATAGCAGATCATTGGTGGTTTGATGATGCTTCAGACACAAGAAACTCTTAGCTAAAACAATTACTCAAAACTCAAAAGAAAGAGTTAAAATGTTTTTAGGTACACATGCAAATTTTCAATGTCATAAGAACCAAAAAAAAAAAAAAATGTCATAAGAACCAAACATAGCTTTAAATTTTGCGGTTGGATTGTGTCAAGAATGTCTATGCCATGTTCTAACCTAACTAGTTTTCAGCTCACAGAAACACAATCCAACTTTAAAACCTGCACAAGAGAGTCCTCATTCAATATGTCAGAGGAGTCTGAAGAAAGTTATGCAGGATGATCTCAGGCATTCTAGTGAAGTTAAATCTGTTCCATATGACCAAAGTTAACAAAGATATGCAAAATATTAATACACGCATGAAGCCTAGATAAGTTTCAGTTCTCTCTTTCAACAATTCAAGACTCAAATCTAAAATATATCAATTACGACCCTGCATCACTAAACTCTAGTTATTACCCAAATCGTTGTTATTGTTGTTAACAATCACATTGATGCTGTTCTTGCGGCTGTGGTGATCATTACTGGTGTTTCCCATTCTCCTCCCATGTTGCTGCTTAAGCTGCGATATCTCCACTTGGGTCTTAACAAAGAACTGCATTCTCTGCAACTCCAGTTCCTTCAAGAACTTCATCCTCTCTTTCTCCATCTCAACCACCTGTTGCAGTTTCGCATTCTCTGTTTGCTCATAAGCTTCACCGAATCTCATGATTGCCCTAGTTAACTCCCTCCATTTATTTCCCACTCCATCACCATCTTGCTTCTTCTTCTCTTCCGTCTTCATCCTCTTCGACAGAGGAGGAGGAGGTAAACTGTCGCCGGAATCATCTGACATTGCCGCTTCAGATTCCGAGTCTGAATCAGAGGCGTTCCTCTTCCTGAAACGCCAGCGTTTCGACTCACTACACTTTTTCACCATCATCCCTTGCTGCTGTTGCTGTGGCAGTGTCCTACCTTGCTGTGGCAGCGTCCTACCTTGCTGTCCAAACGGAGTTGAACGGCTACTCATCGGAATTCCCATAGGTACATTGACGGATCCTCTTCCTCCACCACTGCCACCGAACGAAGCAGCTGAAACCCTAGCCGTGGCTCCAATTAGACGGTCAAGATTATTGAAAGGAGGCGTTGCGGCCTTAGCTTGCTGATGGTACAGATTAGAACGATTTCCCATGGGAATACCCATAGGAATCTTATGCAATCCACCTACAGGACCTCCACCACCGCTGATTCCAGGAGTTGCCGTCGGGATCTTCGCCGTTGATCCAATCAGACGGTCAAGTTTGTCGAAGAACACCCATCTGCTACGGCCACCACCGGTAGCGATTCTCACCTTCTCCTGTTTATACTTCTTCTTCACCGTATCGATCCTATTCTTACACTGTATATCAGTTTTAGGAATTTTACCATAATCCTCTCTGCTGCTCACGATCTCAGCCACCTCTTTCCAGTGCTTCTGCTTCAGATTCCCTCTGCTAAGTTCCAAGTATCTCTCACCCCACGCATCAATCAAAACAGCCGTAGCCCCTTCGCTCCAACAATCCTCCCTCCCGCCGCCACCGGTTGGTCTCCCACTGCTGCTATTCCCTCCACCGCTGGCGTGAATCGGAAGCAGCGCCAGAGCCAACGCATCGGGATCCTTCTGCGACGAATTAGCCGGAGGAGTCAGAGAATAAGAAGGCGGACCAGCCGAAGCCACCGTAACCGTGATTCGTCCCGCCGGCGGCGAAGAAGACGGATCAGGTGAATCGGAGCCCTGAGATCGGATGTCTTCGTCGTCCTCCATGGAATTCGATATCGCCGGATGTGAGTCAGAAGCTCGTGAAAGAGGAGATAGGGTTAGGGTTTGGGTTAATATTCTGTTCGGGAGGGGGGTAAACGGGAAGGAGACGGCGTCGGTGAGTAGGAGGGACACGTGGAAGAACGTGAGAAGATACGGGGAGTTGACGTGGAATGACGTGATTGGTAGGTCAGAGGTAAGATTCCGTCACCGGTAAAGTTGCCGGCTCGGTTTAGGGGTAAAAGATGGGTTTGTATCGTAATTTCCCCATTTCTTTCGTAATCCGATGAGGATGTATATTGACGGAAAAGCCCATCTGGTTATTCTATAATTACCGGAACTATCCCCGTGAACCATTTTTCCGGTGATGTACCGAAATTACCCTTAGCCTAACCGTCAGTTTCAATATCGGTCGTAGACTTTTTTTAGTCCGTCGATAGTTTCCAGTTGTCTTGTCTCTCTTCCTTCGTTGGTTGGTCACTTGGTTGCTTCATTCGTTACATCGATTCGAATTAGTCTCTCTTTTAACCTTTTTTCTTATCATTAAAATAAGAACGGTGACGTGGATGTGATTTACTTTGGGCTACTAATTGGTTTTTATTGGGCTTTCCAATTGATGTAACGAAAATGATATGTTACGGTAGCATACTAGCATGTTATATCACTTATCATTTTTTTCTTTTCACCATTGTCAAAAGTATACGACTTTTAACATTCCAGAAATACTTTTGTGAAACAAACAAATAAAATTAATATTTCTCAAATCTCAAAACACCAAAAGCGACGATTATGTACACAGCAAATATATGTATATATACAAAGAAAAGTAGTTTGGGAAACTTCTTGTCGTAGAAATACCTTGTAATATTTTTCAACGGTCCAATGCGTTTAGCACAATCCTGCAGTATTACCGGACCTTAATCAGATATGGTAACTTTTAATATAATAGAAAAATGAAATATGGTTCTGACGAAAGGAAAAAGAGAGGGAGATCAAACCAATCGCAAGCATTGAGACTTGTAGCATGCGTTTCACTTGGTGTTCCAGCTGCATACGTATGATTATAGTAGTAATTAATTTACAAATCTATAACTTTCAAGCTTCTAATGACTATGGATATCAAATTAAAATAAATTAAATAGCTTATAATTAATGACTATGTACATATATATATCACCTTGCAAAGTTTTTTTTTTTTCATGAATAGGTTTTTGCTTGCTCATAAGTCATAACACAAGCATAGAAAATAAACAATTGATCAGAAAGGGTAAAAAAAGAAGGTAACTTACGAGTCAAAGGAGAACCCGGGTTGCTTGACCCGTCAGGAGAATCTGGGACACGTCTCAGATTCACCATCAACTTCCGGTTGCCATTTTCACCGGATATGTGGTTTCTCAACTTCCCGAGACCATTTTCCGGCGTTGGACCGGCAAAAGTTTCATCCCACAACTTGTGTAAAAAACCCATATCTCTGATCGAATTTTGATAAGGGTTTTTTTGTTAATTGTCTCTAATGTGTTTTGAATAGAGTGTTTTTTTTTGTTAAATCTTCTTTATGCAAGAATAATGGTTTTATAAAAGGAACAAGAAAGAGAAGCGTTGAATATCTTTGGTTAGACTAATTATATACACTCCACCTATAATTTAACCTTCCAAAATTAAGGAGATTTAATCAAGGATGATGATATAATTAAACAGATGATGAATCTAGCCGATAAGAAGATAGCTTAGACAAATAATTTATAGAAATGTGACATGTTTTGACATGATAAGTTTGATGCTGTCAAAAGAAAAAGAAAAAAATCTCTTTAACTAGTTTGACGCAATCAATTTGATCATGTGATGGGCCTGGGCTAATTTTTGATTAGGCCTGCATTAAAATATTATACAACGGCTCTTAACGGCTAGTAACCTTTTTTTCCTCTTCTATAAATTTACATTTTTGGCCTAATTCCGAGTTTTCTTCTCTAATTTCGTCAGACTCTTGAAAAAGAAAAGGAAAGAACAACATTGAAAAGTTACCGTTAAACAATCTAAGCGCTCTTCATCTTCTTAGACTCTTCTCTTTCAACAAGAATCTCACCAAGAAACTTCTTCACTTTTTACAAAGGTAATCTCTTTCTTCCTTCTGATTTAGGTTTCATATTATAGACTGTTCTTGTGGCCATTGGTTGTTCTTCTTTTCGCTACTTGATTCATTACGCTTTCTGGGTTTCCAGTGGTTTGTGGTGTTAAATATGCTTGAGAATCAAATTGGGTTTTGTGAAAGAAACGATCTTTGTTTCGATTTCGAATTGGGTTTTCTGGAATCAAATCCACCAATTCTAGGGTTTCTAATTGCTTAATTTCGTCAATTCTCGAATCAAATCCTTCAATTTTGATTCAGTTTTCGTTCATGTTTCACAGTTAAAATCCATGGCGAACATGAACGCTCTTCAACAGATGATCTTCCCTGACGAGAATGCTCCGATTCATCGCAAAAGTAGTTAATCTTTCTCTATTCTCTTTTAATCATATGCTTTGTAACAAGATTTAACATTTATCTTTTGGGCTATTTCAGAGTCTGTTACTGCTGCTTCTGTAAAATCCAAAGGAACTGTACTTGGTCAGAAGAAACCTGGAGGAGCTCGTAAGGCTCTGAATGATATTACAAACAAGTCTGGGATTCATGCGAAAGCTTCTTCAAAGAATAAGCAAATTGCTTCTGCTGCTGCTGCAAAAGATGAGATTGACATAGCTGGGGAAAGGTTCTTACATGATCACAGCAAATGCATCAAAGAGCAGCAAAGTCTCTGGGATGATCACTACTCGTCTGATCTCATTCTACTTCATCATGGTAGTGTATTTAGATCTTCTAAGCTATGATGTTAACAAATCTTTGCGAGTCAAAACATGTGCTAAAAGCTTGTTCTTTTGCAATTGCAGAATCTAGCATCAAGGAGAAGCATCTCAATTATGACATTGAAAAGGTACTTTACTTTAAAAACAGTGTTTCTCTCTGTCTATGATGGAGATTTGGTAAGACTCTTGAATCATCAAGGATCAGATTGCATCTTTGATCTAGTTTTGGAACTTAAAGTGACACTTTTTGTGATGTGTTATTGGTTTCAGATGGATTCTAAGAACAATCTGACTTACGAAGAACCAGAAGAAATGGCATCACCAAAGTTGTCTGATTGGCTGAAGAACTCAACTCCATGGCGCTCTCCAATCCGCCATGGCTCTATGATGCCTTCCACTCCTCTGGCTTGGCGGTTCGATTCAAGTGAATTCACACTCAAAGAAGACTCTGATGACCTCTTCTGAGTTTCTGTTTCTTAATGTCTTTAAAAAAATTCATCCTTGAGATGAAGTAGCAGTAGTAGTAGCGACTATCTTTTGTTCAGCTCTTCATGAATCACTGTGTCTATCACTTTGTAACTGGTTTCATGAATTAAAGTTGGAATCTTTTCAAGCATTCATCAAACTTGTTACTTGTGCCATATTCAGAATTTGAAGTTTCGAATTACTGTCATGTTTCAAGCCAGAATCCTAAACATCTTCAGAATACATTTTACAATTCCACAACAGTTTGATCTATCGGACTCATAAACAAATATTTATCTCTTCAACAGTTAACTTACATTGCCGTTATCCTTGACACTATGGTGACTCCTGAATCTTCTCTAACTGTCTCTATCCTCTAGACGGTTCCGTAACATCTCTAATTGAGCTTTAAAGAAGTGAATTCTTTGCAACTCAAGCTCCTTAGAGAACTTAATCTTCTCCTTCTCCAGCTCCACCATTTGTTTAAGCTTTAAAGTCTTCACCTTTTCATAACTTTCTGCAAACCCCAATATCGCCATTGCCACTTCTCCGACCTCCCTTCCTCCTCTGCCTCCTGTCTTATCCAACGTCACTGGCGGTGGCAGCAACAATGGTGGTAGACTCTCACCTGAGTCAGCAGAAAGTTCAGGTTCAGACTCTGACTCCGTCTCAGAAGCAACTCTTTTCCTGAAATGCCACCGTGTTGAATCACCACTCCTTTTCACATTCGCCGAGGATTTAGCTTGTCGTTGGTAAAGATTCGAACGGCTGCTCAAAGGAGTCACCTTTAAAGCCTTATTCGCCGTCGTTGTGGTTGTGATGGCTCTTTCTCCGATCAAAAGTTGGAGCTTTTTGAAGAAGATCCATTTGTTGCTGTTATTATCATCACCACCAGCGACCATTTTAGCTTTCTCCAGTTTGAACTTCTTCTTCACCGTATCGATTCTGTTCTTGCACTGTATATCAGTTTTGGGAGATTTGTTGTCTCTGTTGACGATCTCAGCTACTTCTTTCCAGTGCTGTTGCTTCAGATTACCTCTCTTCAGCTCTAAGTATCTCTCTCCCCACGCATTGATCAGAATCTCCGTTGCTTCTTCACTCCAACAGTCGTCTCTCCCTCCTCCGCCACCGCTTCTTCTTCCGGAAGCAGCTTGATTAGGACAAGAAACCACTAACGCTAAACCGCTCCGACCAGGCGACTTCGCGGTTGACGTATCTGTCGGCGACGGCCGTGACTGTGTCTCGTCATCTTCCTCCATGAATTACGGCCTATGGCTACGGCAAAGATTGGATCGTCGGAGGGGTAAAAAGAAGAGAGTTCACCGGCGTGAGAATAAATCTCCGACTGGGTTTGCGAATTGACGGATAAGCCCCCAATGGAGTCCATTATTACAAAACAACCAATATCTCCTAATCTTTTTCATTCACATGATTCACGTGAAGCTACAAGATTTTTCATAATTGTACTGTAACTGATAAACAACAATATTTCTCGTAGCCTCTAATGGTTGGTATTTGGTAAGATAAGATAGATTCGAGTGAAATGGAACAAACAATGTAATATTTTTAAATAATTAAACAATGACTAATAAGAATATAGAAGGATCAACATAAAGCAATTGATTTCATCGATCTTTTAACGATTCTTGCTTTAGGAGACAACAATTCAATGACAAAGCAGAGAGAAACAAAAAAAAAAAAGAAGCTTCGAGAGAAGGAGGTGGGTAGTTTACAAAACGACGACCCTTTGAGTTTCGATGCATCCTTGTTGAGAAGACAACAACCACTCATCTTGTCTGTGACAAGTCGACAAATGTGGACATGAGTTAGCAAAAAATAAGGTGTGAAGTGGCTATGAAGTGGGCACTCCATAGTTGTTTGACGACGACGTTTCATGGCTAGCATTGTTCTTTCTCCTGTTTCTTCTTCCCCCAGTGTTTTTCCCTTTCTTGAACTCTTGCTGATGGTCCACCTGCTAATCCAACAAAACCAATTCATCATCAAGAAGAGTATTAAGCGACTCTGAAAAGGAAGGGTTTTAAGTGTTTTCAGTTCTTTACCCCTAAAGAGAAAGAATGAGCTCTCGGGTCATATCGAAAAGGATCATTATTAATCCCCATCGAACTTGTCTCAAACGGTGATGACCGCTGAGCATTTGTATCAAATACAAAACTACAAGAGGAAGTGAATGTTGAAGTGGAGCAAGACGATGATGATGAGAATGCTGCAGCGTCTCCTTGAAACATCTCATTAAACAGATCTTGTAATTGTTCAAAACTGTCCCCTGTGTTATTCTCCTGCAAACCAATATCTCAATCATCAGTAAGCGCAAACAATGGTTGTGTATAATAAATTGATGGATAACTAACTAATGCAGGCTTCTTACATTAGGCTTGGATTGATTCATCATAGTCGCCATTTCATTCAAGAAATCTCCCATTCCCTGCAACCATCAACAACAGATTTCCATCAATTACATGGTTGATAGGTTCAATAACAACAGAAGGAAGAGAATAACAAATTAGCTATGACAAATTTTCCAATACAAAGAAACTGAAGAAGGCAAATAACACTCAAGTGCATTGCCCTATAAATGCAGAAAGTGAAAATCTTTATGAAGAAACAAAGATATATATATAAAAAAGGGAGTTTACGTTTTGGTCATCATCATCAGTATTATAAGCTCCAACATCATACAGGAACCTCTTGTTGGAGTCAGACAGAACTGTGAGCCCATAAAAACAAAGCTTATTCAGAAACATTAAACAATACTGTATCCAATAACCAGTCTCCATCTGTTTCATAATAAAGAAGTGAAAACAATTGAGACAAAGATTAGGGAAAAAGCAAGTGAAATTACCAGAGTAGGCCTCTTGAATTGCCTGAAACTTCTTCTTTGCATCTTCTACAAACTCCATTGACGAACAACGATCTGGATGCCATCTCTGAATCCAACGTAAAAACAAAAGTTCCCAATCAATTTTCAGTACCAAATGGAAAAGTTTACAAACTAATATCGATCTCCAAATCTCAATCAAAACTATCAGCTAAGGCAAGATCAAAGGAAACGCAGAATCAATTGCAGTGAATCTAAAATTTGCATCAATGATTCATCTAATTAACCTAACAAATTCGAATCAAATTGATATTACATATTACATGCAATACTCCAAATCAGAGAAAAAGTTTTGGAAAAAAAGAAAAACTCACAAGAGCGAGTTTCTTATAAGCAGTACGGAGCTCCGTCGACGAACATTCCTTCTTCAAACCCAGAACAGCGTACAAATTATCGTTGATTGTCTCGCTATTATTGGACGCCATCGCTAACTTTCGCTTCCAGATCAACAAAAAGAGAAACCCAATAAGAAAAACTCGATTTTTCGACGAATTTCAACACCCAAAAACAGAGCCAACGAACTTGGGATGTTTGGTGTGTGTGTATAGGTACTAAAGAGGTTCGATGTATTCGAAACAACGTGTTCTTAAGGCAAAAAAAAAACCTGAAAGATTAGGGTTTGATTGGTATCGTAGAGAGATCAAAGAAGAAGAAATTTGGTTTATAAAAGATTTTCTGCCTCTGGCTCTCTCTCTCGTACTCGTACGAGACGATGGAATGGAACTCTCCAGAACCTCTTACCACTTGTTAGATTTTTATTTTTTTGGTCCTACTACTTTATATTTTTATTAATTAATTAATTATCTTTCTTCTTCGAGTTTCGTCAAAGTAATAATGATATTTCTGCGAAAAAAATATCTATTTCGAAGACTAATCACTTCTTTTCTTTTACCCAAGTTAGAAACTTCTTTTTTTTTGGTCAGCAGACCACCCAAACTTATAGTATAACTTATATGTGTCAGTAAATTTGGTAATAACGTTCATTTAAAAAAAATTTACTAGTGTGGATGTTTGTCTGTTTTTTTCTTCTTTTTTTTTGGGTCAATAAGTTGAATATTTGTTTAATTATTTGGAACATTGGATGAATAGTGGAGAGATTTTTCGGATGTGTGGATGATATTTTTATGTGAAAGGGGGTCACTCAGTCTCCAGAAGGTTCTAATGAATGTGGCGTTTTCGTAAACTACAATAAACTCTGAGGTCTTACGTCACCGTCAATTTCTTGGAAACATGTGCTTTTTAGCTTTAAACGCGTCCATATCCACGGGACCCCTTTACTCTCTCAATAAATAACCAATGACTTAAAAAAACCACTAATCACCATTACGAATAGTTTTGTTCTATTCGTTTTTGCCGCCCCCTCCCCTATTTTGTCGAAGCCTTCGAATTTGACCTTATTTGCTTACCTTCTAATGTATTAATACACTTTCGAGTTTGACCTCATTCTTTTACCTTGTTATGTAAGACACTTTCGAATTTGACCTCATTCTTTTTTACCTTGTAATGTATAAGACACTGATTACTAAGCTAAGAAACAAACCAGAACTTGATCTCGTTATATACTAACGAAGATGCGTTTGCATTTGCAATGCTCAAGTGATGATCGATAACATTAGAAAACACACATATGTATATAGTGTGTATGCATATCTTATTGTCCGACGAATCTTAAGTATATAGTAGTAGTCCAAAACTTTTGGAATTCTATCTATACCTGTAACTCTACTCTATTGGAGTCATTGAAAATTTTATGAAGAGTAATGAACTATGAAGGTACTTACTCTGTTTTATTGCAAGAGTTCCCCAAAAAATTTAAAATTATAAACGTCAAAAAGAAAATTGGAACAAGATCTCAGCTAATTTCAATCACCAATTTCACCATAATGTCTTTTTGTAAATTATTTACAAGCTTGTTGCTCTCTCTCTCTCTCTTTCTTACCTTTTCACTTTTTTTTTTTTCTTCCAATTCGATTAATAAATTAACGACGGTTAGTAATTCGTTTTCGGTTATTTTCTTTCTTTGTCACCACTAAAAGGTATGATATTCTTTTTGCTTTTTTTTTTGTGTTGTTTCATATGCGGCAGGTTTAATGTCGTTGAAAAGCTCTGTTCTCTCTCACCAGAAATGACCGTCTTCATCCATCACCCACTTCACATAACCTTCAGGAATCCCGGAAATTGCTTCTTCATTTACCTGTAGTTTAATAAAGAAAGCAGAGTTTGTTATTATTAGCATTGGTTTTATGCATCATCAATGGCTGCTTCGTATTTAATCTTCTTATTACCTTTCTATTGTCGGAATCAGCTTCTTCAACAACACAAATTTCTGACTCTAATTTTCTACTTTCAGGGATGGTTTCAAAGGATCTAACCACTGTGGATCTGCAGAAATAAATAATATGTTAAGAGGACATTCCTGGTTTGATAATAACATTAGCCACTTTAGATAGAGATTCAAATAGATATCATTTATTTTGGTTACCTTCCGTAACTCTCATCTTCACAAGAGTTTCCTGAAGAAGATACCCAATCCAAATCAAAAGCTGCACATGTACATTGCTCACCATTCCCATCACAACAGAAACAATCGTTTTCAAGAATATCGTCTAAACCTAATTCCTCTAATGTCGGTGGTGGAGCACTGCAAAACAATAGTCATTCCCAAGATTTAGCTGACAACAACAACCCCAATTTAGAAGATATTTATTTGACAGAGATCTTTAGCTCTTTTTTTACCTCAAACTAGCAGCAATCTTGGCAGTTTCAGACGTTGAAATCTCAGGTGCTGAATCTGAAAGACCTTTTACTTCTTCATCTTTTTCAGCTACACCATGTCTACCTACTGGTCCCAACGCGCCTGGACTGCTCTCGCTAATGATGCTACTTTCAGATAGAGATCGTTTCATCGTAGACCTAATGGCGATAAAATAGACTGTTAGTATCTCTAATGAACATAGAAGAATACTTCTCTACAAAAGTCTCATTAAACAGAAAATATACCTTGAATTCTCCGGTACAGAATTGGCAAGAAATCTTGCTGCATTGTAATGCTGATCAGAACCTAATTCCCATAGCGCTGGCTTATCTGGTTGAGGCTGAAAATATCCCAAGAACCTGTAGAAAAATACAAGTCAAACGTCAATAATTTTTCAAACCAGAGGCATAGAAGAAAATAGAGAAAATTGAACACAGCATACACGTTAATTGCATCTTGCTTTTCGGCATCCATATAGGCGTTACTGTAGTAACGTTGTAAAGTTCTGAAGAGTTCCTGTGACTGAGTAGCTGCTCTCCATTGACCACGCCTTTCACAAAATATCTGTCCACAGAAATAAGATCATTGGTTAACAATTATTATGTCCATAGGTTTTTATCTAACAAGACAACAACTTATGGTCAGAGAAGTATAAGAGACCTTGTTGTGTGCCGCGGATCCTCCATACTGAAGAGCAAGCGTATCTCCCATCGTCTCATAAATTCCCATCAAATCTTCAGCAAGGGGATTATCTAGATCAATAGTAGTAGACTCTGTCAATCCCAAAGCATGGAGTTGACGCCCAAATGCTACCAACCCATATGCATATTGAGCAACATTGGTGCGATCTAAACAGTCTATGCAATTGGTCCTCAGGACTCCTTTCTGCAGCATGGTAGCTTCCTTTTGCTGATCTTCCATACTATCATTACCATTTTCCACCACCAAATTTGGTGCAGTTTCATCTTTACTGGGTAGATCGTAAGTAGAACATTCACCATTGTTGTTCCTGCAATAAAAACCGGAAGGATTAAATTTATCAGAGCCTAGCTACTAAGAATACAAGAGAGTTGAATAATGTGCTACGCAAGAAACTACATAGAAGGCAAAAAAAAACTATTGGTAAATTGAATACTTACTCCAAGGTGGATGGATTCTGGTTCTGAAGCCCATCTCCTCTTTGATCTGGAGTTAGCTGACAGTAGAAGATGCCTGTCAAGTTCAGAGCATAAGTAGCCAACCTGCCAAGAATTGCCAACACGTTTGTGCCTTTTCTGGAAAAGAAAAAAGAAAAAACATTTTCTGTTAGTAAAAACGCCTATTGTGTTAATAGAAAATGCAATGAAAAGGAAAAGAAACAAAGAAGCATATGAGGTTGTGTCCATCACTTACTTTCTGGAGTGTTTATGCAAGTCCCAGTGAAGAGGCCTTAGACGATCCTCCTTGCTTAACCCTTTATTAATAAATCTAATTGCATTTGCAAACTCTGCACGCAGAATAGTCTCCCGAGGCCTCTTTTCACGCGTCTGTTTTTCAAACAAGTGAATTAGGAACTACCAGGAAGAATAAATCAAAAATTGTATCCTGTAGACTATGGAGGAGTTAGAATACCAACCTTTATCAAGTTCAATATGATGATTGGATTCCCATATCTCCTTCCAAGATTTTCAAAATGCAGTCTGGTTGCCTCAAAGTTGGGGTCTTTCGCTGACACTTTACACAGATAAGAGATATCAGCACTAAAAAAAAAGCAAAGCAGAAGAAAAATGGAATTGATAAGAATATATTATGTTGAAGAAAGAAGATCATACATATTATATCAGGTTTGATATTCAAGCGTGAGGTCTCCTGAGACCAGAACAAAGGAATTGAACCCCGATTCTGAACTACAGAACTTATTCGGACAGGATTACCGTCTTGAGCTTCCTCGAAAACAATCTGCTCTGTCTCGACATCATTAGCTACCCTGCCTTTCTCGTTTACACCACGTTTCAGATATCTGGGGAACAAGTAAGAAGATTATGATCCAGCTAAGACTTATCCTATTACAGCTTAACTAAATGAATGACAGAGATAGAACAAGCTCAGGTGGAGAGATTGTACCTTGTACCAGCATAATGCCGAGATCGGCGAGCAATTAGAGTCAATCTAAAATTCTTCTCAGAAACTGATAGCTTGACCTATATAGTAGACAACAATAAAAAAACCATTCCAAAGGTTAATAAATATTAATATGCATCAAAAGACAAAAGAATCGAGAATGCATTCACATAGTGGGGGCTGGGGTTTAGTCCTAATTCTTACGAGAGTTTCTACTCTCATGCTGCACAAATTTAAAAAAAAATCAAGTAACAAGGACAATAGAATTTTTAATGTGAAGTTAAAATATCTCAACACCTTCTTGTAATATGCATTTCTCAAAATGTTAGAAAATTTAATAGAAACCTTTGGACAAATTAGTACAAGTCATACCTGTTTAAAAAATCCATATACCAAGGCAACTGTCCACATACAGTCCTTCACGTTATTCCGAATCCTTCGAGTTAAGTATTCGTTCCAGACAAACATTGATTCGTAGTAAGTGTGTCCTTCCACATTGTTAGACAGATTCCTCTGAAGTGTATGCATGATGTGATAGGAATAGCTGAAGAAGAAGTCCTTTGTGAGATCAACAGTGCAGAGCAGCCTCTTGTACCTATAAAATTTCCAGGGAAGACAGAAGAAAACAAAAACCAAACATGATTTAGAACCTGGATCTGTAAATCAACTGAAAAGAAGGAAGTTAACAAGATAAAACAAAGTTCACAATATAAGAGATTAAATGATAGTAGAAGAGAATAAAAGTGAGTTCTCCCTCTCTTGATAGTACCTCTGTCATATATAACATATTAAAATAAATACAACAAATAGAAGTGTGTTCCACCGTACAAACCAGGAGAAGAATACCTAGAAATAGTATAAAGCAAAAAGGGCAACAAAAATTATCTAACTGTATCGAATATAATCACAGTTACCTCAACAACTGTTAACTTGCTAATAGAAACCTGTGACACTCTTATTGTGCAGATCAAAAAGGGACACAATAGAGAGAAAACAGACAGCAGAACAGTCTTAAATACAAGTGGTAAAGTTTTAAAGTTTCGAAATGTAATGTAGTGGATAAAGGTAGCAAGGTACAGGTTTTCCATTTTACAAGCAGAAGTAACATAAGAAAACCTTTTCTCGTCCTTAGAATAAGCCACATTGGATAGCACAGAGGTGTGTGGAATCGTGATTATCTTGCTCTTAGCAACACCATAAACGGTGTGCCCACAAAGTTCACCAAGCTTCCTTCTTTTAGTGATTATCAGCATGTAATAGGGTCCCAAGAACCTTATAAATCCTACACCAAGAAAAAATAAAGGCAAGAAATGTTAAGTTTACTTATTAAAAAAAGGAAGAAACTACTGGTATAGAATCAGAATCTTGATGCTATACCGATGATCCCGTAGCAAGTGGTGACAAATTTCAAGCCACCAGATGATCTGTTTCCTTCATGTATCCTTGTCAAAGTTTCAAAGCACTCAGCTTCTGTATAAGCTGTTGAATCTTCGTAAATGTTGACCTCTGTTGGCTCTGTCCTATCTAACTTGAGGACCCTCCAAGACGTTCGGTTTTTATCTCTTCCGATCATATAGAAGCTCTGTTGCACAAAACAAAAGGTTTTAAAACATTAGCAAATCCATGGATTCGTATCTAAATGAAATCAAATTCTGCCGAAACAAGAGAATCAATATGAGAATAATCACCGAGCGGGTCTCGTAAAGCCTGAATTTTTGAAGAAACGAAGAACCCATGTCGACTTCTTTTTCAATCGATCTCTCTGACGCCGCCATTTGGAAAACTCACGTCAGACCCGGAGCTCCGATAAACTCGGGCCGACGATACAACAATAAACGAATTCACAAGAAAAAAGGGAACAAAACCCCCCAAATAGATCACAGAACGATATATATATACCCCCAAACCAAATCCGAACAGCTCACACAAAATTGAATCTAAGACTTCACACACAAAATTCAAATTTACAACTCTAACCAGAAAACACAGACACAACGATCCTAAATTTACTTCACGATACAGATCGAGATTTTACGGAGAAAATCACAGAGATTCTGAGTAGATTTCAGATTGGTAGATGAAGAAGAAGAATAAGAAGATGCAGAGAGAAGAGAAGATGATGACAGAGCTGCGGTGACCGGAACCACAGAAAATTTAACGAGAACAGAAAAAAAGAAAGGAAATTTAGTTTTTTTTTTTTTTTTTGATTTCTGGGTTTTTAAGTTTTTAACTTTAGGCGCTCGTTTAAATATCTCCTAAATCAGTAATTTTTTATTTTTTGTTTGTCTTAATGATTATTAAAAAACAAAAAAACGGTTCTTTAGAGAATATTTTTAATTTCGAAAAGGTAAGTTTGACTGTAATCTTTGGGGTGACTTGTAACTTGTTCCATTAGTAAAAATATTTAAATAGGTTTTTATGTTTGAAAACTTATATAGAAACTGTCCAACTGTGTACATATATAATACTATATTAAAATTTTAAAACTAGTATATAGTTCTTATTCAAAATTTAGATACATATGAGCTGGCTGAAAAAATTAACTCCCATATTAGCTTAAATCATTTACTCACAAATAAATAAGAAACTACTTACTATAAATATTAAACGCTATAAGTTTATAAGCCATCAATTCAATTTTAATAATTAACAATACTATAACATATGGGAATCAAAACAGAAACAAATATAAGAATCTATATTTCTAATAAATAGAGATTCTTATATTGATTCCAATGAATATAGAAATTAATCTAAGCATAATTAAAGTTCTTACAAAAAAATGATAAAAGAAATATACGAAATGGTTAGGAATTTTTTTTAATTATTTCCAAATAAATAGAAATGAAAGAAAATATATTTCTAATAATAAAAGATTAATGTAAAAAGTTAAAAGTAGACAGAGGTTAAATTTTAATATTACTAAATTAAAAGGAAAAAATAAGATGAAAACAAATACAAAAATTGATATGTATAAACCTGTTTATCTTAGTACATTACAAGTATAGAGAAAGAATGTGACTTTATTGACAAATTTCATGTATATAATTAAATTTATTTTTCTAATTTAATATTTTGTATTATATTATATTTAAATAGCTAAATATAATCGATGCGTTAAAACAAATCGATTGAAGTGTTTAAGATTATAACTACTTCGATTGTTTGTGTTTGCGTTGACGTTTAGTGTATCATTTTCTAACGAACACGATCTTAACTATTTTAAAATCATTAAGGTCGTTAAAAGTATAACTACCATGATCGTTAGTGAAATCTAAACGGTAACTACAAACGTTTGAATTTAAAAAAAAAAATTAAATAATCAAACTACATCAACTCACATTTATAAAATATTTTATAAATACTTATGATAATCTCCCATCCAAAAAATAGATTTGATTAGCAATCATGTAAAATGGTAAAAAGTTAAAAATAAAACCAAATCATAACACAGTTTTGCATACAATTATCAAATGCGACTGATAGACTGATAGAACACTAGAGCATATTTAAAAGCACTAAAATTGATTGGAAAAACATGCATAGTAAAAAAAGGTTTTGAAGAACACTTTTACTGTCTGGTTAAAAAAATATTAGTAATAAAATAATAATACAAAATTTGAAATGGAGTTATTATACTATTTCAATTTTCAAATATGGAAAGACAACAAACCTACGGTTACTTTGTTTGCATGGGAACTATGCAAACTCAAAATATGACAAAAGAAAGTGATAAACTCGTGTTAGGAAAAAACCATTCGTGATTTCAAAATTATTATTCTCAACCACCCAAAGACAAAGTTTTCACAAGCGTTTTTTAAACATGCTATGATGAAGTCAATGACAAACGCAGTCAGCCTTTTCGGGAATGTCGATTTTCTAATTTACAAATAATGTCAAAACTCGTTTTCACTTTACATTAAATAATATTAATACAAATAATTTTTTTTTTTTTTTTTTTTTTTTTTTTTTTTTTTTTTTATTAATACAAATAATTAAAGACCTCTTCTTACTTTTCTTACAGCGATTAGAAGATTAAGCAAAACGTGTACGGGAGTACAACGTCCCTTGTATGAATCCTTCTCTTTCCTTCAAATATTTTTTGGTATGATTAAACTAATCAGTTTTATTAACTTACTAAATGATTTTCTATGTTTCTATAGGATATATAAGATGACCGTTAAAAAAAAGACAAAGTTGGAAAAGAAAACAAAAAAAAAAAACGAATGTGAAATCGGAAGCCGTTTTTCGTGATATTAGTTTTTAAGAAATTAATTAAATAAGATGTATAAAAATCTGCTTATAATTTGCGGTAAGAAAGTTAGGAATGAGTGTTAAAAATATAAATTTGTTAATGACGGCAGACTTGTAGTCATGATAGGTAAAAAGTTACAAATAACATGTGGGCAAAATGAACATCATAGCTCAGAAGTCAGAAGTATCAATATGTATTATGTAATGTAAGTTGGATTCGACTTGCCGTCGGGCCATTGGCTTCTCTAAAAGTTGTAAATTAGAGAATAGAATCATTAAAAAAAGCAACTAGCGAATGGAACATTAGTATAAACAAAAAGAAGAATATACTAAAATGCTTTATATTCCCTCGTCAGCTTGATATTCCATTTAATCATAACTTAAATCTAGAAATTTAATTCTCAACGAGAGATTTGATTTATTTACACTCTTTCTCCAAATTCTCCAATCCTTCGATATATATAGCGTCAAAGGTTTGCAAATGATAGACGTTTCAAGTTTCAACTTATGTCACTTTCATATAATTAAATCGTTCTAGTTACTCTAAAATGCTAAAATTAAATAGTTAGAATTACCTAATCGTTAATGAGAAGGAAGAAAGTTAATGGAAGCTCCCGAACCGTTGGATTTTGTATATCCGACGGCTTAAAACGACGAAGTTTGGGGGAAGTGATCTGTACAAGAACACAACATGGGAAAGACCCTGAAACCGAGGAACTGGAAACAGCTGGCATGATGATGTGGCCTAAGGTGGGCGTCTCCTCCTATCACAACGAGCATCACGTGGATTTTGTCTGGACCACCGTGGCGGCTATTTTTTGTACGTAATTATTCTTTATTCCTCTAAATACTTAAAAAAAAAAAAAAAAAAATGAAACTCATCACGCAACACAATCCATGATATGAAACAACTCTTTTAACATTTTCACTGAAAAAAAATTCTGCTATGTAGGAGGGCCTTTTTAAGATATTATTGTACTTTTTCTTTTTCTTTTAGAAGTAAACATGATAAAGAAAAAAGATTTGTGTGACAACCTTAAATTATCAATTTAACACCCCTGAAAAGTTTTTTGTCCTAAATATTATCGCCCGTCTGTTGCTATTTCTTTTTCACAATGCATAAGGCCAAAACTGAATAATCTTAAGGTTTCTTTGTGTGCTTGATTGTCAATTTTATTATATAGAGATATTTGTGATTATATCAGAAGTTTTTTTTTTTTTTTTGAAAAGTGAAGCTATTTAAAAATATAACTTAACCCTTTTACAAAAAAAAATAAAAAAATATAACTTTTTTTTTCCTTCTACGGAAAATGATTGACACTTGAACATCCTCCAATGTTATTCCGCATATGAGTCGTCTAAAGAGCCTAAACCAAACCATCCCTTAATTTTTCGAATTGGTTGTAACTTAAAACCTAAAAGTGAAAGTAAAAGTAATGATATAATTTTAAGAAAAAAAAGAAATATAAATGTGCCCTTCTAAGTACATAAAAACGAAGGGTTAAAAACTTTAAAAGTAGGTTAAAGAAAGAAAAGGAAGTGAAGATAATTAGAGCCGAAAATGTGGAAATTAGTGAAATGTCCAATGATTGAGGGAACAGGTGTCCCTTTTTGGTAACCACTACTTCTTCTTCCCTTTCTTTTCTAGTTTTTAATTAATGACTATTGTTGCTCTAAAACAAAACTAAAAATAATGACTATTGTTGGATTTTCAACCAACTAATGACAAAATAAAACATTACAGAATACTCATTATGAAGTTTAAATTACTTTTTTAAAATATAGTGATAACATTAGTACAAATCGATTTCATATGTTGTAACTTATGTTGTTAAAAAAGTGGGCTAATATCTTTATTTTTGGGTTTTCTTCTTATTTCATGTAGGCTATGAAGGCCCATTTGTTGACAAAAAATTATTAAGGCCCATTTATAAGAATGTCTTCAAATTAATAATTTGGAGTTCAACCAAATCAAGTATCCAGACGTAAATCCACAACGTCATCTGAAGTTCTCGTGTTTTACGGAGCATTTAATTTGGAGTTAACCAAAATCAACTGTAATTCCACAACGTCACCAGCTTAAATTTTAATTTGACGTAAACATCGTCATATTTGATTTCTCATCAAACCGACATTATCTCAAGAAGTGCCAAAGATATACAACCTTGGCCTTGATCATTTCAGCTACACAATCTTATTACGCTATATCATAAAGATGATAGCTTTATTAACTTGGTCTTAAGTTACATGTGCTTGCAGTTGCAACCTAAAACCAATTGGTAATGAATGGAATTGACACATATTTTTTTTATATTGTTCAAAGTCTTTTCCTATATTTCAGTGTGGGATGTTTTTGCATGCTTTCTCAAGATTTATGGGTTTTATCTTATGGCCCAATAATCCCTACATAATTTCCAACACTTTTAGACACTGTAGAAACTCTGAATCTTGTTATGTCTCAATCCATTGGCAGCTATATATGTCCAGAGGAAGGAGGAGTCGCTTACTGAGATTGATGGGTCCAGTGACTCTAGGGGATGCATTCCACATCAGATGTGCTACATGCAAGTTTGCTTCTTGCATCAAATGCTTACCATCGAAAAAGACGTACTCCTCTGGCTTGGCACAACGTTTATGGTTGTACAACCAATCCCGTTTAGAGATTCTATCCCGAACAAGAGACATTGGACCTGGCATGAAAACGTTACAAATGATGGTTATATTGATATCATTAGGACTTACAATAGTCTCTACGACACAGAAAAAATTGGTATGAGGGCCCGTCACTAGACGGGTAGATGGCAACTAAACAAACATATGATACAATTTAGTAAATTTGAGAATTTTAAGTAAGAAAACTATCTTATACTAAATTTAAAATCTATTAAATTTTAAATAATAGTTTGAATTACAAAATTAAACCGATCTATCTTTCCGATCCGAACCCGAAAGGACCCGAACCAAAAAAACCCGAACATGGACCATACTTATCTAAACCAGATCTGAATACCCAAATGTCCAAGCCTAAGATTAAATATTATTCACATCGGACACACTGGCTTTTTGTCACAAACTCATAACTTCTCACCAGAATTTTCAGTGACCACTTTCTTTTTTGTCATTCTATTGATTGTGTTTGTCGGAATCTAGTACAATTCATCAAAAACGTGCATATATTATTAAGATTTTTGTCTATATTCTATGTTACGGTATAAATTTTATTATATTAAAAAAATACCAAAATATTTATGGAGCATATTGCTCATGCCTTAATTTTTATACAGTAGTCACAATCTTGCAGATATGATTTGATAAGATTGTATAAATATATTATTGGTGGTGCGGTTCTTTTTTTGTAAATAAATTCCTATTTGGTTGTCGAATTTAATAGAAAACATAAGAACAAAAAACATCTTTAGCTAATCTTAACATTTAAGCATTAAGAAAGAAATTCACAAATCATAGGTTTTTAAATTGGTAGCACATAAGATAGTAGATAGTAAACCTGCTACTACTGCTGCGTCGAGCTGATGTATCAATAAAACTATAGTAACGTACAACTATTTGCATGCATATATAGTAAGATACATTGATTCAAAGATACCATTGAATTGATCAATTCGACGACAACAATAATACTTTTTCAAGGCATATTAATATGTATCAACCAATCTTTCGTCTAGTTACCACAACTATCGTTAAAAGGGTTTAGTTACGTACGACTAAGGCAACAATGACTTATTTTCATTAGAGACATTAAACTAAAGGGACCGTTTGGGCTTATTGGTGAAAATTAAATGTATCGACAATAACTAATTTTGCTGAACGACTAGAGTTGGTAGCTAATATTTATTCCGGGATAATAATTTTATGATGCAAAAAAAATAAAAAATGTTGATATACATGCAAATGCTCATAAAACTATTGAGTAATGAGTCTCAGTTTTTCAATAAATTGAAGTTTGAAAATTACCATCAAAACGATCATCCTCTTGGATTGAAATAATTTAATTTGTTATTGTGACAAAGAGATAAATCAGTGGTTTGCTTAAATTAAAAGACGATCCATTTCCACACTAGAACTATCACTTCGCACCAAATCCACATCAATATATAATTTCGTACTAGATATCTACGAAAATTACTTCTCAATGTATATTCTTTAAAAAAATTAGATTTTTATACACATTTATTAATTTAGTGCTTAAGTTTATAAGATACAAAAAAACGTATGAACTTTGGAGGTCACGGTTTAATGTACGTTGGAAAAAATCTGTTTTTCAATGAGAGTTAAATTACATGATCCAGAATCTGTTCCAAGAGAATGTACATCCCCACCACAAATCCTAAATCTCCTAGTCCTGCATTTTTTTACAAAAATCATAATAAATGTGCATAAAAATCCAAATTTCTCTAAAAACAAAAAGTTCAACAACCTAAATCAAGTTTTAAAGAGTTCACCGATGACTGTTCAAAATTCAAAATAGTGTAATCCAAGAGTTAATCATCAATAAAATATATCGACTTATATTGTTGTCTTGACATAAAACTGGTTAGAGTTTATCCAAATAAAAAGATGATCCGATCAACTCAAGTTTACATATTTGAATAATTTTATTATCCTCGTTACGTTGCCCATCACCCGACATTGGCTGTAGATTATCTTAAGAAGTGCCAGAGATACAACCTTGGCCTTATTATTTCAGTTACACAATCTTATTATGTCTTACATCACAAAAGAGCCAGCTTTACCAACTTGGTCTAGCCTTTTGACACTGTAGATGAAAGGTATGTCGAGAGGAAAGAGGAGAAGCTCACGGAGATTGTTGGGTTCAATGACTTGAGGGTCTGCGTTCCACATCAAATGTGCTACCTGAAGGTTCGCATCTTGTGTCAAATGCTTACCGTCAAAGAAGACGTACTCATTTGGATTGACACACACATTTTTGGCTGCACAACCTGTCCCCTTTAGAGGTCCGGTCCCGCAACAAGCAGCTGTTCCTGTCCCGAAAACTGCACCAAGATGAAACATTGGACCGGGCAATCGGGCATGAAACGTAGGAATGATGATTGTATTGATCATAAGGACTTACTGTAAGTGTCAGGCTCGAAAACTCTGTTCTGGATTGAGCTGAAGAAATCGTAGAACGAGTACTGGAAACTCTCCAGATCTTGTGCCAGTCTCTCTATGAGCTTCAACAGGTTCTTGTTATGTAATGCAGCCATTTCTGAAGGCAAATTCATACAGTCTTTCTCGTTTCCTGACTCTTGTTTAACCACCGGTAAGCAGCCTAACGGTGCTAAGTTTTGGAAGGCGAACTTCCTCCCTCCCGCATCGTAAATTACCTGAAAAAAGGAGAGGAGAGGGATGTAAATAAGCGAAACAAAGAACAGAGGAAACAATTGTTGATCTTCGTCTACATCATGATGTAAGATTTTACCTTGATCGAAGCCTCCATGGAAGTGATGACTTGATCCACAAAGGCTTGTTTTTGATCATCGGAGGGATTTGGGTTATCCTTGGCAAAGTTCAAGTAATCATCAGAGCCAATGTATGTCAAGTAGATAGCTTCCGATAGCGTTTTATCAGTCCATTTGTTCTTGTTTTGGGAGAATTTCATGACTTGTTGAGACAGAGTCATCTGTTAATTAAATCATTCATACGTAAACTAATGTTTTTTTTTTTTGAAGGTTATGTTTTGGATAAAAGGTTACGTTAAACTAATCGTCCTTAACCAGAAGATATATCCATATATTATCGAATTCAAATTGTACATACTATTTCAACAAAATATTTCCGAACATAACCTATAGTTCCAGATAACCTAGCTAACAGAGAAATTAGGGTTTCAAGAAAACTAAAGCTTACCGTCTCGAGAGGGGAACCGAGGACGGAGGCGTCGGCGATAGCGAAGCTAGCTCCGTGAGTGAAATCCACCGAGCTTCCTAGAATCGGTGAAATTTTTGGGATACCCAAGAATCTAGCTGCCAGAACAAAGATAATTCAAATTCATTGATTATGTTACACTAGTTAATGTTATTCACAGATTTCAAGCGATCAATATAAACATATATGATTTACCGAGATGGTCAGGAACGGTGAGGCCATCGGACCACCGTCCAGTTGCTTCTCCAATGGATATTCCATACGGAGGAGAATTGGCATCGACACTGTTCCCGGTGAGGAACTGCTTGTTGCCGGCGTCGTAGTAGCTGTCGCCAAACACGAAGAGCGTTTGAGCGAGTGAGGCGGTGGGATAGTGGAGTAGAGCTAGCGTAGTGAGTAGTAAACATGAGAGAGAGAAGAGACGCCAATTCGGATCCGCCATTGGAGAGAGCGAAGAGTGGACGCGTCTGAGAGAAGGGACCTGAGGAGTGAGGGTTAGAATTCTCGGGGAAAAAGAGTAAAGGGACAAGTTTTTTTTCGTCGGTAGTTACAAAATTGATTATTTATCTTGTTACAAATGAGAAAGGGATCAGAACATTCAATTAATTTCTGCTTACTAATCCATTATAGTTCTAGAAAGTATGTATAAACATTTATTTCTTTAAATTTTGCTCTCTATACTTCAGTCATTTTATTCTCCATTCATGCTTCCGAGTTCCGACCAGGTCACAGAAAAACCATTTCTAGGTTACTTAATTCCATCTCTTAAACACTTTTTCTTTTGCTCCTTTCACACAAATTGTCTTTATAATCACCAGACACCATAGACATTTTCTTTTCGATCCGGTGTGAACTAAACACTCTTATTCACCTATTTTTCCAACATTTTTTTTTTACCTTTTTGCATGACTCACTTCTTAGTCTTTCTCTCTATTATCTTTTACTTAAGATTTACGTATTGGAGAACCGTCGAAAAGCACTTCCATCGTTATTTCTCGAAAAACTGATATAAATACTATAATTGCATGGTTAAATACTATAATTGCATGGTTAACATAACAAATTTTAAAATTTTCAAAAGTCTTAAACCCCATGCCCAATCGTTTGAATTAAAAATTCAAGTAATTAACAATTGCAATAATTTTTGGAAAAATAAACATTAATAGCTACCATATATACTCACATGTAACAAAGTGAATAATTTCGTAACCACGAAGTTTTTTATATTCTTGAGAACAAGTTTGTGGAAGTTGTAGAACTGTTAGACCATCCTCAATGGGGGATATTAAGTTGAGATTCTTTAGAATTTTTTAATATTGATTTTGAAAAAAGAGACTTTGTCGCCAAAGATAATACAGCGAGACTTTGTTTCTCTATCTTAGCAAAAAGTTTCAACCAATCTAATTGCGCCATGTCATCGAGTCTTATGGGCTCTATCAACTCCCATTTTAGAAGCGCTTCTTCATCTGTTCAGCCGTTTTTGATTATTTTATGATCCAAAAATAATAAGAGCCCATGATAAGAATTGTTAGGAAGTGCCGTTGAGGATGGTCTTAGATATCTCTATTTAAGTATACAATGACTAATTATACATAAAATTAAACTATTAAGGTTTAAGTTGAAACACTGATGATCGACCCTTCATCTAAAAAAACTGGTTAATTAAAGAAAAAAAAAGCAGAATAGAATTCAAAAATCCTGCGTTCCAATCTTCTTATGCTAGACTTCTATGGAAATGGCCACCACACCATAAATCTACGATAAGATTTTTCCTCAAAATTGAAACCACGTGTTTTTTAAGACACAAACCAATAATCACATGGGACCCATCACCCATGGGCTTTTTGTCACAAACTTATTTACAAGGACCATTTTTTTTTGTGTGGAGGGACCTGTGGAGTTAGGGTTAGAATTCTCGGAAAAAAGAGTAAAATGGCAAGTTTTTTTTCCGTCGGTAGTTACATAATTGATATTTGACTATTTGTCTTGTTACAAATGATATATTTTAAATTTTTTCAACGAATAAATCTAATCTAATTTTAGAACCATATGTCCATATGAAAAATATAAAGAGGATTGGAAGTAGAACCATAAGTATTATTATTGTTAGTCACGAAACTATATGCTTTAAAAACCTTCGTGAAAATGACACCTTACTGCAAGAGATCCTCTTTATATTTTTCACCTTCCAGACCTTTTTTGAGGGGGTTTAAAACTCTTATGTATTTTACCGTCTTCTTTTTTTATGGAACATAAAATATTTGTATTCAAACAATAGTAATTACCATGGTGGTTTTTGGATTTTTTTTTGGTGTAGATTTTTACTTTGTACTTGTAGAGATGGTAAACCTGTTAATAATGCGTCAAGAGAGTACAACTCCTTGCTGGCAAATACATTAATTCAAAGGGAAAATTGAATTAAACGATTACCATGATAAATCTTGGAGGCGTATTTAATGTTGTATTGTATCAATCTCTCGTCTCTCGTCTTATCAAAAAAATATCTCTCGTCTCATCCTTTTCTCCTTGCTGGCACTTGTGCTCAGGTCCGGGCCTACGTTGTAGAAAAACAAACTCTCGCTTCCGGCCTTTTTTTAATTAAAAAAAGTTCAATGATTCACTAATATTTCTATATGGTAATTTAGGTCTAATTTTAGTATCTAAACGTTTTATAGATAAAAATGGTAATGCTTTTTTTAAGATAGTACTTAAGTAAAGTGGAAAGTAACCACTAAAACTAGGATAATACTCGGCCGATTGGTATCATAACTTAATCGTATATTTAAACTTTTATTGTTTATGATTTTTTTGGCTATTTTATCAATCAAAATGGAGTTTAAGAATAAAAGAAAGTTAGTTAATGATTTATAGGAAAAAAATAAAAGTATAATCATTTTCAATTAATATTTTCCCTTAGTTTTGTTTATTTCAGATAATGATGATTTTTGAAATTTTTTATTTATATGATATGAGATTATTTTTTCTTAAAATACCGCTAATGGTATACGTATCTCTAGGCACGCCTCTGCTTGTGCTTGCCTCCTCCCTCTTTATGTTCTGCTTATAGTTATATGTATGTGGTTAAGGCTCCTATGTATCCTAAATTTCTAACTATCTTTTATTTTTAATGCAAGAAAACCCTTTAACCAAAAAAAAAGGAAAAAAAAATCTCTCGTCTCATCATTATAACCACAAAAATCGTATATGCATATTAGTTACGTATGACTAAGGCAACAATGTCTTATTTTTTATCAGAGAGACATTAAACTAAATGGACCGTTTGGGGTTCTTGGTGAAAATCAAATGCACAGCGGGACCTGCAATAACTAATTTGCTGAAACGATTAGAGTTGGTACATTCGTGAAAAGAACTATCAAAACTTTATATTCTTGGATTGAAATAATTTCCTGATTGCTCATAGACAAAGATATAAATCAATAGTTTTGCTTTGGTTCAGTACTCAATATTGTTTCAAGAATCTAAATTATTAGTTTTTTTTTTATAGAAGTCATGTTTGTTTGACAGTCGCTAACTATAGTAACCAAATATTGTTCGTTTGGCAGTTGTTGAATCCAGCAATTGATCGTTGCTAGATTTTTCACCGATCAAAAGCTAAATTTCGTGATCAGTTGTGCGAATGCGAAATGAAAGACCATAAAACAAAATTCAATAAAATAAAATAAAAGTAAAAATAAACTTAAATTAAATTAGATTAAATTATATTAAATTAAACTAAATTAAATTCAATAAAATTTAAACTATTTAAATTTAAAATCTATCTACATTAAAATATAGTTAAATTAAATTAAATATTATTAAATGAAATTATATACTATAAAATATAATTTAACTAAACCTAATTAAATTAAATCTAATTGAATTTAAATAATTTAAAACAAATTTAAAATAAATTTAAAAATTAAATATTGAAATATATTTAAGATAAAAAAATATTATATTAATTATTCTTATTGATAGTATAAATGTATAAGTTATATTTTTTTAATTTTTTTAAAAAGATACATGCCAGTCGAACAGATTCCAAAACAAACAACAAAATGTCTTTGTAGCTGGTTGTTGTTGTCGCCAGAAAATACGAAACAAAAATGGCCATATGCGTTTGATACTTAGTGATCAATTTTATCATTTTTAACCCTGTGAAGAGTTTTGTTTTTTTCAACAATCAATTTTTTTTACATCTTTATCATATTTAATAATAATAAATAAAATATTAGTATTCATTTTCTGTGACAGTTTTCGCCTCTTATTTAATCCTGTAAGGAATTGATTTTATATATATATATATATTGAGAACAATACAAGTTCTTTATACTTTATAGTCTATTATTGAAAATAGTATTGGTGAGAAGTTTTAGTCTTTAGGGATATGAGATATGGTGCTAATGGAGGATTCCTAAGGCCAAAAGCCTCTTCAGCAACAGGCAATTAAATAGATACGAGTCATACGACCGTCGCGAGACACTATTGGTAATATCTCGAGCAATTAATAGATTTGCTTTAGATGACACCAGCAACAAAAAAAAAAAGTGTATAAAATAAAAGAAAATAAACAAAAAGGTGTAGATTAACTAGAGTTATGCATTGTCCTAGAGTTCCTTAAAATTTTATTTCTGGAGCACATTTTGTATTAAGATCATACTGTTCTACAATGACTCAATTTTTTTAAAAAACAATAATAATAATTGTCTTGGAACTATATGACTATGTGAATATCTTTTCTTATAATAAATATATTTTTGATTCATTATTTTTATTATGCTCACGTAAATTTCATAGCCCTGTAAAAAAATTAGTTAGTCATTAATCTTAACTTTAGTGAACTATTTTAATCAATACTAAAAGCTTTAATATCAAAATAAGGTATCCATTATTTGTGAAGTTGAATATTTTAGTGATCAATATTTAAAACTTTAGAAGAAATTGCTTATAGAAAATTCGAATTATAAGAAAAAAGTGTAATGGAAAAATAATACATAGCAAAGAAACTAAAAGAACATTGAAAGTATGTTTAGTATGAAATAAAATAGCTTAAATTTGAGATCTTCTTTCATTTAAACCGGAAGATATAGAAAGTATATACCTTAATTTCTTTCTTTTTTGGTTTAAGTAGATATATTGTTTATCGTTTTTTATTTTTGTACTATTTGTTACAAGTAAATTAGTTAGCTAACTAATGACATGAATTAGAACTTACATGTATCTTTTATTTGAAAATAAAGCATTATATATATATATATATATATATATATTAAAAGAATATAGATGATCTAGTTTTATTTTATGTAACAAAATTTAAATGTTCTCCAAACCATCTAAGTAACAATTTATACTTTGAATATATCAAGTAATATTAATATATAATTCAATAAAAGTAAAACATAATTAATATTTATGACTCTCGTAAATAAATTTTTTTGGCTCCGCCTCTATAAGACATAACCATAAAAATACTAAGATAAACCTTACCCTTATGTGAATAGAAAAATTCATGATAAATGGTAAATAGAAAATAAAGAGCAATAGAAAATAAATAAAAATTAATAAGAATATATATAATCTAAATTTGCTTAAGAACACATCACTTTATATTTAGTCTCATATAATAATAAAAATTCGGATCTAACATACATGCTACGCGAGCCTCATATTTCATAAGCGATTTAGATATCTTTTACCTTGTAGACTGTAGTTGTAAATTTTTTTATAGAAATTACATATACTCTTACCATAAAATTACTACCTTTTGCAGTATAAATAATAACCAGTGAACTATGAAGTTCACCACCCGACCAGTCTTACTCTCTCTTAACAAATAATATTGAGATGGCAGACAATTTTAATTTGGTGAGTGTTCTGGGAGTCTTATTGGTATTAACCATCTTCCATAATCCGATCATGGTCTACGCCGGCGAGGGTGTTTCCAACGTAGCGTTGTTCACTTTCGGAGACTCTTACTACGACGCCGGAAACAAAGTGTTTCTCAGCCAAAAAAAAGATCTTCCACAAATCTATTGGCCTTACGGAAAATCCCGCGACTACCCTAATGGCAAGTTTTCCGACGGCCACATCGTTCCCGATTTTATCGGTACGCTCTTTATTATTCTAAGATATCTATTGACATGTGCATATACAACAATAAATATAGATACAAGATAATTATCAAACATGGTGACTAATGACTATATATGTAGCTGATTTCATCTCTATTCCGAATGGAGTACTCCCACCGGCACTTAAACCGGGTGTTGATATTTCACGTGGAGTCAGCTTAGCCGTCGCCGATGCTTCTATTCTCGGAGCTCCAGCTGAATCTGTAAGTCCGCTTTCAATAATTTTTTTTATGTTTTAAAGAGATAGACTTTAGGGTTATAATTATAGGAGTATTAGATAAAGAAAATAATTACAAAAATCGTTATTAAAAATTGCTAAATGGTACCATTTAAAATCTGATGAAACACTACTTTTTTAGTGTACTATTATTAATAGGTTTTAGTTAAAAATTGAAAAGGAAAAGTTAAATTGATTTTACTTTCTTGTGTTTATCCAGATGACACTAAATCAACAAGTGGCTAAATTCAAAACTATGAAATCTAATTGGAACGACAGCTACATCGGGAAATCACTGTTTATGATATACATTGGTACGGAAGATTATTTGAATTTCACCAAGACCAACCCCACGGCAGACGCTTCTGCTCAACAAGCTTTTGTCACTTCCGTTACTAACCGATTAAAGAACGACATCGGTGTAAGTTGTCAACAAACCAATGTACAAGCGTTTTCGTACTTTATGTTCAATTGACTTACTATATATAACAAGTTATTTTACAGTTGTTGTACTCTTTGGGAGCGAGTAAATTCGTGGTTCAATTGCTAGCACCATTGGGATGCTTACCGATCGTGAGACAAGAATACAAAACCGGCAACGACTGTTACGAGCCGCTCAATGATTTGGCCAAACAACACAACGAAAAAATCGGTCCAATGTTAAACCAATTTGCTAAATCTAGTACTAGCCCCAATGGTTTTCAGTTCACCGTCTTCGATTTCTACAACGCCGTTCTTCGTAGGATTACGACAGGAAGAAATCTTAACTACAGTAAACAAACATAACTATTCCATTAAATAAATTGAGTGATAAGTACATATCTCTTTTTTAAAACAGTTTCTTTAATATAAATATTGTATCATCTAAAATATATGTACAGGATTGTACATAACGAATTCGTCCTGTTGCGGTGTTGGGACGCACAATGCATATGGTTGCGGAATGGGAAACGTGCACTCGAAGCTATGTGAGTACCAAAGATCTTACTTCTTCTTCGATGGACGTCACAACACAGAGAAGGTTCAGGAGCAATTGGCTCATCTTCTATATGGAGCCGACCCTAGCGTGATCCAGCCAATGACGGTCCGTGAGCTAATCGTCTACCCAACCGGAGAGATTATGCGTGAGTATTGGGAACCTAACAAGTCTTCTATTCGTCGTCGTCCATCTGGTGACCCCTACCTCGGGTTCTCGGCCTTTGAATGACTTTCGATATATACGAGCGATATGTTGTATTGATATCGCCGTACGTTACGTGGTAATTCTGTTTACCACGATCGAATAAAGTTCTTTTGCATATCTTTTGTATTCTGTTTCGTAACTTAAAAGAAAATAGAACAAAAGATATTGCAATAGTTTCTAGTTCTACAGCTTGATCACTGGCTCACTGCTTCCTCCAAACATGGTTTATATATCTAGGTGACTAAGAGAGTGTAGATACTAGATACTGTACTTATAAAGAAACATACCTCACTCGCTGATTTAACCTTTTTTACTCTCATCAAGCAATTCCAATTGATAGACCATCTTAAGATACAACTACTTTCATCCACTTTTATTTTGCATGTTTTAATTTTTTCTTCATAACTCTTCTGTTTTAAACAAACATTTGGCCGCCCTGTAATAAAAGCCTCCTATTATAAGTTAATAAAATTTCACTGCTCCTATTATAAATTAATAAAAACCTCTTAAGTGACTTCGATAAATTAATACTGTTCCAACATTATTTATTCATAGAAGTTCTACGGTAGGTGTAAAGAACATGAAAGGGAACAAATATTTTAAAAATATACCAATACAAATTCCTTGCATGAATTGTAAACTACATTATTTCAGAGGGACCATGGAATTATTGGATAACAATCAATCTATTTTGTATTATAAATGTATCCAAAATATTTCTTTCGTTCTTTTTTTATTGTAATTTATATAAATGTATCAATTGAATACCTTATGACACCATATATGTCATATATGGAAAATTTAGTTACATATATGCCACTAACATCGATGTCTTGTAGGTATCAAAGATAGTATACTGACAAGAAGCGTTTGGGAGAAAAGTTAAATGCACAAGGGGGACCGTTAATTTTTTTTTTTTTTTCACGGAAGTGTGTGAAACTTTTTAAACAGTGCGTGTATCTTTGACTTTTATTGCAAAGCCACCTCTCGCATGGAAGACAAGACAAGGGGTGTGTTTAATTAGGGCTGAACGAACAAATTGGTACAAGGCAACCGCAATCAGTATACGCAGTGAAACTTTGCCCCAAACAGAGATAAAGACAAAATCTAGCAAGAAACCCTAAAACGCATATGCTCGCCATACATAAGATAAAGACAGGCCGATCGCTCTGCACGAGAACTTTGACTAGCACTTTCATGAAAACAGAGCATGAATTTATATGGCTGTTATGAAATTCTGTTTTTTTTTTTTTAACTTAACAAACGATTGGTTCTTCTAGAAAATTTAATGACCGAAGTTATTCGTTAGATAGAACAGAAGATTTTATCTTACGGTATTGGAATGATGATAAGAATCTTATATAGTAGTAGGCTACAGTAGTGCTGATTCTATACATGCCACTTGACCCTCTTATATCTGAGATGCGTTATAGATTTTTTTTTCATCCAAATCTTCCGGATACATAGAAATTTTATTTTGTTATCAAAATAATTCTTATTTTTTTCCTTTTACCTTCACATCGTCAGCGTCACAATTGGATCTTATCTTATCTACACATTCAAGATGTGATTGGTGGTTTTAGAATAAATATCGTTGGAATAAAATAGAGTAACTGAGCTGAAACATAAACATAAAATTGAGGGTAAAAATTTACTCCACTATTTTTATATATGAAATTTTTTTCAGCTTTTAAAGTAAAAATAGAGGAAAAAGATAAAATAAAATCTGCCTATATTTCTGCAGACTAAGCTTCGAAAACTATATATTTATGCAATACATAATGTTCAATCATTGTATTCTTTTTGGGTTAAATGTATCAATCAATTTTGCTTTTCACAATCAATCAAAGTAAATTATTTAGTTAGATATGATTATCGTATCAATGTCTTGTATTGATCAAAGATAGATAGTAAATTGAAAGTGATTTTAATGCACAATAGGACCTCCAATTACTGATATCCCATGTACAAGCACATTCACGTATGTGACACTATCGAAAAAGTGCATCTTTGACTTTTTTTCCTTAGCCTCCTCTCGGCTTTCGCACGGAAGATATTCCGTATTTGGGACTGAGTTTAGGCCCAATATTTCGAAAAGTTAACAAAAAAAAAAAAAAAAATTGAGTTTAGGCCCAAAATTTCGACACTATAGTTGTTTATGTTTCGAAATGATGGTTTAATAGTATAGTTCTTTAATTATTTGCAATGTTGAAACAATGAATATATTCAATTTTTATAGTCGAGATGAGATTGATCGATCAATTAATTAAAAGCATGCTCCATGTTCCCACCTCGGTAACCAAAACTAATATTTATTGTTCTGTCGAGCTCGTATTAATTCTGGATCTGAATATCTCATCACATTCTGGAGTATGATTTATCTAAAAACAGACGTATTTAAATCCTTCGGTTTTAGTTCCGGTTTTTATTTGGTTTACTATTAACTAAATAACAAATAATCAAACCGAATTAATTTCGGTTTGGTTTGGTATAGCACATAACACTCACTACACAAGCATAAAAAGTTCAAACACAGACAGAGTAGAAGACAAAACAAGAAAGACTTCAAGCTAAAAACCTTTCTAAAAATGGCAAAGAACCGTAACTTAGTCTTCTTCTTAGGGCTATTAGCGTCTTTTACACTCGCCAGTTTCCCGGTGAACGTTTCCGGCGAACCCCCTCTCTTATTCACTTTCGGCGACTCTTCCTACGATGTGGGCAACACGAAGTTCTTCTCGTCGGAGTTCGATCCGGCCACCACGTGGCCTTACGGCGACTCCATCGATAATCCAACCGGTCGTTGGTCTGACGGATACATTGTCCCAGATTTCGTCGGTATAATGAAAAGTCTTAAACTTTCTTTTAGGGTTCTTGTAATTGATTCCGATTTCATTGCAATTAGGTCGATTGATTGGTCAACGTGAACCGATTCCTCCGGTACTTGACCCAAAAGCCGATCTTTCTCGTGGAGCAAGCTTTGCCATTGCTGGAGCAGTTGTTCTTGGATCTCAATCTGCGACTGTATCCGTAAGCATTTGTTTCGTCATTGTTTGATAAAAAGGCTTTGTCAGATTTTTTTTATATATCTATGAGTTCAATGTTGTTGGATTCGCAGATGAATTTTGGACAACAGATATCGAAGTTTTTAGCGTTACATAAGAGATGGACTGATAAAGAACGAGCAGAAGCTATATACATGGTTAACATTGGAGCTGATGATTACTTGAATTTCGCAAAGGCTCATCCAAATGCCAATACTGTGGAGCAGATTACTCAAGTTGCCTATGTTCTCCAAAGGATATCAAGAGAGCTCATGGTATATTTTTACTTATTTACAAGTCTCTTTACTTGATGGATCCAACTAGGAAATGTTGTTTTGAATACAGTCGTTTGGTAGCCTTTACAAGTTTGTTCTTAGTAGGAATTTGTTTTGGATATATGCAGAGTATACAGGGCAGGTGGGGCGAGGAAGTTTGCGGTACAGAATTTAGGGCCGCTTGGTTGCTTACCGATAGCGAGACAAGAGTTTAAGACAGGTGAAAAGTGTATGGAGATGCTTAACTTCATGGCGAAAACACACAATGAAAGGCTTAGTGGTGTGCTCTTTTCGATGACTGTACCGTTACTGTACCGTGGCTTCCGGTACAGCCTCTTTGATTTCAACGGTGAAATTCTCCGGAGGATCAATGAACCATCACTCCACGGTAGTTAAATTATAGAAAGGAAAAAGAACTCTTTTTTAACATTTGGATTCGGTTGTTTTAGTTATTGTTCATGTTTATGGTGGTTAGGATATACTGATACAACGACTTCTTGCTGTGGAACTGGATCGAGAAATGCATACGGGTGCGGTTATAGCAACGTGCATGCGAAGCTCTGCAGCTACCAGAAATCATTTCTGTTCTTCGACGGGCGTCACACCACCGAGAAAACAGATGAAGAAATCGCCAATCTGTTTTATTCCGGAGACAAACATGTCGTCTCTCCGGTGAATATAAAGGATCTCGTAGGTAAATCGGTGAACGATCTTCTTGCGCAAGAAATCTAGAAACCCCAATCCTGTTCTGTTTCTTTGAAATAAGTAAATGGTTGTTGTTATAAACTGTAAAACTCGTATTCCATTTCATATCTATATGAGGATAAACAAAAAATAAACCGTTTACATTGCAAAAGCCAGCCTAGAGTCTGAACAATGTTTTAAGATTGTAAGGTGCAGTGACATTAGGCGGTCCGCTCCAAATAAGCTCTGCGATCTGTTGATGAGCCTTTTCCGTCAAATGAGAGGGATCAAAAAAGACGTAATCATCAGCATTTTCGCATAGCTCGTAACCTTGTGATGGTCCATTTCGGAACCCACATGTATTGATTCCCCTCAACGGCCCACTCCCGCAACATGCCTTCTTCCCTTCCTTGAAACCGTATCGAGAAGGATTGTTGATTCTTTGGGATAAAGAAGTGTGAAAGTCGTGAAGAGCATATTTGAATCCGGATAACCGGCGCTCTAGACGCCTCAAGACTTTTGGGAATTCTTGGTTATGGAGATTGATCAGCTCTGTTACCGGCTCGAAACAAGTTCCTATCTTTGTCCGGTCTATTATCAATGCGCTTGGTGTACAACCAAATGGACCCAAGCTCAAGAATCCAAATTTCCTTGCTCCCAATTTATACAATTCCTGAAAAAAAGATTTCACATTTTTATTCATAATCAAAGATTCCATTCCTCTCTGTTTTTATCACAGAGTTATAAAACCAGTTACTTACCTCGATGACGGTCGTTGTGTTACCGATGACGAAATCGATGAATCTTTCTTTGGTAGTGTTACTAAAAGTTGAGGTATTTGCAAAGAATGGGTATTGATAGTCATTTGCTCCGATGTGAAAAAGATAAACAGCTTTCGAGATTACTCTTCTCGCCTCTGCGTCTCCTAAATTAGTTCTCAACGTTTTCTCCACGTTCTTGAAGTTGTTTAACTGTGTTCCCAAGTCTTTCGACTTTGATGAAACCAAAAAAAAGAATTTTAAACATTTCAATGATTTCAGTCAAACAAGATTTTTTTTGTCTTTTTGGATATGTCAAATAGAATAATTACCGATCCGGGAAAAGTTCCGGCGAAAACTCCGGCGGCTGTAGTAGCGAAATTAAGTCCGTAGGTTAATTGACTGTTACTGTAACCAGGTTGTAGATTTGGCGGGATCAACGGTAACCATGCGTGCTCAGCTGCCACGTCAGATTATAATCAGTTAAAAAAAAGTAAAAAAAAAAAAAAAAGGAACTCATGTATCAAATTGATGATTTACCAATAAAATCTATCATTATTCGTCCATCCGAAACCCGTCCCGTTGGAAACTTGAACGTTGTTTTGCCATATGGCCAGAAATTCGATCGGAAACTTGAGACAGAGTCGAAGTAATTATTGTTTCCGGCTTCAAACAGTGAATCTCCAAAAACGAACAAGGCGGCTTGGTTCGTTATAAGATCTTCTTTGCAAGAAATTGAGCCGATCCATAAGCTTATTGTGCAAATGAATAAGATGATGATGATCGAATTCAATCTAGAACTTGCCATGTTTAGTTGTTGCCACTCTCTTTTTCTTCCTATACAAAACTATTTGCGTTCCGTTTTATATACATGTAGGTGTTTAATTTATTTAGTATTTTTAGTTTAAACATGTAGCGTGGTCAAGTTGTACGACTTTGAATATACAAATTTCATTACGGATTATTTTTGTATTACGGCTGCGGAGTTTGACGAAGACAACGTCAATAATCGATAGTAGAACAAGAATCTTCTAATGGCCCATTTATTTCGATAGACATTTATATTGTTTAGTTTTAGTTTTTTGACTTCCAATATTTTCTTATCTCATCTTGAAATTTGACCAGGAAAATATATCTGATCTTTGAAAAAACCAAAAGTATATTCAAATTGTTGAAGAAAGTTTACATCAAAAAGCACCGGTTAGGTTGGATTTGTCAAGTATAATTGGAAAAGTACTCAACCTTGGTTACATATAAGAAGAATATGAATTATGAGTGGGCTTTAATTATCCACGACATGCACTTGAAGAGATTTCTAAGCAAAAAATATTTAGCTCAAATGAGGTTAATAACATACATATAAAGATATGAAATTAGATAGCTCATATATAATAAGTAAAATATAGTACTTACTTTTAGAGCAAGTGGTTCGTTGGAGGAGAAAGATGATAACCCAAACGGCTGGGCTGGTGTTAGGGACTATATGTAAATATATAATAATATCTAGTCAATATGTTAATATCTCTAAAGTATGGTAGTTAGGGTTTCTCATATGATGTATATATACTTATGCCGTGAGATGAATAAGATAAACACATATTCTCTTAACCCCCTTTGACAGCTGGCTCCCATGAAATAGCTAAGACAAAAACTTTGATTGCAAATATGTAATCCTTCTGAACGACTAAATAAGCATACACCTTTTTTTCTTTCTAAATTACCCAATCCAACACATACGAGATTAGTGGGTATTACTCACTAGGTTCATCATAGTGATCATATTTTGGTCAAGAATCACTCTGAGTGATCTTTAATTTAATTTTTTTTTTAAAGAAATAAAATATCTCAACAACAAACTAAAATGTTTGAGAATCAGTCGCAGTCTCGTTGATTGAACATTGAACCTTTCCTCTACACAGCCCTACCTAAGCCCTAGTGTCCTACAGAATCATTTGGATGCTTTCTAAATTTTTTTGTAAGCAATGTGGCCATGTGGGTGTATTATTATTTTTGTATTTTCATCAAATGGTTCACGAGAAAGTTTACAGGAAAAAACTCAATTCTGTCTCATTTTTCCTTATTACCAGGCACGTTCTTTGTCCGGTTCGGTCTTGTTTCCTAAAGTTTTTATAATCGCTATTGTTTTCGAGGTGTACAAAGAATCTTTCTCTTTGCTTTAAAAGTGAAAGTTGTTGGATTATTCACAAAGCTAATGAATAAATAAATAAAGCAATTCTCAATATCAACCAAGCAAAGTTCTATTAAGTTTGGAAGAGAAGATTCATAGAACAGACAGAGAGGTTCCAAAGAGATTTTATTATAATGTTAAACAAGTTTGGGGGTACAAAACAAAACACTTTAGAGGGTGATGATACGCTATAACAAAAGATCAAAAAGATAGCTTAGAAGATTAAATAAACTCTCTTTTAAATAGAAAGAAAAACAAAAATGAAGGAAACAAGATTCATTAGATAGAATATTACACCTCTATTTACTTCATCAAACCTTTTTATTTCAACAAAATTAAAAGAGAGACTCTCTATGGAAGAGAGGCTCATAAGAAACCAATGCAACGAGCTTCAGGTGTGACTTGTACCATCCCCCAACAGCAGAATCCTGTAGACAACCAAAAAAAAAAACAAGATAGAAGATTAGGTACCAACACTTAGGTTGTTTGTCTTCAGGATTCAACAAGAAGAGCTCGTAACTCACCAACACACAGCTTTATTTACAAAGTAAGGAACCATCGATCACACTTCAAAAGTCTCCTTCCAGCATGAAATTGATCTCATCTAAGCTCCATACGTCCATTGGGTTTTCCACTTCCTGAGTCACAGCACCAGCATCTGCGCCAAGCATGGCTTCCACTTCTAGTGGAGTGTCCCATAAGGCGTTGTCAAGGTATGCCATCAGATCGTCTGAATCATCAGAGTTGGGTTTGAGCTTCTTTGCTGCATTGGTTTCTTCAACGAATGGTGCTTGGTTGTTATTGACAAGCATTGAAGAGATCTCAGGTGTTTTGGGGCCGTGATCACTCCACCCGAACTCAGAGCAGTCGAATGAGTTACTTCCCTGATCGGAACTGAAATACTGGAATCCATTATTACCATCAGCATCAAACGAGTTTGTTAACCCAAACTGATTGTTGTACATCTGAGGCTTCTCTTCCATGAAACTCATATCACCAAATGAGTCATTTCCCATGTTATCAAAGGAGTTGTTGCAGTACCGCTGACTCAGATGTGTTGGCTGCTGAACCAAAGTCACACTTTTGTTTGGTTTAGCCATTGGTTTCTGAAGATTATTGATCTTAGCAGTAGGACGTTTCTGGGAGACGGAAGGGTTCTTCTCCTCTGGGAAATTCACCTTAGCTTTCGTGCCTCGGATTCTGCGTGCTGCTGCATCATAAGCTCTTGCTGCTTCCTCAGCAGTGTCGAATGTTCCAAGCCATTCTCGGGAGCCTTTTCTCGGATCACGGATCTCAGCAGCCCATTTGCCCCAAGGGCGCTGCCTAATTCCTCGGTATTGATTCTTCCTCTTCCTCGTAGAAGATTTCTCAGCTTGCCCATCGGACTCTACAGTTTTCTTGGCAGATGCTGATCCTACTGTAGCCAAAACACACAACATCAATCATTAGCTGGATTAAAACGTCAGAGACTCATACCAGACATTTTCTCCCACAAAACACAAAACTTTGCCAAATATCCCAAAGAATTTAGACATAAATCACAGTCAAATATATACATAAACAAAACTGCATCTCTTCAGGAGCTATGGGGATCTGGACATTTGACAACTCCAAAACCCCAAAACTGGTAAATAATCAACATATAGACAGCAGATGGTAACAAAACCAGTGAGATCAACCAATTCCAAAGACTTGAAACAATAATTAAAGCAACAAACTAAGAAAAGCCTCTGAAAACCAAGATCCAAAAGATCTAAATATTTCAATAACTTTCAAATAAACATACATATAAAATAAAATAAAAAGTCAAATAAGCCCTTACAAATTCTCAATATTTCTAGACTTAACACGACAATGGTGGTTTATCTCTAATCTCTTATTCCTTTCCCCAGAAAACCTTGAAAAGTTATAAAGGTCTCTACTTTTTAGCTAGAATATTTTCTGATGATCAATAACCATCGGACATGAACATCATAACTAAGATCCATAAACCCATTTCAAAGAGCAACAAAACCCAACTCAAATAAAGTTGAGATTCGAATCAAACCCAAATATATACCAGTGGATGCGAAAGCGGGGACAGATGAAGCTACGGGTTTAGTAGTTGCGGTGAAGACAAAAGGCTTCACATTGACGAAGACATCATCATCGAGATCGTCTTCGCAGTCAAAAGCCGAGTCATCCTTAAACCCTCGGAAATCAGCTTCGAATTCATCGTCCAGATCGAAGAAATCGGGTCGCTTATTCGATCGCTTCTTCGAAGATTTCCCTTTGTTTTTCAGATCCGGCCATATAAACTCGCTAGTGACGCGGAGGGACCTCGGCGGCGGTATGAAATCGGAGATTATAGCTCCTCCACACATGGTTGCTTCACGAAAGCTCTACTCTTTTTAGGGGTGTAAATGATCAGAAATAGAATCTTCGGGACGGAATAATAAATATTCGCTTCTTTAGGGGTCTCTTTTTTTAATTTCTATTCTCTCTCTTTCTTTCTCGCTGTTTACTCTCCAGAAAGATTGAGAAAGGGTGCGTCGTATATTATATAGATTTGATTCTTTACTATTCTGCCCTTACTTGTGACTCGTAATGGCTGTTATATGTTTAAGCCTTTAAAGGTGATTTGTCATGGTTTAGGTGGCTCAATATAATTTTACAATTTAGTGCTTATTATATATGAAAAATGCTATAATTGGTGTAGATTTTATTGATGTTATCACCATATATGGAAGATAATCATGACTAACACTAACAACAAATAAAATATGTAATTTTTATATGAGCCCTCATGTGTATATAAAGCATATGTTTAATTATTTTTATTTTTTTTTATGTTTAAATGTTGATTTTCTCGATTTTTGTCTATTTTTAGTAAAAGATATTAGTTTTACATCTATGATATTATTTTGAATCAATAAGTATTTTTTGGTTACGTTGTGAATGTGATACTTATCAAGAGATTTTAACAAATTAGAAATTATAATCTCTACAATAAGCATGCATGATTATTTCATATGGATGATGCATCATATCAGACTTTTTTTTAAAATGCACCTATGTTCTCACCATACATATATACTGAAAAGCTATGTTTTGGTGTATTGATTAAATAGTTATAGAGTGGAAGTTTTATCATTTTAAATATTTATGTAATAATATGGTTCTACAAACAATAAGTTAATAGACGGTAAGTTGTATCCCAAATTCCCAATGTTGTCATATTTGGATGTCCTTAAGAAATGTCAAAAGTAATTTCTGAACTTTTCTAAATGGACGCTTTTTGAACATTAAACACGAACAGTCTAAAGTTATAACTACTTATTCTTTGTGATTCGTTTTTGCATGGTTTATATGATCTGAAGTCCAATACTATCGTCTGTTGTAAACCTTTTAATGTGTGTAACAGGGAAGATTTATATAAAAGTTAGTACATACATACTTTATATGAAAGAACAAAAATGTAAGGAAAAACGAAGAAAAATTGATACACTTCTTTAGCCATTACTCATTCGCAATATAGCTTATATATATAGATGCTTCTAGCTAGCTAGAGATATAAGAGAATTATTATTTAATTAAATCCAACATAATTGCCAACTTTCAAGTAATTAGTAAACAAATCAATCATAATTGTTAGAATCGACGAGATTTGTTGAGATTTCAAAATAAGTGAACCCCATCCCTAGAGATATTATCATGGAGTGGCAAAATTGGAAATACCAAAAATGAGCTCATCTATGGGTGTGTTTGTGTTACACGAAGTATCTTGTATCTTGAGACTTGGAAAAGAGATAAAAGAAACACAAGTTGAGCAAGTGGACTTACTACAAGGCTCTGCCTTGTCCGAGTCCCACCATGTACGTACCACATACACTACTTGAAGTTGATGCACATCTTCAAAATTTAAAATCAATTGCTGCACATCTTCAAAAATCAAAATTTAAAATCAATTGCGTATTAATTCTCCTAAATGAAAATTTCCTGTGTATAACATGTTTGAGAAAATAAATTACCCTTAAATCTTCACTGTTTTTCGAAATTATATTCTGGAGAACCGAAGATGGATAGTGATATAGTATCATAGTATTAGTAAAGACCAATCAAAAATAAATAGACACTCAAAACAAGTTTTTGGTAGATTGAATTTCACTCGACTATATTCAAAAGATAAAATAATACCGAAATAATATCTCAATGATTCAATGTATATTATACAAAAAAAAAAAAAAAAACCGAAATAATATCCTAAAAAATAAGTCAAAGGATAAAATAATACCGAAATAATATCCCAATGATTCAATGTATATTATACAAAAAAAAAGATAAAATAATACCGAAATAATATCCCAAAAAATAAGTAGAGAAGATAAAGTTAAGAATGCAAAAGGAGGTAGGACCTTTATCTTTTGGTACGATTGAGACAAAGCTCTAATAATATCTGATCTCAAAAAACTGAAGATGATGTAAGTTTTGAAAACTACCCATCCTTTTTTTTTTTTTGTCATCTAGAAATTTTTGAATTAAACTTGTTGTGGAACCATACAATACATCGAAAATCCAATAGAGGGAAGCTAGGCCGACGGACAAATAGAAGTCCCCGGAGTCATAAGCCGGAGGAAGACGAGAATTCTCCGGAAACTAAAGCGATACCAAGAGATGTAAGTTTTGAAAGCTACCCATCCATATCCTGCAAATTTTTTTGTTTTCGTTATTTATTAAAGGGTTTTATTAAATGAGCTATACGTAGTTCTCAAAATTCAAATAACGAAATTATTTAGAAAAAGGAATAAAATGAGCACTTCTATTATTACTATATCTTATATATGCTTGAAAGGTAATGAAATTATTTTGATCTTTTTTGACTGGTAGTAGGTGATCTGCATCTAATTTTAGATGACTGTAAAATCTAGAAAGCTTCCAATCGAATATTTCAATCTCTCAAATCTAAGGCTTTATTTAACTCATAATCTGGTTGTCTGCCACTACTACCAGTAAACTACACACCTGCACTACACGTATCTTCTATTTTAATAGGCTCTAATCGAATCATCATTTTTTAATCCTATTTTATATTCCTATGTCTAATATATCATCTATTTTATGGGCATAAAATATTAGAGGGAACCATCATTTTGACTTTGGCTTATCCGGAAAATTGGATGATATATAACAAACTAAAATAAAATCAACATCACCACTATCATTATTTTTTCTTGTCTAAATATAAGTATTTTCGGTTGTATATATGCAAAAATTTTCTTGTTCTTTATAGTTTTTGACACAGTTTTTTTATTTCAATTTTTAAAAAGTCATATAAACTTTTTAAAATTATAACGAATTAAGTTTAATAGTCGATGAATCTCACATATAAATAAGAACAAAATTGAAAATCATCATATCTTTTTCTTTTCTACATTTACCAACTCATCTAGAAAAAGATAAGTTGAAGTGCATATATGTGGTGGGCTTGGAGCTTTAAGCTTTACAAGCCTCACTAAAAGCCCACATCACAAGTGAAAGACATTCTTCGGCTAATTCTACAAAAATGGGACGTTCTTTAGACGTTGTATCTTAACAACAAAAGATACATATTTATATTACACAAACACCCAACAAAGATCATAGACGACGACAACAACAACTTATGATCTTTCTTTTTCACTTATACAAACAGAGACCAGAATTTTCCCGGTCACCAAATCCTAAAACCCTTCACAGAGGTTGTTGAAGAGTAACCACCAAGGGACTTGTCACATTTCGTTTCCCGTCTGACCAAACTATATGACCAGTCTGCACATTTGTCGCTCCGGGTGACAGCTTCACCTCTGTGGTCTTAACCCTAACAACAAAACTCAGTTTCTGCCCCACCCGTCTAAACGATAGCTTCTCCGGCTCAACAGTCACCGTAGTCCCTCTCGGCGGCCTAATCTTAATCTCGTAGACTGAATCAGAATCGCCTACATTTGTCACCGTTCTGATGAAATGTGTCGACATTTTACTCTCTCCATACTGCTGAAACACGACAGAGAACGACGGGTAGTTCAAATTCCCTACGTGTCCCGCTCGTCTCGCACCGTCGCAGTCCGCTTGGCGACGGGTTATTGTCACAATGTTGGTTCCAGTGTAGTTAGAATTACACAAGAAGTTGATATAATCATAAGGTGTTATATCGTAGACTAGTCCCGGATCCATAGCTTTGGTTGGGTGAACATGACCCGAACCATAATCCATAACCGAAGATGTATTGCCAGTGGACTCATCCATCATTGGATCACCGCGGTTATCGACCCTGTAAGCCGTAGTCATCAAGGCTGATCTTATTGCCGCCGGACTCCAATCCGGATGAGCCGCCTTGAGCAGAGCAGCGAGACCAGACACGTGAGGGCACGCCATCGAAGTGCCGGATAAAATGTTGAACTCAGTTCTCCGATTATCAGAAGAAACACCAGATGGCCCAATCCGGTCAGGCCAAGCAGCTAAAATGTTCAAACCAGGTGCGATTACATCCGGTTTAAGAATCTCCGGCGTCTCTGGATTAGGCCCACGAGCAGAGAAAGATGCCACAACCGGTGCTGGTCGGATCCCAAGTCGAGTCCCTTTGAAAACAATCGTAGCCGTTGGATGTTTCGATGAACGAGATTTGGATGATTCAGAGATATACCTTCGAATCTCATCTCCTCCAGAAGCACCAACCGATGTCGCCGGTAACACGTGGCAATCAGCGACTAAACCCTCTCCGTCGAACACACCATTCGCTATAATCATCCCCAAGCCTCCATTTTTCCGTACGATTTCACCTTTGGTTGCTCTAGAATTGATTCCTCTGTCACAAAGAACGATTTTTCCCTTAACCAAATTCGGATCCAACGAGCCTTCAAGACACAGAGACGAAGAGTAACCATCGCCGCCGAGTAAACTGCCACCGTAAACAAGCGGGTACATTCGACCCGGATCCAGACCCGGTCCACCGTATACACTAACACCAGAAATCATCTTCCCATTACCGAGTTTCACATTGGCCGGAAAATCCCTATCGATTGTTCCAGCTCCGACTGTTGTCATCCACGGAGCAACATTCGTCACCGTTAAAGCACCGGGACCTCCGTTTCCGGCCGAAGCAGAGACGAATATTCCTCTGTCAATAGCTCCGAAAGCTCCAATGGCGATAGCGTCGAGGTAATAAGGAACCACGACGCCTCCAACGGAAAGAGAGATGACATCGACACCGTCGGCGACGGCGGTGTCAAAAGCGGCTAGGATATCGGAGTCGTAACAACCGGAGTTCCAACAGACTTTGTAAGCGGCGAGTCTAGCTTTCGGAGCCATCCCAGCAGCGACGCCGCGAGCGTAGCCGAGAGTTGACGCCGGAAAAACGTAACGGCCGGCGGAGATTGAAGCTGTGTGAGTCCCATGTCCATCGGAGTCACGCGGAGAACGAAACTCCGTCGTTTCATTCATTTTCCCGTTGGTTGCTTCATAACCACCGCAGAAGAATCTAGCTCCGACGAGTTTACGGTTACAAGCCGACTCCGGAAAATCTTGAGAAGCGATACATTGGCCTTTCCATTTAAGGGGAACAGGACCAAGACCACGGTCATCAAAGCTAGGTCTTTCAGGCCAAATACCAGTATCGATAACTCCGATAACAAGATCCGACCCGAAATCAGATTCTTCAAGTAGACCCGCTTTGTCGGTGGACCTAAGACCAAGAAACTCAGGGGAACGAGTGGTGTGCAAGTGACGGACTTGCTCGGGTATAACAGAGATGACATGAGGATGGTCTAAGAGGTGACTAGCGTCTTGAGAAGTGAGTCTAGCGGAGAAGCCATGGAAAACGGTGTCGTATGTGTGGATAATGGAGGGAGTAGAAGATGTGAGTGAGGCAAGAGAGGAAGTGTACCAGTGACGGTGAGTGGGGAAGATTGAAGGTTTAGCTTCATGGTCGACGTGGACGATGTAAGTCAAGGAGTTTGAAGAGGAAGAAGAAGAAGAAGGAGAAGAAAGAGTCAAGAGGAAGAAAAAGTAGAAGAAGAAGAAAGCCATTGACAGAGAAAGTTAGGTTTTTTATTGGTTATTGATTCTAGATTTGGTTAGTGAGTGGAAGAAGAAGAAGAAGAAGAAGGTAGAGGGTACCACATTGACATTGCTACAGAAGCGGAGAAAGAGAGGAGAGAACTGTGGTTACCCTAGTGTGTACAGAGGAAGCAGAAGAAGTTGTGTTTTTGTGAGCTGGAGGCACTGTCTTTTTTTCTTTGCTTTGTTTGTTAATTACGTAAATACCCCTATATACTTTTCTAAATTATTGTGATAGTGTTGGAAACTTGAAATAGTACTTAGATTAGATGGGATTTGTTTTCTCACATAGCTATCATCCATTAGAATTAAATTGAATGAACACGCAGAGGAAAGATAAAAACATTTATATTCGAATGCAGTTATGTTTCAGGTGGCAGATTTTTATGTTTCGTTCACGGGAATTTTTAATTTTCTATATGCATTGCATTGATGGGATATTTGTCGTCCCTTATTATTATTGATACCATGTTTTGATTCCATCTTTGTTTAGCTTCAGACAAAAGTTAGGATTTCACGTTGTTTGGATTTGGTAAAGCTAAGTCTAAACTGATGGATGTCATGTGGGTCCTTTTGCTTGTTCGACATGTGTTTGAGTCGCTCGTGTAGAATCTTATGATAACTTAAGTTTTATTAATCAAAATAAGGATAAGGTTTTATGATAATTTTGTCCAATGTTGATTAGGAGTTAGACAGATGTAAAATGTTTTGACCAAATTAACATTTTTGTGTGGATTAAATTGACCTAACTAATCTTGCTATGATGAAAAGAAAGTATTAGTTTATATATTAAAAGGAAGAACTAAAAGCAAATATTGGACCTTTGAAAGCATAATAAATACGAGTTACGATGTGTCCATGTTCCAAGGAAAATCCACCTGAGTAGGTCGATGTTTATTGTATTATTGAGCCATTGTTGTTTTACCTTATTGTAATGCATTTTAATAAACCTAGAGCCCAAAGCAGTGTGAAGTGTTCACATGTTTTTGTTCTTTTCTGCTATCTTTTTTTTTACAAGAAAATAACCATCTATAAGAATTTAAAAAGACTATAATAAAACGAAACTATAGTGTACCCCATTCAACTGTATTGGCGGGTAATACGGACAATAAGTAGGTCCAGATTATTATTTATTTTTGCAGAATTATTCAAGCATATTTCCTGCAGTTCATTGAAATTTTACATTTACCATCCATTTTTATGTATTTATTATCTTCGTTTCCACCAATTATTGACTATGGAGGAAGTCTAGTAATGAGTAGAGAAGCATAGAATGGAGCTTTTCTCTAATCACTCTTCTTTTTCGCTTTTGCTTTTAGTTTTGAAACAAAGTCGAACCATACCAACGACTTTTGAAATCATAATTTTTATTTTATTTTCCGTATACATTTTACTTCCATTTCATTGGAAGAATATCTCGAGAGATTAAAATTGTAAATACTGTAATGGGCTTATCGGGCTTCAATAAACTCATGGGCCTCCAGTTTCTCATGGACATATATTGCAAATAACTGTCTTATGATTCATACGCCAATAACATAAGGTTGGGTAAAAACAAAACAAAAAGAAGAAAACATTCTTAAAACATAAACTAATCAAATAACGCATCGATTGGCCTTTAGTAACGGATTTGGCATGCGTGAGAAGAAGCCCACACAGATCCACAACCATAGCAAAACTGATATCCACACCTACGAATTCACAGAAAACAAAACAAAAACGAATATTAGTAACACCTACTACAAAGTAAAAGATTTGTTATGATTAAAAAACACAAACCTGCAATTTATATGTTGACAACCCTCAACTTTATCAACATAGAATTTGCAACTAGGACACCTTCTCCACTGCTTATTTTTCGCCATCTGGATCAACAAAGCATCTTCGTCATCACTACTCTTCTTCTTCGTATTCCCAAATCTCTGGAACTCATCACACCCAATCCCCGCATGCCACGTCACCTTACACTGCACACAGAAGAGTCGGTGACAAGACGGACACTCCGTCTGCGTCACGTTTGCATTACCACCTTCATCGTTCACCATCATTGCCGAACAGTCTTTGAACGGACAGTAGAATTTGTCCCACGAGGAGATCAAAGACTCGCACAAGATTTTCTCCCAACGGTCGAACACGTCCTTAGGAATTAGATCTCGACACGTGTATGGCTCTATCAGGTGCGTGCACTCCACGTCAGGGCATTTGATCCTCGCTGCATTTTCTTTGATCTTAGTCGCCACGTAACGGACAGTGCAGTCGGTGCAATAAGAGTGAGTGCAGCTAGTGGTTCCTCGGAAGATGTCGGAGGAAGGTTTTTCGTCCATACAGATCCTACAAAACCTTCTTGATGGTTCGGTGGGTTCATTCTCGGTTTTTATCTCCGGTTCCTGCTTAACCCGCGTGACGAGATTCCTTTGGACTTGGGGATGATGATTAACACCACCAGTAGAAGCGACAATGGAAGAAAACAGAGCTTCTTGGAGATGGAGCTCCGTAGCGTAGTTTTCGTCGGAGATTGGGAAAACTTCATCGTAATCGAATAAAGCAGAGAAGTAGGTTTCATCTACCAACACATCGGTTTCCACCTTTGTGCTTGACGATGATGATGATGAACCATCATTCATCATAAAGTCTTGTTCTGTGTGTTTAGTTCCTATGTCTCATAGGTGCATTCACGTTAAATACTGGCGTCGGATGTTGAATTCGAAGGGTCTTCTTAATTAACTGCATAGGATTAATTAGTTGTCAATGAAGGTAGCATTGGAATCTGAAATGTTAAGCAATTGAATCGTAGTCAAATGCCTTTTCGTTTTCGAGCTCTTTGGCTTCCACCTAACGTTGCTAAACGATGCCGTGTCGACTTGCTGCACCCAAGTTGTTTTGCGACCTAGACAATGTTATTTGCCATGTTTATATATGCCTCTCATGTTTTCTCTCTAGTTTCTACTACGAAATATTTTGATTGCAGACTTCCATTGTAAACTTGCAATTTATCTGTTAATCCGACTATCCGAGCAAAACCAATCTAAAACCAAATTGATATTATTCATCTTTTTAAAACAGAAATACAGATTCAACACTCTTAAAATTGATCTTATACTTCCAAATCAAGATTGTATAAGAATGACAAAGAAAAAATCGAAAATATTATTAGTTTTTGTATAGATGAGATAAGATTAAATCAGACTTTAGATCACATAACTTTTAGTTTGTCCAATAAGTTGCTAGTAATAAAAAATTCGCTTGCTTATAAAGCTCGATTACGTTGTTAGGCTTTCCGAACATCTAATCAGTATCTGGCCACGATTGCGTAGTGCGCAAACAAATCTGGTAATCCGCCAAGATAGGTGGGATTAGGGTTAGGGTTTTGCTGACGGAGGAGGAGAAAAATGGGACGACGGAACTACAAAGATGGTGCGGCGTCGTTTTAGTGAACGATACAGATCTTCTCTTAGGAATCGAATCGGATCTGACCCATATAATTTTGTAATTGGGATTTTGCTGGTACTTAAACTAATCATTTTCATATTTTAATGGACTTTAAATTATTTTTGAGTAATTATCAGTTGGGTCCTCAAACATTTACTTTACTCACTTATTAGCCTTACGGCGGCCCTACATATATAATTATAAAATCCATCTTGAAATTATTAGTTGTCACTTGTCAAATTGTTTTTTTTCTGTTTGTTGAAGAACATTTTCAACGAAGAAATTAAAAGAAAGCTTACACTCACTTTATTAGAACTCTACCTTACAACAAGTAACATCAATTGTACTTTCTTTTGATATGTAACAAAACAAAATTTGTGGAACCTAAAAAAAAAACTAGTTTACAAGCCAAAAATCTCATCAGTATAATTTAGTAAACGGTTAAGTAAAGTATATACTTGTTACAGTATACAATTGATAAGACTATGAGCTAAAACAAGTCCAATGATGAAAGAGTGATCAACTTGTGACTCTACCGTCATCGTCAAAACATCATCTCCTAACTTCAAACCATTTCTCGATTGCTTTCTCTTCACTTCTGCCAATAGTTTTCCACAGTGATCCTCAATCGCTAGACTTGATCCGCGAGTTACCATCTTATAACAATATTGTTCATCGTTTCTACACGATCCCGCGATGACTCTATAGGAAGATGATGAATCTTTATCCGGAATTTGAAAAACATTATTTTTCACTCGAAAATATTCAAGTTTTGTCGTTGATTCAGCTGTTCCAGATGATGATCTATATCCTTCCCAAGTCTTGAATAATCCAAATTTCTGCATAAACCAAAAAAAAAAACTTGATTAGTACTTCAAAGTGAATAAATGTGTTATTAAAAAAAATATATTGCATGAAAAAAATGGAACGTGCGTATACCTGTCTACGTAAGGTAAACAAGACATGACCGGACAAATCCATGAGATAAACTTCACGGCAGCTCTTAGAGTTATAATTATCGACACGATAGATTATTTTCCCTTTGGAATTGAAGACGGTGCAGCCATTTGTGTTGAACACCAACGACTTCATCCATATAGTGAAAGTCTCTTGCTCCGTCGTCAAGTACGGCGAACTTGTTTCTTCTCCGGCGCCGGAGGTTGTTAGATCGGGATGAATCTTCACCATAGTCTCCGATGGACAGATTCGATTCTGCCAAGTTTTTGTTTCAAAAGGTCGTCGGTTTAGTTGCATATATATCTATATCGAGACAATGATTTGGATTTTTTTTTTTTTTTTTGTTGATTCGATTGGTAGACATAAGTGGATTAAAAGTTGGGTATATATGCACAGCCGATTGGTGGAAGTTACTTACTTTGTTCGTTTATGATTAATTTAAGTCAACTTAACGATTATTCAATGTTCAAAGCAATTAAGTGCTTGTCATATTTTTAATTCCTCGTGTTTTAGAAGAGAGGTCTCGTTATATGTTTGAATCTTCGATGTTTAATAATTATATTATTGATCATGCATGTGATGTCGAGTTATTTTATTGTTTTCTTTGTGTATATTGATGTGTGAACTACTATATATCGATCTGATCAAGGTCTTCTTCCACATGTTTAATGTGAAATCCTAATTAATTAATGACAATTTCTGGAGGAAAAAAAATACTATACATTAATTTATAATTTATATTATAGAAAGATCAAGGCACCTTGAGAAGTTAGGGAGCTCTAGGCACCTTGAGAAGTTGCTCAATCAATTTTGACTTGTATTTCCTTGTGTGCGTATGTCACACTCACACGCCAATGCTCAACACAATTTTTGTTATACCTTTTAATTGAGTACTATAGATTATATAATTTTATCTCTTGAGATGTTTTTTTTTGTGAAACAAAATATTTATTCTAAACTTATTATGGAACGGAAGAGATTAATGTGTGTGAGTATTTGCAGTATATAAAATGATGTTAGAAAAGGTGAAATTTTCGTAGCTAAAAGAAGTAAACTGTCATTATAAACTCATGATTTCGTTCATTATACTTTAATTTTTGGTATCATCGTTCAATATACTTCTCTAGCTACTAAATTAAGTATAGTCACTTTTCTTGTTGTAATTAGATCACACAATATCAGCAACCACATAAACAATTGAGTCAATGCTTAATAGTTAATATAGCCCACCAACTGAATAATTGTTAGACGCATTAAAAGATTAATATACATATACAGTGTACTGATAATATACATATACAGCTAGTGTACTGATAATTTCAAAATGAAACCTCGCGATAATTAATTACGTATTAAATTTGGTCGTCAGTGTTTATGAATGAAGTTGAAGTCGACGAAGAGTGCATGTGCATCGTGTCACAGGTTTTAATTTAGGTCTTAGGCGGATAAGCGTCAGTCGTCAGACATCATTACCTTTTTGTCCCTGTCTTAATTACATATTCTAGTTTCTTTCTTTAATCATATGAACTAAAAAGTTAGGTTTTTATTTTTGTCCTATTAATTCATACACTTGTAATTGAATAATATCAAACTTTTGGCATGTTGAACCTTTCTAGTAGCTGACGGATTCCCGAATTGATACTAAACAGCAACTTGAGTATATATTATACATAATGAGATCACTGAATTTAAAAAAAAAAAAAAGATAAACAGAGAGCGCTTTTCTTATACCAGGTAACAAATTATGAATCCGGATTGAAGATTTTCGCATTTATCTCAATTAAATTAGATTGAAGTTTAAAATCTACGTACTTATATTGAAATGGCATGGTGATCAGACTCGTCAGAAAACACTAATATTAACACTTTAATCTCGTGTTCTTTTTTTTTCACCATTTAGATTGCATTAGTCGAAGAGCTTTTGTAGTTTAAACAAAATGAATGACACTTTTTGACGTATGCATTTTAAACAATTTACTAATGGTGGGTTTGTTCCTAAGTGTACATCATCTGTTACAAATCCAATTTAGATGACAAACGGTCCAATATAGCTAACTTTTTTGGGGTCACTTTTTGTGCCCTTTTTCTGTTAGGATAAGCACCAGGTCCATATATCGATTACTGACAAAAAAAAAAAGTAAAAAGAGTGGAGTTTTAAAATTTTGTTAGATTAACTAAAACAATATATGATCTAGTGTATGAAGTACTTTATTTGAAGTATTAGGTAGCCTAATCTTATTTTGCAAGCACGAATATCTCTATTGGCCTGCAAAAGGCCAAATTAGTGATACATCTTATTCTACGTGTGAGTAATATTCCTAATTTATAGAGTGATTAAAACGACACTTTTTGGGGGCAGTTTAAGAAATTGGAATGAGACACATAAGATTAGCATGCTTGAGATTGACCACCAAAAAAAGATAAGCATGCTTGATGTATAAAGATAAACTCATAGATTTAAATTGGGAGGGTGTTAAAGAGATGAGATTTTAGGATTGGAAGAATTGTATATAAACATAATGCTTACATATGTTTATATATGAAAGAAAAATGCTAAACCTAATTAACCTAATTTCCTAAACTACATAGATACATATCTTGGTAATAATATCTTACATGTTGATAATATCTCAATATATCTTCTTGATTCTCTATAGACGAAGGTGTATAGTGCTTGTCTACGGACGTAATAAACGAATATAAAACTACAAATCAAGTTATAAGAATAGTAAATACAAATGAAAAACAATAACCACTGTATACGAAGAAATATTCCACTATAAATGTTATAATAAGAAAGCTAAAGTTAAAAATTAAACAGTGCATAGCCTTTTTCAATTACTGTATGCCACTTAGCTAACTCCAAACGGATTATGCACTTGTCTTAATTTTTCTTTGTTGTTGTCACAAATAGACCTGGTTTAAGTTAAACAGATACATACAAAACATATTGGGCATGTAGGCCCACTAAGTCCATTAAACTTCAAGCAACTATAGATGGCCCAAAATCTCGACTCAAAATTATGGCTAGAAGAGGGTAATTATGGTATCAATTAATTCCAAATTTTATGATTATCTGATCCACCGAATTATTTCCATGTCTATATTATTGGACCCATGCCGGTATAGGCTGCTAATGTTGCATTATCCAAAGAAGAAAGAAATGAAAATGTGTGTCTGTTGTATATAAGGAAACTTCGCATCCAAATCAAAATCATGAAATTAAGATAACTTTTTAGCTGTCAATGATTGCAATTTGCTCCTTTGTTTGCCTTCTAAAAATGGTTGACCAAAAGGCTGTGTTTCTTATTTTTAAACGATATATCCATAAATATCTTAGGTTTGTCACCTTCCACCGAATTTTTGTATTTCCAAATGTATTAAAATCTTAATAAATTCAATTTGGGTTTGATATTTTCGACTTGAAAATTGAAATGGATATTAGTTGTAAAATAAGGGAGATTTAATTAAGACAGGTTGGTTGAAAAAGAAATTGCTTACGGAAACCGAAAATGATTAGTCGATTTTTTGTTATTTTTTTCAACTACTAATGGAGAATAAATAATTAGGAGTGAAGGAATGTTCTTTGTTGATAACGTTCTTAAAAATTTCTTGTGAAGAAAGAAAGACACATAGGCGTATTTGGTTGGCTTGTGGAAACAAGTAAAAAACTCACGAGAACTAATCAAATAAAGCAAATGTCGTGTCCGTCTTCTATTCAAAAATAAAATAAAGAGTGCATGTGATGGTAATCTATTCGTATTATCATGTAGATCTAGGTTAGTGTTCTTGTCCATTACAAAATTTGATATACGGTTCCATGTTTTGGGAATTAGAATTAATTATAGTATGATAAAATCTCAATGATAATATTTGACATATCTAATTTTTTTCAACAAAACTAAAAAACTAATTTCAGAAAATATTTATAAAATACAAAATATCTTTCTCATTTAGTTTTTTTTTTTCCAAATTTTCCTCGATTTCCTTTCTAAAAATTTGTATGTATTTTAGATTAACGCGTTTATACACAATTATGGAATCTAGAAGTATTTTAGGGTCCATAAAATTCATTCCATGGGCCAAAAAGCGGGAATAAGTTACGCAGAGGGTTAAGATAAGGTACGTGAAGGTGTAGGTTAAGATCCGTGAGACAGAGATTATTGACGTGACGATGTCGCTTTCTCTGCCACAGAAAAACATGAATATCATATCACTCAATAGCTCCAAATTTTCTTCCTTTTAATTTTTTTTTTTAATATTTCAAAAAACCTGAAAATCAAAGGGGGGAAAAAAATCCCTCAAAATTCGAGTATTGAAGACGACGACGACGATCTTCTGGTGACTCGAAGGTTTTCTGCTAAAGGTAAATTCGATTCGATCATTTTAGAAGATATTTGGAAACGATTCGCCTTCTTTTGCAATTCGTGATCGTTAAATTTTGAAGGATTTCGATTTTGATGTTTGTGATCAGTTCCTGTTAATTATTGGGTTTTGCTTGATTTTTTGATTCTCCGTTACATATTCTGGAAAAGATCTAGCTTGTTCATGAACCAAAATTTTTAGAAAACAGAACCAAGTTTTCTCCGATCGCTCCCAGAACTGTATATTTTTATTTTTTTGATTGGTATTCGTTTTAATCTGGTGATAATTGAATTAGATCTTCATAAAACATGTCTTCATGTTGACACTAATTTTAGCTTTTTTTTTTTATTATTATTATATTTCAGTGAGAGGTTAAGCTCAAGGTCTCTGGATTGCTCTTTAATTTGCCTGCTATTGAAGGATGATAGACCATCGGTATGTGCTTGAGTTTTCTCGAAGAAGGATGAATCGGTACGAGCCATCTTATTGATTTATTATTATACGTAGTGGAGTGCCTGAAGGAGATATAGTAGGTAGCAGTTGGATAGGGTTTCCATTTGTTAGGTGTTGAGCTTTGTTGTTAATTTGGATTCTAGACTTCCATGACCATCGTAGCATGATGGTTTGGAAGATTTTAGATGGGTACAAGAGATAGTAATAGGACATTCTCTGAGATAGTGGGTCTGATTAAATCCTGGCTTCCCTGGCGATCCGAGCCAGCTACTGTGTCCAGGGATTTTTGGATGCCTGATCAGAGCTGTCGTGTATGTTACGAGTGTGATTGTCAGTTTACCCTCATCAATCGTAGGCACCATTGTCGTCTTTGTGGGAGAGTTTTCTGTGGCAAGTGTACAGCCAACTCAGTACCTTTTGCTCCCAGCGACTTGAGAACTCCCCGTGAAGAGTGGGAGAGGATCCGTGTTTGTAATTATTGTTTCAGGCAGTGGGAGCAAGGTGATGGTGGACCACATGTTTCAAATATCACGGAA